TGCTCCCGCCCTCATTTTTCCAAGCACTGAAATCCGTAGCACGCAATAAAGACACGAATATTCGTCCGGAGCAAGGATACACGGAACTCCCCGCGCTCTTCACCGTCTCGGAATCTCTGGTCCGATCCGCTGGAGCTCGCTCTCGGTTTCCACCATCACACATTCAACGACCGATATCAATCCTTGAGTTTTAACTTCCCGGCAATCGTCCGGAGCAACGTTCCAGAGAGAACAGAGCCCGGTTCCAGAGAATGCTCCTCTATCCGGAGTCTGACCGCGGAGTTCGTTCAGAGGGCTCGGAGTACCGCAGCTTCCAGTGTCCGACGTTTAGCAGAGGGGAAGCGCGCGGAGCTACCTGTTTGCTTGACAACGTATTATGAGTTACCCACCTGCTCTGATTCCGGCGTAGAGCTCGCGGAAAGCTCTGTTCGAGATCTCTGGCAGCTCGGTTGGGGAGTCCCAGAAGCGCCAGCCCGCCCTGACGCGATCCGTGCGTGGATAGGTACGGAATTGCTGAACCGCTCTCAACACAAGGAGACACCTTCAGTCATGTATCTTCCTCAATTGCGTCGCGTCGCCGTATTCACGCTATTCTCAGAGACGAACGCGATCTTCATGAAAGCAGGGAGTTGGAACGCTTGAGGAGCCAATGGAATCTTCATGTGGAGACAAGAGCGTGTCGGAAGTGATTCGGGAAATTGCTGCGAGACGATGCAGGTGAAGCGTTGATGACTCAGGATTTGCATAACCTTACGATGAAAAATTCTGCTTCGCGTCGGGAATCTGGATCGTATAACGTTTCCGGCGAAGTCTTCCGGAGCCGGAATGGAGTCCGGGCTTGCTAACTCAGAGAACATTGACACTAGATCCTTGAACTCTTCATTCCGAGCACGCGATTTCTTCCCAAAAACAACACGTAGCATTTATGAGCTTAGAATGTAAGTGAAGAGCGCCTGCGATGGGCCTTAAGCATCTCTCCTTAAGTGGACGCCTTTCGAGGGCACACGGATTCCCGCTCCTTGCCGGGATCGAGTTTTTCGAAAGATCTTAGCATTGTCGGGATTCTCGGGAAATATCGGGAGAGTCCCCCCTCCGGTATGCATTTGCAATCGACGAGCTTGCTCGAGAGGGAATCCGACTTTTTTTAAAATACTGCATTTCAGCCACTAGCTTGAACGCTCAAGCGACCCAAATGGCACCCGCAACAAAGATCGATACAGAACGAGAATTATTGATGGGTGACGCTGTGAGAGATTCCGACAGAATCAGGTCATTCAGCTGCGGTTCATTATCTACTTGGTCTGCGCGCCCTTGGATATTTCTCTCTGAAGATATGAGCGCAAAACCGCGAGATTATCGAGGGCTCCGAGCGAGAGGGAGTTGCGCGACTTCGTGCAAAGTGAGTTCATCACGCTGAAATCTCTCTCCGGCTGGACCGAAATGGGCTGCAGCAAAGTTCCGAAGACACAGAAGTTTGCCGTACCCGTAACCAGCCTCGAAGAGCCTCATCTCCGAACACAGCTGTCCTGTCGTCGGTTGGACGGGCGGCAGTGGCTTCTTGTTGCTTAGCGAAGTATTCTTGAATACGTCGTCGAAATCCATTCTGACTTCTTTCGACGGGCGCAGCTCTTCCTCCTTCGATCGCGAGCCTTCTCGGCGTAGGTTCGTCCATCGTTTATTCATCGAGATCGGAGAGTCTTTGTATATCACATTCCATCTCGTCTCAGCCTTTCATGTCAGGCGCTTGTGCAGATCTGTTGAACTCCTTCTCCCAGTTTTCCACGATTCGCCGGCTAAGCTAATATCAATCAAACAATGATCAGACACTCCCCTAGAGTCTCGAATCTCGAGTCGATCGGGCGATAGATTCCTCAGTTTAGTGAAAACGAGGTCGATCTAGCTTACCGAGCCTGCAGTCACTCTCGTTGGAATCCCGTCGTTGGCGTTTGTCATACCGTAGGACTTGGGACGACATAATATCCAAGTACTCATTCGCCAATCTACGATTGGGGGAAAGAAGACGGAGATTGATGTCACCCGTCAGGACACAGTCGTGATCCGGACCGAATCTTCCGAGGATATTTGGCAAATCCTCACGCATGTAAACACACAGGTGAGAAATATTCGCACTCGGGGATCGATTGATCGCCGCAACGCTCAGTCTAGTCTTCCCCACAGTAACCTCCAATTGAGCCGCATCACAACCCTCTGCCGTCAATCCAATTTTGTGAGCAGGAAGATGCTCTTTGATGATCACAGCCACACCACCAGCTCTGTACTGGTCGTTCGAGGCGAAGTAGCTCCTGTATTCTGGCAGATTTACCAGTCTCTCCTCCGCGGAGTCGAGCCATGTCTCTGTCAGAATCAGAATGTCCGTAGATCGTTCAAGGAGCACACCAACGATATTCGGTGTTCAAGCCCGCTTATTTTGGGATATGAATTCGTACGGTAACACGACAAAAACTTTCACCTGTGATGAAGGACTCTGACCTCAGCGAGGATGTGTAATTGGACGGTGTCAACCTTTGTTCTATTAATTTCATTCATTGTTTCTTTTTCTTACTATTTTCACTTGAGCGCATAGTTGGCTTGAGCCCATAGCCAATTTAAGCGCAGCCAAAATTTTGGCGGAGCTTGGAGCGCCGGAAATTCAATCTGAGCACATGGAAATCAGCTCTGCACTCAACCTCACGTGCGCACCTCTGCGCTCAGATTCGCTGAGCGCTCAACTATGCCCTCGAGTTTCCGCTGCGCCCACCGAGTCTGCGCTCTTGCTGCGCCTAAACTTTCGCTGCGCTCGAATTGATTCTGCCCTCGGGTTTACGCTGCGCTCTCAAATTACATACTACCGCATTCACAATCGAGGTTGTATTTCATAGAGATAGATGGGAAAGGCCCTTCAAGAATGGAAGACCCTTCAACCGTCTTCTTTGTCTTCATCCATGAACAATCATCCACCGAAGTCCTCCGTAAGTCATAACTTCAGTTCCGAGCGGGACGGCCCTTGGAAAATCAATCCCATGGCAAAGCGGCTTTGCTCGAGGCAGTTCCCGATCATTTTGCCCATCGTTCCGGATGAGCTCATGAGTCACGCCGCTTTCGCCTTCAGAAATCGTGGCCCTCCAACGTGGTGGTTTCAAGCACATCTAGAACTCAGAGGGTTGCCTTCTCGCTTGCCACACAGGCAGCTGAAGAAAAGCCTTTCAAAGCGCCAGAGGGGTCACGACTTGCATTTCCCGTCCCGGTAAGCGATTTTATGCATGATTCCATTTCCGGAACTTCCAGTTCCCGCACAGTCAAGTCCGCAGACCAAAAACGGTCCTGACATTTAAACCCTTGCTACCCTATGAACAGGGACCCTTGTGCCTCATCCCTCCATAGGTTGCAGCACAGACGCAATGCTAAATCTGTCTGCCGATAGCCTGGAAAACCCTTGCCGACGCATGATCCGAAATGATACCGACCGACTCATCTAGGAGCGGCCGCTGTCACTCTCGATGTGATGCGGTTTTGGCCACGATCGGAGCCAGTCAGCCGCACAACTGTCTGCGTTCCGGAGAGCTAGGTTTTTTGGTTCGAGACACGAAAAAAGTTGAGTGTGGATGACGAGCGAAGAAATCCTCCTACACGAAAGATTTCCTGCTTTTTTGCGAGAAGTATACCGATCGTTCGAAATGCCATAGGATACGAGAGCGATCAAAAGCCGATACAAAGCACACAATCGATCCCATCCAAATCAGAGGATTTTTCCCAACCGATCTAATTTTGTCTGACTTGGTCGGCGACTTGGTGAGGCCGATCGATGTAGTCACGATGGATTAATATAGTAAGTCTCGGCAGGCGAAGCAAATGTTGATGCAGGAACAAATAAACCAATTGGCTGACTGCGCAGACATGCCCCGAGGATATCACTATTCTGGAACTGTTAGAACAAGCCCCGCGGTCAACCACCAGAAGCCCGACCCGCACGCATCTGAGACGGGTTACCAGCTTCAGAATTCAAGGGGGACATCGTGCTAGAAAAATCCAGAGGGATCTCATAGGTAGCAAGCGCTTGCCTCGTGGGAGTTCTTAAGATCCCATCCGAGCCACCAAGGCTCCATCACCCGCTCCCTGGAAAAAAATACGAGATTCTTTCATCGATATCGCTGGGAGCTATCTCTGGATATCGAAGGACAGAATTGTGGAAGAACCTATTCGCGATCCTCCAATACCCGGGGGAATCCATCAGAGATTACTCTCGGCGGCGGGAACTCGAAAATATTAATATTGTTGAAGAACGAATAATGTAGGTAGATGGTAAGGAAAATAATTTTGATGAGTGATAAACGATGAGTTCCATGAGGGACGGGGAGAAATCACGAAGCTCACTGACCAGAGCTCGCGACCACGTGGTCATTCCAGAAGAACGCTCACGACTCATGGTTAATATGCCCCACACGTTCATTCGGAAGCTCGGGACCGCGCTTGAAGCGATCAATTATCGAAGCCTTGTGCCTGCTTAGGGACATCATCCGGATCTTTCTGGGACCCCCGATGACTTCGGGCCTTCTCGTCGATCATGTCGAGTTTCTACGGGACGTCGATCCGCTCTGGACGATTTCCCGGAGCCGGACAAGTTCTCCCGCACTCGCTTTGAGGACTTGAAGAAGTTTCCTATCGTATTTTCGCGGGATTCATGCGTACTTCAGTCCTTTGCCAGCTGAACATATCTGAGGAGGTCACCGTGCGAGTATTGCCTTCGGAATACTCGAGGCGACTTTCGCCCTCCAGCGGGGAACATGGCAGCGGAAGATGTGTGTTTACCACTAGATTTCGACAGGTCGAGGAAGAAGAGGTCATGACTCGTGAGAGACCTTCCGATGAGATCTGCACAGGTCAAGCTCTGCTCTCCCCTCATATGCAGTCGAATTTCTCTGCTATGAAATCAGGATGATCTCGGTCAGCTTATAGTCTCTTTATCACAGAAGCTCATAATAAATTATCAACACCGCGCGTATTCAGTAATGTCCGTAGCCGGATCCGTATCCGTGGCCGATAGCGACGGGGGCAGCATAGGTGGCTTTGGTGAGGACTGGGGCAGCGTATGTGGCTTTAGTGAGGACTGGGGCAGCGTATGTGGCTTTGGTGAGGACTGGGGCAGCGATGGCAGCCTTAGCAACGACTGGGGCGTTGTGTTGAATAGAAACGTAGGCAGAACTCTTGGCCACGGGGGCGGCGGCAACGACGGGGGCAGCAGCCACGACCGGTGCGGCGGCGATTCCGTGTCCGTAGCCTCCGTAGGAACCGACGGCTCCTCCGTAGAAAGCTCCGGCAGAAGCGGAGGCCACGGCGGCGGCGACGAAGGCGAGGACGGCAAACTGTAATGAACGCTCCTTGAAGTTAGTGAATGATAGATAAACTCTCGCCTCTCGGTTTACGTGTCGAAGCGTCCCCGCACCACATCGAGCGCGTCGGATGTCCGAAGAGACTTTCAGGTTTCGAATTCCCGATGGGATACTAACCGAGTGCATGATTTATTGTTTGTTCTTGGAGAACTTGATTTTCGCTGCACGATCGCAAACTTTTATAGCCGACGTCCGGTGAAGAGAGCAAGTGTCTTGAGAAAGCGCAATATGATTCCTTGTTCCGCGTTGCTGTCAAGTTGACCAGACTTAATTGCGACTCCGTCACCAGAAGACGCGGAAGCCGAAACACAGAAAAGGAGCAGATTCCATTGGGTTCGCTCCGGTACAGCTACAAACAGCACAGTGACCGATTCGGTACATTAGCAGCGGTCGGCGCGTTTCTGGAGCTTCACGAATCAACGCTGCGAGCGCCGGCCGCCTGAGCTCGAGGTCACTCTATTTGATGAACATCGCAGCATGTTACTCAATCGAGAACGGGATGGGCGGCGGGATGCCTCCCAGTCGAAAAAGGGTTTTTCTCTCTTGGGATGAGGAGTTTTCTGCTCGGGAAACTGTTTCTTCCTGTATTTCTTGTTGTTCGCATGCTGAGAGATTCGGGCGTCACCGAATTCCACCTGATGAAACACTCAAGAAGAATCTCGCGGTCGAATACGTTCGCGTTAGATTTCCGGGAATGGAAATCCCTTACCTAAGGGTCGACCAAGCATAGCGTGGAACATTCATCAATTCATCCGGTCCCCTTCATACAGGTGAGCGTGAGCCGCGTCAGGATTGTCGTTTCTCCAGTCATTCCCGAAGCAACCGACTTCCTAGGCGGAAGGTACAGCCCGCGCGGGATCGCGACTTGTTTGTCTGAACCTTTCTCCTATTGTATCATAGAGACCTCGGAATCTTCTCGAATACCTCATGCGCCGACCACAAACATATCATGATCGTATTTGGTATGCACGCACCTATCGAGTCACGCTCATCGGCAGGCAGCGACGCTGTGAGCACTGAGTCAGCAGTCATTACGCCGATAGATATGTTGCACGCAGAATGTTCCTGCTATACCGGCAGAATCCCGTCGTGTCCTCTCTCGCGACTGCAGCCGGAGCGCGGGAGCAGCATTGATTGACAGCCTCATGACGAAGGGTTCTTGGAGGATTGGAGATCATTCCGAATCACCTGCAGTAACCCTAGCGCGAATGATATATCAATATGATCGGGGTTCGGGGAATCTCAGGACGAATCCGAGCAAGCTCCCGATTCAGCGAAGCGGGGGACGGTGTCGAGGGTCACGAGACTTGGACAGTGTTCCTACTCAAACCCGTTCATCCTCAAAGAGCGTTGCTCATCTATGGAGAATCCCGGCCCACGGCTCTCTCCGCTAGGAGGTCTGCGGACAGGAGATCTCAAAAACAGTGAGTTTCTCCACAGGATTAGGCGGGCCGGCGATGACGAAGTGACGAGCAAGCTCCTTCACCTCTGGACCTAGTATGCTCCGAAGCCGCAATATTTCTCAGTCAGCGTACGCATCGCGTACCACTGGCTGACCTATGACCCCAGGCGGAGAGAATGGGGGATTTCCTGGGCTTCTCTGGTGGGGTCTTCGAATGGCGACGGCTCATCTCAGTGTACCAGAACGATGGGAGGTCTCCGAAATTTAACTAATTTATTCAAGTTCATTCCATCTTCACATCTCGGGATATCCCTCGGCGGATTGAGCTAATTCATAATTGACGAACCCGCCTTAATTCCGATTAATCAGAAACTTACTGGATTTGGCTTTTGTACAAAAGTACCGGGAATTGGCAAGAGCATGCCCCCGCCAATCGGATTTAAGATAAGTTCATTCCTGCACCGATACCGTTCACGGGAAAGGTTCTTGCAGCGGAACCGAAGAGGATTCGGCTGGCGAATCGGAGCTCTCCCCGGAATTCTTGAGCTCACAGTTTGGGATCAGCTTCAAATATTCTAAGCCGTCTTTGCGGCGGTTCTCAATGTGGTCCTTGAGGATTTCGAGGAATTTTGGACGCTCTAATAACATGTAAGCGTTACCGAGCAGGAATAGTGCCGTTTTATGGAGATGGGGACTGCCGAACAGGAACAAGTCCAGACCGAGTTCTAAACCCATTCCGTAATCACATTCGTCGTTAGCGAAGTTCACCAGGGTGACGATGTTCTGAATCGGGGTCAACGCTTCGACTAGCGAGGCTTCGGAAGCATTGTCGACGCACTGCATCATCTTGCGGAGTTCGACTGCAAAAATGCGACGATTAGAGCTCGGTCTAGTTCCAGACTTCAGAGTCTCAGGGAGGGTTGAGTGGTTCGGTATTCGTCTCGCCTGAGGCGGATCAGGCGACTCTGCTCGATCGCAACCGGAGCTTTGTTCGACTTCGGAGATTCCTCCCGAACTTGATTTTTCTGAAAGACATTCTGCCAATCGATATGAGCATCAGAGCTTACCGTTCGAAACCGGGAGAGGTCTGTACCCGACTTGAGTTTTGTCCTCGTAGGGAACCACCATTCCGACGTGATGGAGGCACGAGCCGAGGGCACGGGTTTTGCGTTTGGACTTGTAGCTCACGAAGTGCTTATTCTGACTTAGAGCGGTCACTTTGGCTAGCTGCTCGGTCAGGATTGCTGTGGAAAGCGAATAAAAATGTCGCCTAAACTTCCATCGCATCGTACGAAAAGTCATCAGGTCTCGGAAGAGACGAGAAGTTTCCGAGAAAACATTCCACCCGAAAATGCACAGTTCTCGCGTATCATGTTACTGAGTGAATTATAATTAGGGGGGGGAGGAGGAGGAGAGTTCCAGCCTAGTGCTCACTTTTCTGTTCGGAGTCCGCGGCGCATTCCTTGATACGATCCTTGAGCAGGATATTTACAGTTTGCATGAGATTTGCACCGACTATAACCAGTTTCCACGGATGAATATCTTTTCTGCTAAGTTGCGAGTTTGCCACGAATACAGGGAAGTCGTTTGGGTCGTCGCGGAAATAACCGTAGTGATTATCAGTCCCCACCTGAAAAACGGGCACCCCACTTCTTAGCGGACGTTTTTTTCCTTGAGCATGGGCCGATGACGCGGCGAAAGGAATCGCGGAGCCGAGCGGCAGTGATCAGAGAGCGCACTGAGAAACTTCATTCGACTTACTTCGACCATCAGAGTTTGAAATTCCGGTGGATCATAATAATACCGGCAATGCAGGTTGAATGACTTTTTGTCGGTTTTGTCAACACAATCCTTCAGAGCGAGAGCATCAAAAGGACCAATTAGTCTGTAGTTGACCAAGGGAACGAGGGCTTCGCGCGGGTTCCCCGGATTGAGCGCTTTGCAGAAGTTCCAGAGATCAAAAAAGTCCTCCGGAAACTGAAAGTTGAACGGTTGCACCTTGAAATTCATTTCGAGTATCATTTAGACTTCCAAATCTCTGCTTCTCGGGGGTGGAGAGTGCTCGCTCGATACTCGCTCTTGGACAGCCTTCAGTCACAGCCTCTCACATACCGGCGTTTCGTAACACTCCTGCAAGAATGCTGCATCTGCGTGTTGAGGCTCAGGTACCAAGGGGGGCGAGATCTTCAGCTTCTTAGCCGGATTCGATACCGGGCTAGCTTTGGGGGATGATCTCGTTGCTTCGGCTTTACGATTCGGATGTGCGAACTCTCTCAGATGCGCTGGATTTTTGCGATAACAGAGGGGACCGAATTTACAGAGCGGTTTGTCAGATTCCTCTTTGATCTCATCGCTTGTGCGTTTCGAAGATGAAGCTTCCGTCGTCATCTTCTTGATCGAGTCACTGGCCGATTTCGATCCTCTGTGAAGAGAGCATCCACAGCTCGGCTCGCTGACCTGGCGGAATGTGAAAGAAACCGATCATTAGTTTAATCATTTCATTCGACGCTGATACTTTTGGCGATTCTCCGACGTTGGCGCTCGACGTGCCGGAATGTCGACCTTCGGGGGCTTCCGAACGCTCCAAAGGAGAAGCACTCGATATCTCGACCTTGAATTGTTGTAGTCTCGTTCGAGAAAACGAATCAAAGAAGCGAGAGCTACGGCGCCGGCGGCGGGAGCCAGTAAAAACCCATCCTCCGGGAGGCGATCTATTTCATTGATGTTGCATCGTGAATCGGAAATCATTGTCACGGATTATGGTCCAGGTTTCCCGGTGGAAAGACATTCGGTTCTGTGTCAGAACTCGCCCGAGTACCGAAATGAGCGAAGACAGCACTACCCATAATCTCTTGGCCGGTGGCCAAGAGAAACCTTCGAAGGGAGCCCGGCAGAGTCCACTCGAAACTTTGCGCCTTTTTGTGCCAATACGGTTCCTAAGCGAAAATCATGGAGACCGAAACGATGGCTATTTCGGGAGGACCCGATACGTGTTCGCTCTGCCCGGATAGGGCTCGACTCAGAATGTCCGATCACCTTTGAGGTTTTCAGCCGAGGAACGTGCTAACGGGATGAAGAAAAAAATTCGTGAGCCGGTGGAGTCAAACACACTTTTCACAGGACTAACCGCCCTGCGGGCCGTCGTCTGCTCAGCCCATGCGTTCATTCGACCGCTCTGGGGATGAACCACGTCCCTTAAGAGCGCGGGTCTTTTGAACGAGAGGGGCACCCACCGCAGTGGGGAGAGAGGTTCTCCATACCCCACTCGAGATAAAACGCAGACAAGTACCGCCTGAGGGCCCAATTTGTGGTCAGGGTCCTCGGAGAAGCTTCTGCGGTCGAGCTAATCAGCTCGAAATAGGTTCGGGTCGCGAATCGAATACTCATTCGTTGAGGGACTCAAACGCGAGTGGTAGTCATTGTTGTTGTAGTGGTGGTGGTGCTGGCTGGTACCGCGGGTGCTCTCGGCGACGTCGGAGAGGGACGGGTTCGGTGTTTACAATAACACTCGGAGCGCTTTGAGGCTCTTCTAGATCGCACACATTTCTTCTCGATGGAAGGAAGTGGCGCTCGAGAAGGTCGGTCCCAGTTGCTGGCAAGTTGAAGCGAGTGGAGTTCGCGCCGAGTTTCTAGGAGTCGATAGTTTGTGACTCAGTGTACGCACCAGACCTGCCATGGATAAGAGCATGGGGCCCACGCTACCCATGAATATCTCAGGGGGCCCATTCTTGATACCGAGCAAAGCCGACATCGAGCCCATCGAGGAGCAACCTTTCGACTTCAGTCGCAAGTACAATGAGGTAAGAGTGAAATTCTCATCCGGGATCTAACCGCCATCGAACAAAAGCTCAGCGAAGATATCTCTACCAAGCTTCTGTTCCTCTCTTCCAACTCGTTTGCTCGAATTTGTCGGCGGCTTTCGTCACGACCTTCGCATTGCCTGTCCCAAGGACTTCAGGATGAACTTGAGTTGAGAACAGGCTCTCTAGACACTCGTCCATTGTTACAGGTGCTCGAGGAGCCCGACTCGAAGGATCGTTCAGCGGAACCCGCAACTTATCAAGATGACGATATGCCGCGAGTCTACTGCACCGAAGGCACGCCCCGACTCATCAGTAGAGCTTCATCTGTCGGCGATCTCACCGGGAACGACAAACGTCGTCCGGAAACCATATACGAACAGGAAGAAATCACACTGGCCAGTCATACGGCGACAGCGAACGCAACCCCACGAATCTGGTCCGGTAATGGGTCTCCGACGTCGATGAACAGCTTCTGTATGAATGGGAATTCGCAATTCGACGCCCACTCGATTGTATCGGAATTCAGTCGCCAACCTTCGGGTTTGATCTCTCCGTCGGACCTTCCTGACTCGCCCGGTCAGACGATGCCTCCCTCTCCGAAGGAACGACGCCCAGTCTACACCACGGAGGCCAAGCACCCGTTTGATTATGCGTATCCGTTGCAAAATTCTTCGCATATTCCGCAGGCCGCGCGCTTCACGCCGATCGCGTTGGACGAGGTCAAGCACGATGTGAAATCCACGAGCCTGAATCTCGTACGACCGAATCCTGAACCCCGCCAAATGCGCTCCTACGCCGACTCGAAGTCACTCATCGGCGATCAGTATACCCAAGAGGACTCCTTGCACAACTACCGCACAGAGGATACGCCCGCGAACCTATCGGCGGCCACGAGTTTCTCGGACCTGAGCAGTATTTGTCCCAAAAGCGATTGCCACGGACCAGTTCCTAAGCCACGGATGCGAAAGTCGATGACGCCATCGAATGGCTGTAGCCCCTTGCCGCCACTGAAAACTTCACACGTTTCCGACCTCTACACGGAAGCGGAGGGCGCACCGTCAGTCAACAATCACTCGCAGCACAAGGAAAGTTCCTTCAGCATGGACGATCAGAAATCTGAATCTTCCTCGTCGTTGTGGAAACCACGGACTCTGCCGAGAAAACTCCGGGACAGTCTGCCGTCGAAAGACATGAACTCGTCTCCGTCTTGCAGCCACAACAAATCCATGCCGGACCTGAACAAAAACCCGGGAGAATCGCCTTCAGAATCGGATGATGAGGAATTGCTCATGGCCATGATCAACGAAGGTCGGCCGTGCAAGAAAGCGGACTCGTCCGGCTCGAAGATAACGCAGAACAAAAATCGGAACAAACAGAGGAAGGGAAAGGACTTCGACTCGGACTCCGAGTCTGATCAACAGCAGATCCTCGACGAACTGATCAAGCTAGGTAGACCTACGTCAAGGAACCAGACCCTAAAACTGAAATCCAAGCCAGATCAGAGAGATGACGATTATCCCTCGACGTCGTCGACTAAAGACAAATTCAAAGCCGCTCGTTCGATGGAAAGCCTAAGCGTGGCGGCAAAAGTGGTCAAAAAAGGCGCTACGAATTTCCGGGTTCAGGAGCAGCCCATTCGAGGGGGCGAAGCCGTTATTCCTAAATCAGCGGTCGCGAGGGCGCAGTCTCTAAAAGGCAGCAAGACCTTGGGGTACGATCCCGTCCACGATCGCAGACAGACGAAAACGCCCGATCCGACAGAAGTGAGCAAGATCGACATGCACTTCTTAAACAACCGGGCCAACAAGCCCATTTCCAAGGTCAGCCCCATGCGTTCCTCCCCGAAAAAGTATCCCGATGACGAAGAAGAACCCTGTCAGAAAACGGTCCTGCTCTCACCGCTCCGCAGTTCGGTGCGTCAGAGCCGACAAACATGCGTGAAGAAAACAGTCGAGCTCAGCGCCGAAGCGTCGGACGCTAGCAGCGAAGAGCCCCATCCCCCACGTCCTCCCAAGCCCCCGCAGTTCAGAGCTCCCCCGAAACCCCCGGCACCCGCAGTGGTTGAGCCGATCGCCGCGGTGGAACCCATCGTTCCTATGCCCGACGTTGTTCAGAGGGTCCTCCCCGATATCGTCACGGCGGAAGTTCCGGAGGAAGAGAACAACAACAACGTCGCTGAGGTCAAGATCGAGGTACCGCCAGAGCCACCAGAGGATTCCGGGGACATAACGGTTCTCAGTTTCAAATTCACCGACTCGCGGAGGAGCTATACGCGAAGATTCCTCGCGAGTAATCAGTTCCATTGTGTACTGAACTATTTGGCTTGCAAAGGCTTCCCTTCGGACAAGTACAAAGTCGTTGTGCCAACGCTCCTTCGTATAAAGAAAGAAGTCACCGAGAGTAGTTACGGTAAAACCCTAGCCGAGCTGAAGATGGTCCCCAAGAAAACGCTCACCGTGAAGCCCCGATGAGATTGACGTGCCAATACATATACTTTCAAGGATATACACATCATTTGTTGTTCAGCCACTTCTAGAATACGAACGAGCTCCATCCCCAATCTAGGTAGAGTGTAGCAGCGGAAAACCTCGCCACGTTCTCAGTGCGAATGAATCCAATGTGTTCCTCATCGATCTTTATGCTCCGCACGACGGCAGGAAAATCGCAGAGCGGCGGAAATGTATTCATTTAGTTAGTGTTCTCATGTCGAACGAGCAATACTTCCCGGCAATAGCCGTCTGTAGTGAAAGACTCCCGAGAAATCCCATGCTGATCTCGGCGGATGCTAGTTCTATGCAATAAATATACATTTAAGTAAAATATCTTGGTCCTGTGGAATTACGCTCCGCCGTTCATCGGGAAAAAATCGAAAACGAGGACGATTCCGGAAAGAATCCTTTATTTTCTGGCTTCAAGCCTGATGACGACACGAATCCGAGCAACCTCGTGTGAACATACATTATTTCCAGCATCTGCATGATTTCCACCATCGTTGTAACATGTTGAGAACTCGGGTAAACTTCTGTTCCGAGACAATCGAAAGACTCCGAGGATAAATTAGGTAGAGTAGGACCGGAGTCTCTCGTTAGGCGAGGGGAGGGGTGAGGGGAGTAATCATTCTCTACAATTGCGGCGTTAACAGAGAATCACTGGGGACACGTTCCGCTGGAATGTCACGTCTAGAAGTACATGTTACCACGATCGATTTTCGACTGACGCAATAGCTGCTGGATATTGTGACGACCCTGCTCGACGGGACGTTTCGCTACTTTCTTCAGTCGTTCTACATTCAGGCAGGGTTCGAGCTTCGAGACGGTGTCGCTGTCGATCGTGTCGTAATACTGAGCAATGAGACAGGCTTTCAATCCGCGCACCTGGAGAGGAAATTCGACTGACTCACCCATACTACGACCAGACCTAATTAGAAAAAAACTCGGACTCGTTCAGTCTCACTGTCCTTTTCCGATGCAGATATCTTGCAATGAGGACTCACCTCGCATTCGGTGAGCAGCGCGGCTCCCAAACCCGACAACGTATTCGGGGTTTCCAAGGTCGGGATGTCGCCAACTTGACCTTCCGAGACGGTCTTCAGCTGTCTGCGGAATAGAATACTGATTTAGATGACCTACTCCAGCAGACTCGATGTGCTTCCGGAATTCCAGTTCCACGGGAGAGGACTCGAACGGTCCGGCGGTCTTAAACGAAACTCACCTCAGTATCGGCAAACTTAACTCCGAGGTTTTGGCAGACTTATATTGACTGATCGGAAGTGAAGTGATCACAAGACATTCGAGAGTTTTGCTTCCGGATAGCTCTACGAAATATTGAGCGATTTCTGCCGCAGATTCGTTCGGCACCTTCGAAAAAATGAACCCACGTAATGATTTCCTCACGCACCGGAGGACTCGGATTGAGGACTCGGACAGCATGCGCTCTTTTCGCGGACCACGATTTCCCTGCCGAACTCCGTGGCTTTTCGCAGCGGTCCTCGTAGCGGAAAAGAACGGATTTCGCGGAAATCCACAGCCCCAGGCATGTTCGAGTCAGAACCAAAACTCTCAAACGGGAGATCTCGTACGAGAAGTCTCATTTATCGATAGGTACAGAGAAAATGGCGGATACGGAAGGAGATACCTCTTTTTCTGACACGCAGACGAGGGTTCTATTCGCTTCGTCGTAACAGAGTTTCCCGACCACATGGGATTGCCGCCTGTAATCGAGACCGAGGAACTCGGCTTCTGGAGTAGAGACGGGGTTCAGCTTTATGTAACCGAGAATCCGGTGCTCTTTCGATATCAGATAGGACTCGAGGAAGACCGTGGGAGCGAGTCCCGTAGCGCAGATGACCTACGAGGAATGGAATCTGTATTAGGGCGAATGGCAAGTATAATTCGACTTGAAGGCCGCGGACGCATTAATTCCAACTGAGCGACAGGAGCTGCTCCTCCAGAGCCGCGGGCTTACCGTATCGTAGGACGGCAGCTGTGTTATGTCTGAGAACTCCGGGAGGTCAAAGTACACGGTGGGCAGCTCCACGTCGACCTCCTCGTCATCGTCGACGGCCCGCGATGGGATCTCCCTCACCTCGCCGAAATACGCGGCCATGCTCAGATTCAGTCAAACTTAAAGCCAGGAAACGAGTCTCCGCCAAGGAATCCCTAAAAATCAGGCAATTCTGAACGAACTCTCGATATGCCTACGATTCGATTCCGTAGGAAGGCAGGGAGCCCATAGACTCGCTCTCCGACTCCCAGCGTAGGACTCCGGGGAGGAAGAATCAGAGGGCGAAGAAATCGACATTCGAAATTCTGGGAACGGGACCGATGGAGTTGAGTCCATCACGATTCCAATCCATGTCAACGAAATGCACTCATTTCTCGAGCTCGGAGAATTTCTCTCACTCAAAGACTGTCGATTGCTCTCTCTCGGAGGATGCACGATTCTCCCGGGGAACTACAGCGCTGTCAGAGTGACAGTGCAGAAGTTTGCATTTCTCAGGAGCATGGCGCTGCATAGACGTGGCGGCTGATCCCGATGAGCACGAAAACCATGTCTCTAGCGCACTCACCTACAGCGTTGCGGAGTCGGAGAAGATATCAACAGGGCTTTCGTGTCCACCGAGTCTTCCGTCGTCGACGATTTCTTCGAGTCTCCCTCGCGTGAGGAAATATTTTTGGGGAAGAGGATCATAACAAGAGGAAAGAAGACCGCCCGCGCAGGCCCGCCAAATTCGAAATTCGATCATGGGTCATGGACCGGTCAGGTAGTATGAGGGTCGGATGGGGTAGACGATTTCCGTTTGCAGGCGGTAGAATCTCGAGAATGTGTCTATCACGTAGATTGGGTTTCGTTCCGGCGGAGGTTGCCCCCATCCCCGATTCTCCCAGACATTACGAATCGACTGCTGTCCTCACATCATATTCGGACATAATATTCGCTGGTGTATTCGATGCGGCCCCAACATGTCAGAATCACCGCAGCAGCTCTGACACACTGGTCCAGAGTGATCACGTTTTGCGCAAAGACACGGTCAAACTCCATGGAGCAGATCGCAAAGACACGGGAGCTCAGGGGCACCTCGGGGATTGGCAGAATACATTCTCGTTCAGTCCACCTTCATGCGAGCAATTCTTGGCCCGAAAGCGTGGAAGAGCTTCATCTGGACATGATTCCTGGTCTCCTCCTGGGCTCATCCCGCCCGGAGTGACTTCAGCTCCGAGCGCTGCATTCAGAGACTTAGCGGCGTCAACGCCGGACTGGAGCGCTCTTACCGGACAGCGAACTCGGAACTTGTCGGATGCAATGCTCGGGAAAGCATGAGAACTTCTCACCGAAAGTTCTTACCATCACTCCATCGCCTGAGAGGGTACATGACCTCGTGGCTCATCCCTTAGCTTCCGCTCTCACACCTGAGAATATGGGGAAGGTGTTCGAAGACGAAGACAGTGAGGGATACTTGCGAAACTTCGGCCACACCTATACTCTATTCGTCATATTCATATCACGAGTGAACGATATCGTCGCTACTATGGACTGCTTCACAGGATAACTTAACGACGGGATATTATTGGCGCTCCCACCATCGCGCAAGCGGACCCTCTCGTCGGATAGATGACCCTCATGTGACGGTCGGAGCCCGCGGAGCTTCCCTTGATTCGCCGATCATTGAGACCGAACCCGAGATTTCGTGACGGAATTTCCAGCAATTGGATCATTTCGTGGATATTCACATGTCGAACAAGCGAAATCCTCGATGAAGACACACAGCTCAAAGGGATCGCGTCGCATCGCGCAGACCTCACGCGACTTCCCCTAGTGGAGCTGAGACGGGTTAACTCAGGCGGAGCCCTCCCCCATGATGCTGGGGCTCGGCAAAACTCCCAGCCAAGACTCTCCCGCGTTACGGACGGACGTCTTGAATCTGAGCCTGGAGTCAGGTCGTGACAAGAATTGAATCTAACACGATCAGGCTTCCTCGCTCGGTGTGCTCTCGTTGAAGGCAGCGTCGACCGGGGTCCACCATCACGAAGCGATCAACGAAATACATCAATACGTTGTCCAAGAAGATGGGAACCCTCAGAACCTATCGGATGAGATATGTTTTCATTGGTCCCTGTGAGGACGAAAGTTCCTTCGATTTTCGGGCGTGCAGTGAAGGGAAGTTCGTCAGACGCAAGACTGCTTGGTTTTCCGCTTCCAGAGCTCGACTCCACAGCTCATAACCGAACATGCCGCGCGAAGCACATGCGAAAAGGAATAGTGGGCGTTCTTGGGAAAAATGTAGACGGTTTATTGTACAATAGAGCAATAGAGACTAACTCGTTCTCATCAATGATATTTTACAGCAGGCTTTAGCGTACGCAACGGAATCTCCCTCTTTTCCGGAATCATCTGTTGTTGCTGTTTGATGTAATCCATGTCGTCGCACACTGGCCGAGTCTCCATCACCGCAACTACTTCTTCGCAAAAGTGATTCTTATCGGCGCCGTGGGCGTCACCTTGAATCCTTGCAATCCGTTCTTCGCTGCCGTCGACTGCGCTTCATCCTCGTACTCGACGAAGGCTATATCTGGTCGACCAGGAATCAGACGGACCTCCTTGAATCCGGGGAATTGTCCAAACAGCATCTGGAGCATCATGTCGTTCGTCTCCTCTGGCAGACCAGTAAGGAAGAGGATGGCGTTCGGCGGCTGGTCGGCAACCGGACCCGACGGACCCGTGGCGACCGGAATCTCCGGAACTTTGACTCCTTTTTCTTCGGCTGAACTTTCTCGATCGGCTTTTTCTGACGTTCGACGAAAGTTCCCTTCATTTTGGCGACGACGTCGGAATCTGATTTCGCATACTGGATGCGCATCGGTTTGTCGAAGAAGGGGAAACCCTGCAAGAAGTATCGGTCAGCGAGGAGTCTCGTCACGAAAATCTGGGGTCTTATCCGAGGGACCGCCGGCACGTATTTACGATCGACGACCGCGGGAGTCAATCGATCCTCGCGCTCACAGACACGGGAAGCCTGTAGAAAACCTCGACGATGGAAGGGCGACTCACCTGCATCGATCGCAGAGCCTCGCTAGCGGCATTGATCTCTTTGAATGCAACGAAAGCTTGTCCTCGCATCTTGAGAGTTTTGAGCGCGACAATATCGAGGATTGGACCGAACTGCGAGAAGATGGCAAACAGCGACTTCTTGAGCTCTTCTTTCTTGACTTTCTCGTTGAGATTGTTTATGTAAATCGTATTGTTCGGTCGCATATCCATCTTGGAAGCTGTCGAGTCAATACACGCGTTTGAAATGTATCCCACGAGTCACAGCGTGCTAGAAGTACGAGATTTCTGGCTTTGTCACAACACCAGCGGTTTTCGTTTCTCGCCCGGCACACGGCACACGCGTTTGTTTTGCCGGTAGAATCCAACCCTGTTCCCATCATGCAGACAGGATCGGTTCCGGCTCCGGGATTTTCCGCGTTCATTCCCCCCATACTCCCGTGATTTGTTTTCTCCGGGGATACCGAAAGACATAATTGAAGAATTTTGGCAACCTCGAATGCATAACCCGTGGCGATGCATCGAGAGGCCTGAAGGAAATGATCGGTCGCTGCGCCGCCCGGGCGCCCGAAGCCTCAGAGTCAATGGATAGAAAAAAAATATTGGCCACATCCGTCAACCACACGAAGTTTCCTGAGAGTACTTCGAGCGCAGAGGACTTCGCCAAAGTCGGAATTCCCTAATCCTCGAATATCCAGTGGATTCCGGCAATTGAATTCCTCCTCCTTCCAGGTAGAGTCCAACGGGCGATTGTGACGCCACCTGGGAGTCTTGTGAGCGAAAGAGCTTCAAATGAGTTGTGTTGTCAAGAAGTGGACCACGGGCAAAGATTATCTGAACCTTCGTCCCTTCGTTGAATTCTTCAGTGCGAGTCGACGAGTTACGATCTGAACGAACTTTGTTAGGAAGGTGAGTCTCTCAATAGTGCAACCCTGTCGATTCTCACGAACCTCCGGCAATCAGCCCCGCCCAAGTGGAGGTCATCTACTCTAGTCCGAGCTCTGGAATTTTCTAGCTTATGTCGAACTGAAGAACTTTGAAGGAGAAAGCCTCCCTCGTCGGAAAGCTCCGTCTTGACGTGAATGCCCGTGGATGCCGACGTCAGGAGCTGCAGGCATAGTTTCGCCGAGCTGGGCGTTGGCTTGACGGTTCATCGAGGTTTGACAAGCCATCCGGTGCCGATTTCGGGCATTAAATACACTTACGGAGGGAAAATCCGGTGCAGAGATCATAGGTTATGAGTCTCGATTGTATTCACGCTCTCCTCCGATCGGAAAACATGGCGCGGCCCCAACTATTTTTAGACTGTCCTGCACCGGGAAGGGATCCGGACTGTCATGGGCGTGAGCATGAAGCGCTGACAGTGATCACTGCCTTAGGGTTTCTGAGTGAGTCAGATGATCGAGGTTCACGAGTTTGCCATTGGTACTACAGCGGTGTCATCATGGTCTCACCGAGTTCAATAATTCGACACGAGAGATAATTTCGTCCTTGTTCGGGCTCGCCGTGCCCGAATGGGGGAGCCTCCGCAGCTCCCTCTCTGGAAGCATAGCTAGAGATGCATCTAGCGTCATATGTCGGAAGAGTCATAAAATTGGTTTCCGGAATTTTCGTCTTGCGCCCGTGGAGCGCGATCTTTCCATCGGAATTCGGAATGGGTGTCGCGATCCGCGATACTCCCGGCTTACCGGTTGATATCTATGGAATGCATCGTTCTGCGTTGGCGTTCGTCTTACGAGTATTGTTCCCGTTGACGAACCATCTGAATGACGTGCGGTATGGAATCGTGGCCCATGTTCCGTAGTCACCCACACCGCCATCTGATCTGTCCGGAGTGACAATCTTTGATGAGGAGCCCCGGATACGATTACGGCCATGACCTCGATAATAATTCATTGAGTCCGTCCTCAGTCCACCGAGGGCTGTTCAACTCTCACGAACTCGGGTCTATCGCCTATGCAGCGAAGGAATTCTCTTGAGGGTCGTGGAAGTTCCGCGACCGAGTAGTTTGGGGACCAAGAGGATACTTCACTGCTTCATCGTCTCTCCTATTCACGTATATTCGTAACTCGTGACGAATCGGATCGAGCAGTGGACAGCAGCAAATTGGAAGGTTACGAGATCCCTTCCATCTTGCTCGGTCGAGAGTTTCCAGCCGTGGAGCTGGAACTATGGGGCTCTTGCAATCAATTCAAACCACACCCTAGACAGCCGCGCATGTTGTCGAACGTTGAGCGATGAGTAGGATCCATTGGTTTTATTGCCTTTCAATGTCAGTGGCTCAAAATGATCTTCCCGAAACCGACGTTCGGGTAGAACATATCCGTACGACCCTGCCTCCAAGAAGAAGTTCCTCCATATATACTTCAAGTTGAAACGGATTTTCGCCCGCTGAAATCATGGAAGGGGAATAGCACTTGCGTCTAGGCAAATACGCGGGCACTTTGATGTCAGCCGCCCGTCGGCTCGCGAGTAGAACTGTGCACTCACGTTTCACCTTGAGAGCCGCATGAGTCATCCCCGTAGTGTGAGGCTGATGTCATTTTTCGGACGGGCTCGCCGCTTGACGCGGACCGACGCTCCCTCCGTCGCCGTTCCTCGTGAAGCAAAGGGAGAACGAGGATGAGCATGAGCATGATTGGAACATGACGAATAGCCCGTCGAGGAATTTTCGCTGTACTGACTGTACCAAGCCTGAGAACCCGGCGATATAGGGGCCGAGTCGAAGTGTGTACATGTCATCGGTGAGGCGTCCCTGCCGTATATTCTTCCCTGCTCGAAACCTATTCTGCGACGGGCTGGGTGGATTTCAATCGTAGACGGTCGAGTTGTATCGCGAACAAAGTCCGAGGGACGGGGGCTCCGACGGGGATAATGATTTGCTCCCATCGAATCGTCAATTGGATCTCGAGAAATGTGCTCGGTTCGCCCTGTGCTCGTGGCTCAGCCATTTCTCTCTAGATAAAAGTTTGGAAGCACTGGTCAGAGCCTCCCAGGATGAACATATTTTGAGGGTAGCACCGAGCCCGGCAAGAGGGTCGCTTCTAGTTATGCACAGCGCCGCCTGGTGGGACCGGGACGAAATGCCGGTATTACAATGCGAATACCATCACGCTTTGACCTCTCGCTCGACTACTACAACATTACAATAATCCCAGCCCACGGGAAAGAGCAGTGGACGGCGGAGTTGGAACAAACGGAGGAAACCCTCCTATTCAGGGGAATATTCAAGAAAAACATTCTTTCATTACAGAGTTGTTAAAAACCAGTCAGGATGGAGGGCACTCCAATTGCCCCGAAGGACATAAAGATCCTTGAGACCGTGGAGGACATACAGGAGCGGAGGTCTCAGGTCCTCGGCCGGTGAGCTATTACCTTTGCCTGGAACAACTTTCTGAGGCCCCTTCGATCATAGACCCGGAGATGATCTCCCTGAATCCGATCTGAGGCTGGTCTTCTTATCTCTCACAGATACACCGATTTTAAGAACCAAGCCCATGAGAAGCGGGATCGTCTCGAGAAGGCGCGACGCTTCCAATACTTTAAACGTGAAGCCGATGAGCTCGAAGGCTGGATTTACGAGAAGCTGCAAGCTGCCTCGGATGAGAACTATAAAGACCCGACAAACCTACAGGTGAGTGAGCCTTCGCAATGTAGGGTGTGGACTCGCTCCACCCTCGACCGACCGGAAGGGGTCGGGTCACCGTGGACCGCTGGTGAAATATGCAGGACGCTGCTGGGAATATCGGAAACGTCATGGGGTCTGATCAGTGATCAGCGACGACGGAAGCTGCTCGACATTGTCAGCTGCTCGGAGATCACAGCGATGTCCATTGAGCACCCGCTCCCTCATCTGAGCGCGGGAAGCTATTCGATGCATCCAGATTGAGAGCTCTTGAAGCCTCAGATTCTCGGGAGTCATTTTTGCTGACTCATCTTTCCGGGATCTTCATCGATACCGATTCTCGCGTTCGTGACGAGGAGTCAGTCTGCCTCAGATGCTGAAATTCACGATGATTCGGCGGAGGGCATCGAGTAATTCGAATCGTCTGGAAAACTGATGCCATAAAGGAAATTTCCATACTTAGTCTTTTGAGAGTTTTTCCTCGGAGAAAAATCTCTTTCGACGCTTTTCGGGAATATTCAAAAACCATCTTCTTCCTCCAGGCCAAAATCCAAAAACATCAGGCCTTCGAAGCCGAGGTGGCCGCGCACTCCAAAGCCATCATTGTCTTGGACAACACCGGCATGGAAATGATCAAACATGGACATTTCGCGTCTGAGACCATCAAACAACGTCTCGACGAACTACACCGTCTATGGGAACTTCTCCTGAGCAAATTGGCCGACAAGGGTCTCAAGCTCCAACAAGCCCTTGTCCTGGTCCAGTTCCTTCGTCATTGGGATGAAGTGATGTTCTGGATCTCCGATAAGGAGAGCTTCGCGACAACGTCCGACGACTTCGGACACGATCTGGAGCACGTCGAGCTCCTTCAGCGCAAGTTCGACGAATTCCAGAAGGATATGGCCAGTCAGGAGATCCGTGTCAAGCAGGTCCACGAACAAGCGGACAAGCTTATCACCGACAGCCACCCCGAACACGATCTGATCGCTTCGAAGAAGAGCGAGCTAAACGCCGCTTGGAGCAAGCTGAAAGAGCTGGCGCTCAAGAGACAGGAACGTCTGTTTGGAGCTCACGAAATGCAACGTTTCAACCGGGATGCCGACGAGACCATCGCTTGGATATCCGAGAAAGCGCAACTGCTGTCGAGCGACGACTACGGACGAGATTTGGTTTCGGTTCAGACGCTCCAACGTCGCCACGAAGGCCTGGAACGGGACCTCGCTGCTCTGGAGGACAAAGTCATCGCTCTGGGCCACGAGGCGGGCAAGCTCGCCAACGAGCAGCCCGACGAGGCCGCGGCCGACGCGATCAGGAGCAAGCACAACGAGATCGTCCAGAATTGGGAGGAGCTGAAGAAAGCCGCCCAGGAACGCCGACGCAAACTCGACGAGAGCTACGGATTGCACAGATTCTTAGCGGACTTCCGCGATCTGATTTCCTGGATGCACGACATGAAGGCCACAATGTCGGCCGACGAACTGGCGAAGGACGTCGCCGGGGCCGAGGGTCTTCTCGAACGACACCAGGAGCACAAGGGGGAAATCGATGCCAGAGAAGACTCCTTCAGGCTGACTGCTGAGGCTGGTCAGATGCTCATCGACCAGAATCATTACGCATCTGACAGCGTCAAAGAGAAATTAGTCCAGTTGGCCGAGGAGAAAATGGCGCTGCTCTCTTTGTGGGAAGAAAGACGAGTCCTCTACGAACAATGCATGGATCTGCAGCTCTTCTATCGGGACACCGAGCAGGCCGACACCTGGATGGCCAAGCAGGAAGCGTTCCTGGGAAATACCGACCTCGGAGATTCGCTCGACAGCGTTGGAGCCCTTTTGAAAAAACACGACGACTTCGAGAAATCCCTCCACGCCCAAGAGGAGAAGATCAAGGCTCTGGATGAGTTCGCCGTAAAGCTGATCCAGGGCAAACACTACGCCGCATCGGATGTCGGTCAGAGACGCGACGCCCTGCTGAAGCGTCGCCAGGCGCTCGTCGAAGCAGCGGCGCAACGCAACGCTCTCCTCGGAGGAAGCTACAAGCTCCAGCAGTTCGAGACCGATGTCGATGAGACGAAGGGGTGGATCAATGAGAAATTGAAGAACGCCACCGACGAGAACTATCTCGACCCCACCAATCTCCAAGGCAAGGAGCAGAAACATCGGAATTTCGCGCAGGAATTGGAGACGAACGAGAGCCGCATCAAAGAGATCCTGTCCACCGGAGGGCAACTGGTTGAAGAGAAGCATTTTGCGAGCGACACCATTCAGCAGAGGATGGAAATGATCATGCAGCTCTGGAGCTCACTCGTTGAAGCTTCGGAACGCAAGGTGAGTCGATTTCCGCGAAATTTTAATTAAATTACGCGAAAAACTTTTTCCGATCCGCGATAGTGGATAGAGCTCGACATTCTTCCTCTCGTCGGCGATGAATGGGCATCTCAACGAATTCTCACATGTGGATCTATCTTTTCCTCAGGGAACTAAACTGCGCGAGGCCGCAGACCAGCAAGCCTTCAACCGAGGCGTTGAAGATATCGAGCTTTGGCTTTCCGAAGTCGAAGGCCAATTGATGAGCGAGGACTACGGGAAGGATCTCACTTCTGCGCAGAACCTTCTTAAGAAACACGCGCTCATCGAGGCAGATGTAGCATCTCATGGAGATCGAGTAGAGAACTCCCTTCTAGCAGCGAATAAATTCGTCGAAAAGGGCCATTTCGACGCGCCCAACATCATCGCTAAGCAAGAGGCTCTCAGGAATAGATACACCTGTAAGTACTAAGGTCCAGTATGCTCTTGTGTCCTGCACTCTCGTCCGAGCATGGATCATTCTCCGATCAATCGCGATCGGCGTCGCTCTATCATAGTTGGGGATGTAAATTTTTCGCAGACCGCCATTTTTCCGCGAATTTTCGCGGTTTCCGGCGACTCCCCATAGAGTTTCAATGGAGGCCGCGAATTCCCGCGAATTTGGCGGAAATTTTCCGCGAAAAAACATCCCTAATAATAGTTCGTCAGTTATTCCATTCGGATGTCGATCGTTTGCCGATGTCTTCGTGCTTGGTTCTTGTTCTGACGGTTCACTCGATCTGTTGCAGCACTCCAGAAACCGCTCCAGGAGCGTCGCCGTCGTCTCGAGGAGTCGATGGCTATTCACCAATTGCTTCGCGATATGGATGATGAGGAGAGCTGGATCCGCGAGAAGGAGCCCATCGCGGCCTCGACCAACCGCGGAAGAGACCTGATAGGCGTCCAGAACCTCATCAAGAAACACCAGGCCGTGCTTTCGGAGGTTGCGAACCACGAATCCCGCGTGGTTCTTGTTTGCGACGCGGCCGAGAAAATGGCGAATAGGACGAAGTCGCCCGCCGTGGGCTCGAAACTGGCCGACCTCCAAGAGAAGTGGCAACTCCTCAAGGACAGAGCCACCCGTCGCAAACAAGATCTCGAAGACTCGCTGCAAGCCCAGCAGTATTTCGCCGATGCCAACGAGGCTGAGAGTTGGATCCGCGAGAAAGAGCCAATTGTTCTGTCGGTCGACTTCGGTAGAGACGAAGACTCGGCTGAAGCTCTGCTGAAGAAGCACGAGGCCCTTATGGCCGACCTGGAGGCGTTCTCCAACTCAGTCGAAGCTCTGAGGGACCAAGCGAAATCCTGTCGACAACAGGAAGCACCGGTTGTGGATCAGGCGGGCAAAGAGTTCGTAGTTGCCCTCTACGATTATTCAGAGAAATCACCCCGTGAGGTGTCGATGAAGAAGAACGACGTCCTCACGCTCCTGAACTCGAACAACAAGGACTGGTGGAAGGTGGAGGTGAACGACCGTCAAGGTTTCGTGCCCGCCGCCTACGTCAAGAGGTTGGACCATTCTGGTCTGAGCGCTTCGAAGCAACATCTCGCCGGAGAGACTTCGATTGCAGCGCGTCAAGCTCAGATCGAGAGCCAGTACGCTAATCTTCTAGCTAAAGGTCATGAAAGGGCCAACAAGCTCCGCGAAAGCTGCAAAGCCTTCTCACTGGTCAGAGAAGCCGCAGAACTCGCCCAATGGATCCGCGACAAGGAACAAGTGGCTCAAGTTCAAGAGGTCGGCGAGGATCTCGAGCAAGTCGAGGTCCTGCAGAAGAAGTTTGACGACTTCATGGCCGACCTCAAGGCCAACGAGGTCCGTTTGGCCGAGATGAACGATATCGCCTCGCGACTCATGACCCTCGGACAGACCGAGGCGGCCAACAAGATCCAGACCCAGATCGACGAGTTGAACGATAAATGGAGGAACCTCGAAACCGTCACCCATCAGAGAGCGACCCAGCTGGGCTCGGCTCACGAAGTGCAGAGGTTCCAGAGGGACGCCGACGAGACCAAGGACTGGATCCAGGAGAAAGAAGAAGGCCTCGATACGGACGACTTCGGTCACGATCTTCGTTCCGTGCAAGCGTTGCAGAGGAAACACGATGGCTTGGAGAGAGATCTCGCTGCTCTTTCGGAACGAATTCGTCAGCTCGATGAGACCAGCAGGAGACTCACGAAAAGTCATCCCGACTCGGCTCAGGCCACCTTCAGCAAGCAGAAAGAAATCATCGAACAGTGGACCCAGCTCACGACGAAGGCCCAGCTGCGTAAAGAGAAGCTCATGGACAGCTACGATCTGCAGAGATTCCTCGCCGACTACAGGGATCTCTCGTCTTGGCTCAATTCCATGTACTCCCTGGTATCGTCTGACGAACTCGCAAATGATGTCACAGGGGCTGAGGCGCTGCTAGAGAGGCATCTGGTGAGTGTGGTTTGCGATTTATCTCGAGTCCCCGCTGTTCTTCGGCTCTGCCGATGAGCGGAAAACTCAAAAAAACTCAATCATGGTTTCTCTTCCTCAGGAGCACCGCACCGAGATCGACGCTCGCCAAGGAACGTTCCAGGCTTTTGAACAATTCGGACAACAGCTGCTGAGAAACGGTCACTACGCGAGCCCCCAGATCCAGGACAGGCTTGAGAAGATCACCGAGGTGAGGCTGCAACTCGAGAAAGCCTATCTGGCCCGGAGGACGCGCGTCGAAGAATGCCTCGACCTGCAACTCTTCTACCGAGATTGCGAGCAGGCCGAGAACTGGATGGCGTCCCGCGAGGCCTTCCTCCGCTCCGACGACATGGGCGGAGACAACGTCGAGGCCCTCATCAAGAAACACGAGGACTTCGACAAGGCCATCAGTGCTCAAGAAGAAAAGATCGCCACTCTATGCAACCTCGCAGACAAACTCATTTCCGCCGAACACTACGCCGCCGAAGACATTGACGCCAAGAAGAAACAAGTCCTCAATCGATGGGCTCACCTCAAAGGTAAATTTCCTCTATCGATGGAGCCTGACCCGATTGCATATCGGATCAAGATAAAAAATAACTCGGGAGTTATCGGATAAGCTGATTGAGTTGTAGAGGAACCGATACGAATTTTGATTAGTGGTATGAGCTAACGTCTTCGTCGTCGTCTTCACTTCCGCAGACGCTCTCATCGTCAAGAGGTCGCAGCTGGGCGAGTCGCAGACTCTGCAGCAGTTCTCCCGGGATGCGGACGAAATCGAAAACTGGATCACCGAAAAGTTGGCCATGGCCACGGACGGATCCGAACGAGATCCGACCAATATCCAGTCGAAACACCAAAAACATCAAGCTTTCGAAGCCGAATTGGCTGCTAACGCCGACAGGATCCAAGCTGTTCTCGGCAACGGCAACCATCTGATCGACAATCAGCAATGTCAGGGCTCCGAGGAAGCCGTCGTCAAGAGACTGGCGAGCATCACCGAGCAGTGGGAGTTCCTCACCAAGAAGAGCGCCGAAAAGAGCAATCAGCTCAAGGAGGCGAACAAACAGAGAACTTTCAACGCGGCCATCAAGGACATCGACTTCTGGCTCGGTGAGGTCGAGAGCCTTCTGAAGTCCGAAGACTCCGGTAAAGACCTCGCGTCCGTCCAAAACCTCATGAAGAAGCACCAAATGGTCGAGGCGGACGTGATGGCGCACGAAGACCGAGTGAAGGACATGAACGAGCTGGCCGACGCGCTCGTGGAGTCAGGACAGTTCGACCCGGCCGCCGTGCAGGAGAAACGACGCGACATCAACGAGAGGTACGAACGGGTCAAAACCCTCGCAACGTACAGGAGATCTCGACTTAATGAGGCGAACACTCTGCAACAGTTCCTCCGCGACATCGCCGACGAGGAGTCGTGGATCAAGGAGAAAAAACTGCTCGTTGGTTCCGATGATTACGGTAGAGATCTCACCGGCGTCGAAAATCTCAAGAAGAAGCATAAGCGTCTGGTGAACGAACTGCAGTCCCACGAACCCGCCATCCAGTCCGTCGAAGAGGCCGGACAGAAACTCATGCAGGAAAGCAACCTCGGAGTCCCCGAGATTGAAGCCCGACTCCAGCAGCTGCAGGTCAACTGGCAGCAGCTGAAGCAGCTGAAGGACGAGAGAGGAGAAAAACTCGACCAATCGCTAACCTATCAGCAGTTCCTCACCAAGGTCGAGGAAGAGGAGGCTTGGATCCAGGAGAAGCAACAGCTGCTCCAAGTTCAGGATTACGGAGATACGATGGCGGCCGTGCAAGGTCTCCTGAAGAAACACGAAGCTTTCGAAAGCGATTTCGGCGTCCACCGCGAGCGCTGCGCGGACATTAAGGCCGCTGGCGAACAACTGATTGCCGAAGGCAACCACCATGGCGGAGCTATTTCGCAACGCATGCAGCAACTCAACAACAGGCTCGACCAACTCGAGGCCACCGCGGTCAACCGCAAGAACAAGCTTATCGATAACTCGGCTTATCTGCAATTCATGTGGAAGGCGGATGTTGTTGAAAGCTGGATCGGAGACAAGGAAATTCATGTTAGAGGAGACGATTTCGGACGGGATCTGTCCTCCGTTCAAACGTTGTTGACCAAGCAAGAAACCTTCGACGCTGGATTGTCTGCTTTTGAACAAGAAGGTCAGTCTAGTTCCGTGATATTAGGTATTTCGTTATAATCATAATACATATGTCATATGTACTGATTTTCATTTATATCGACCTGAGCTACCAGGTGATATGGAATTCGCCCCCCCTCCCCTCTGATGATTTCTGACGTGGAATGTCGCTCTCCTAATATTCTCAATCATTGCCCATCCGACAGGCATCCATTCGATCACCGAGTTGAAGGATCAGCTTGTGGACGCCAACCACGATCAGAAAAACAACATCATTAAACGCCACGACCACGTTCTTTCACGATGGCACAACCTCCGCGGAGCGTCCGAGGCTCGCAAGGCGAAGCTTATCCAGATGCTCGACCAATACAAGCAGATCGAAGAGCTGTTCCTCACTTTTGCGAAGAAGGCCTCCGCGTTCAATTCTTGGTTCGAGAACGCCGAGGAAGATCTCACCGACCCGGTGAGGTGCAACTCGCTCGAGGAAATCGCAGCTCTTCGTGAAGCCCACTCCCAGTTCCAGGCGTCTCTTAGCAGCGCTCAGGCTGATTTCGATGCACTGGCAGCTCTCGCGGCGAAAATCAAAAGCTTCAACGTCGGAACCAATCCCTACACGTGGTTCACGATGGAGGCTCTGGAGGACACCTGGAAAAACCTCCAGAAAATTATCCACGAGCGCGACTCCGAGCTCGGCAAAGAAGCTAAACGTCAACAGGAGAACGACAAACACCGAAGGGAGTTCGCGGTGCACGCGAACGCCTTCCACGCTTGGCTCGCCGAAACCAGAATGTGGCTGCTTGACGGCTCTTCCATGCTCGAAGGTAACGGTACCCTCGAAGCTCAACTGGAAGCGACGCGCAGAAAGGCTGCCGAGGTCAAAGCCAAGCGCGTCGACCTCAAGAAAATTGAGGACTTGGGCGCTAAGCTTGAAAAGTACCTCATTCTCGATAATCGTTACACCGAACATTCGACCGTGGGACTCGCCCAGCAATGGGACCAGTTGGACCAACTGGGCATGAGAATGCAGCACAACCTCGAACAGCAGATCCAGGCCAGGAACCAGAGCGGAGTGTCCGAGGATGCTCTCAAAGGTGAGTTCGACGTTATGTCCCTTGCGCGAAGCTCCGACCGAATATCCGGAGATTGGATATCCGGGCACGTCTGACTTTCCACCTCTTCTCGTTGCAGAGTTCTCGATGATGTTCAAACACTTCGACAAAGACAAGTCTGGAAAACTGAACCACCACGAGTTCAAATCGTGTCTGCGAGCTCTTGGCTACGACCTCCCCATGGTTGAAGAGGGTCAACCCGACCCAGAATTTGAGGCTATCCTCAATGCGGTCGACCCGAACCGCGATGGACATGTTTCGCTGCAGGAATACATGGCTTTCATGATTTCGAGAGAAACCGAGAACGTCCGATCGTCCGAAGAAATCGAGAACGCTTTCCGCGCCATCACTTCCGGCGAGAGACCATACGTCACCGCTGACGAGCTGTACGCGAACCTCAGCAAGGAAATGGCCGATTATTGCATGGCCAGGATGAAGCCTTACGCGGAGCCGAAAACTGGTCGTGACATTCAAGGCGCCTACGATTACGTTGATTTCACCCGTACACTGTTCCAAAATTAAAAATAAGACAAGGGAAAGCCGCTGAACTGCCCATACCGGTGACGTTAGCACGACTATTCTTCGCCAGCTTTTACATGTGCATTACCATTAAATGAACGAGTAGCAAGTATTATGGCAAAATTACGCAACGCTGTTCTTATTCTATTAGGACGCTCGGAGCACTCCGCTCTTCCTCAAGAGACTTCGCCAAACTTTTCCAGCTCGGATCGATATCCTAGTCATTGGCGAACCTTCCATGAATTCGAATTGGTGACAATAAAGAGTTTTTAAAATCCTTTGACCCATCACGGGACTTCTTGTTCACACGCTTCGGGCAGTTTTCCGGAGGCGGAGCAATTTTCAGTATTTTTATGGCTCGATAAAAAGGACGCGTCCCCATGCTGCGATCTCTGAATTTGAAAACCTAGATTCATACAGGCTAGGTATATATCGCAAATCGGATAAATTCCTGATGCATTACGTGCACCGTCTGAACTTTGTGGTCAGGGACCACTTCGAGACTTTTCCGCTTCTTACCGGCGACACCCAAAATTTTCTCACGCATGATCCGACAGATGATGGTCTAGTCGCCGAGTTCCTTCTCAACGGCGAAATTCCTCCGGGGATGATTTTTCTCGCACCGGACTCTCCCCCGTGGAGAACTTCCAGGATCGCATAAGTTTCATAGACGGCTGACATCTGAGAGCGTGACTCGTTGCCGATGCTTCGCGCGCCGGGTATCTTGGTGCTGCGTCGCTAGTGGGAGGTCGCTCTTTCGAATCACGGCCTACTCTTATAGGATGCCCGGAGTAAACAAAGCGATGTCGACTCTAAACACGACGTGGTCAAGGGCTTGATGGAAAGCTCTCTTGGCTCGAACTAAAACTTCGGAGAATTTCGTGAGCCCGACGCTCTTCCAGGACGTTCTTGCTTGAACGCTCATTCTGAGGCTGTGGACCTCCGCATCCATTGCATCCGTTGTTCTGCTGAGACCGATGAACGCTGCCGGAGACGGTTGAAGGTTGTGTTCCAGGTGCCATCGCGAACAGAGTGCATCATGGCGGTCATAGTACCAAGCGATTTCGAAGACTTCTACAGGCTCATAAATACACCCGGGAAAGTGATATTCGTACTCATGTACGCTTGGTGGTGCTGGGGGAGCCAAAACGCAATGCCGACGTTCGGAGAGCTGAGCGACGAGTTTAAGGATTGCCTGTTCATCAAAGTGGAAATGGAAGAAATACCTGACGTTCCTCGAATCTACGATCTGGACTCGACTCCGGCTCTCATGTTCTTCAGAAACGGTGGTCGTGCCGATACCTGTCTCGGTGGTGACAGGGAACGCCTCGAGCAGTTCATCAGAATGTGGGCCTGTTGAAAGTTTCGATTCCTTTGGAGGAAGTCCTGGGATCGACGACGACTTTCACAGTCCTCTGACTCTGACCATACTTGATGACTCTGACCATACTCCGTGATACTTCTCTCATGGGAGCCGCTGATTCTAAGGTCTGTTGCCTGTTCAGGATCTCTGGGAGCCGGAGTTATCTACGAGACTCGAATGTTTCCGATGAGATGTCGACCTGAGCTCCTGGCCCCCGTTTCTGACTTCAGTGATGCGGGAGAATTTAATCTCGTCGCGGAATTTAATATCGCGCGGTTCCTTTACCATTCATGCTCAAATGAGCTAAACAGAAGATACTGACCGAAGTCGGAGCGATATCTTCTCAATGGGGATCGAACTCAGGTTCTCCCGCATTCTATCAGGTCCGACAAGTGATTCCCGACAGCGTCAGAGCTCGACACGGCAATTCAGGCCGTCGGATCCGGACGTAGTTCACTGAGCGAGTTCCAGGATTCGGCCAGAGAATACATCCATCCAGCAACAGCTGATTTCGAACGGAGCCGGTAGAAGAGCTCGGATGATCGAAGTTCGGACTCAGCAGGACACCAGAGGTTGAGGAGAGCAGGTCGCATTAGCGTCCTGAGTACCTGTGTATGATGAAATGGACCAATACGTCGATCTTGGATTGTAGACAAGGTGCCGTTCGAGCGGTGCGATACAATGTCGATGGCTGCTACGCATTGACCGCGGGCAGTGATCGGACGGTGAAGCTGTGGAACCCCTCGAAAGGCACCTGCCTCCAAACTTTTGTTGGTGAGTTGATATTCTCTCGAATAATACCTAAAGGAAAATATCTCCCTCAATGGCGATTGTTATCGACGTTTGCTCCCCTCAGTCTGGAGGTGCTTCAAGATTTACTTCTTCAGGACACGGTCTCGATGTCATGGACTGCAGAGGATCTTCCGACAATGCTTTCATCTGCACGGCGTCGAAAGACAAGACTTGTACACTTTTCGAGGTTGAGACGGGCAAGAGCATCCGTAAATGGCGAAGCCACGCCGGACCGGTTCTATGCTCGACTTTCAATGAGGATGGTTCTCTGGTGCTCTCCGGTGGCGTGGACGGCAAAGTCTGCATATGGGACGTGAAGAACAGAGGATCGCGGGATCCACTGCAAACACTTGAGGTAATCCGATTTCCGGAAGTCGGATTTTCTCCCTTCCCTCCTGTGGAGAATCGAGGTGATGATCGCCGTCGCAATGTTCCAGGAACCGACGGACGCCGTCACGAGTGTGACCTGCTCTGACCACGAGATTCTCGTGAGTTCTCTGGATGGAAAAGTTCGGCGCTACGATCTGCGTGTCGGGAAAATGAGTCAGGACGACGCAGGAGCACCCGCATCAAGGTACGAAACCTTTCCTTCGCCTTCGTGGAGGGAGGGAGAACTGCTCCCCGTCGTCAACCAGAGCGTCGAAATTCGAATTCATGACGGAATTCACCGCTTTTCCAGAGCTTGTTTTACTTCTGACGGGAAGTGCATCATCCTTTCGTGTCTCGGTGGAGTCCTTCACCTCCTGGATAAGTATACAGGCCAATGCCTCCAACAGTATCGAGGTGGGTGTCTTGTCGGAAGCCCCGCTTTGCTTTCGGTGCATTCATCGCTCTACTTGTCGCTTCGAGCCAAAGAGCTGACGCCGGAGCCCTCTTCCCTTCGCAGGTCATCTGAACGTGGACTATTACTTGGATATCTGCCTAGGTGCTCACGATATGCGAGTTTTTTCTGGATCGGAGGACGGAAACGTTTTTCTGTGGTCGCTCGTTGAGGCGAAAGTCTTGCACAAAATGAAGCATCCCGTCGAAGCTCCTGGTAAATTGCTCAATATTGACTCGTCCTCCACCATCTGTGGATTTTCTCTCCGTCCTGTATATTTCCAAGAATCTGCAACACCACTCTTCCTTTGCAGTTCATTCCCTCACCCATCATCCAGAAGAGAACACCGTGATGACTGCGTGCAAAGGCATCGCTTATCTTTGGAATCTTGACGAAGAGGATTGAATAATGGTGGTGCTCAGGAATGACTAAAATGGCCCGATGGAAAAATCTTCGGGGACATTACGGGAGGGTTCCATTGAAAAATTCAAGCGCCACTCGATTCCATTCCCAATGTTTATATTCGAGTGTATTTTCACTCATGTACAAAGAATAGGAAGATGAATATGTTTTCCGCCGATCGCTGCGTTGTCAATGCGACTCGAGTTGGGGCTGAACGGAAGGTCGTCGGCCGATCCCGGTCGGCCTCCACGTGGCCTGCGATTCATGCGACGGCTATGAGTTCGTTTGCAGTGTCCGGGACCAGCTCACGCTGGGGGCAAGAGTTACCGGCCTGCGCCTGGATTTTAGTGGAGGACTCGCCTAGAGTGAGCAATGCATAGGATTAGCGGAGATTTTCAGTTCTTGATTGGCGCGGGAGTCTGCATGAACACTATCAGATGCATTAACCGAATCCTCAAAGCCAAAGCTAGGATTTCAAATGGCACAGTTTGTTGATCATCACCATCGATGCGATCTTAGGGCACGAGACATCGTAGGCGACCTCGAACTCACCATCCTTCCGGGAGATCAATTCCCTGCGAACATCGGCCGGGTGGCGTTCTCTTCAACGATTCGGATCTACGAGAAATCGGAGTGTGCAATTAGTACTCGACTACTTTCAACTTCCAAGAGTAAAGATACTATTCCGGTCAGCGGACAACAAAGCAATCATCAGCGCCTTCGCTATGATTTCAAATGGCACATTTTTGTTAATCATCATTAGGGCTGGGAATCCATCACGGGATTCACGGTCGCGCCGAAAGCCGTGAATTTCCCTCCTTCCTGAGATGCCGTGAATTTTTTTTCACTCTCCTTTCAGATGTTTCCCGACTTCTAATAGCTGTTTCCACGAGGAGATGAGGATTCCACTATCGGAAAAAGAACCTAGCGTTCGAGAGACGCCGAAAAATGATCATCAGCACAATAGTATCACCTACCTGGCATTCTCAAGGTCGAGAATTCACGGTACCGTGAATTTTCGGAAAAAGTGCCGTGATGAATTCCCAGCCCTAATCATCATGTATAAACCAATCTGGCTCTCGAACGAAGATTGGGAGAAACTCACCGTGGTCGACGATTGGAGGTTCCCGATCCTCAGATTCCATGCCTTTTCCAGAGCACGTTGATGGAGGCCCCCGTCCGATCCGCTCGATGATGGGATCCAACGTTCTTCGCATTTTGAAGCACGTGTGACTAGCCCGAAGCGCGTGCTTCAGACACTAGACGGTTCTTCCGCTACGAGATCTTGTCGTCTGCTTCATTCTCCTCTCCGTAAGGGCGGATTGTCTCTCACGCTACTGAGAGCGTTTTAGCCGGCGACTGAAGGGGCTAAGGCAGCATTCGATATCTATCCTGGACCACAAATTCATTCCCGCTCGATATCCAAGTTACAACACAAAGGGAGATCAGGGACATCGAGAGATACAAGTCACCAAGGAGCATTCGGAGCTGACAGAATCCATCCCCATTCAAGCGTATAATCAGAGCCCTGGGGCAACCTCACGAGACCCTCACTTCGGTCTACTCGTTCGTGCCTCCACGGGAGGTACGGCATCACGCGAGCCTCGCTCGGTCTCAGGACGTCAAGCGGAAAGCCATTCCATTCTGTGTCAAACTTACAGTCCCATGATGCGCCAGGGGAAGGCTGTTGAAGAATTCGTGAGATGCGGCCGGCCGGCGCGCCCGTCTTCAGCCCGAGGCGCACCGTTTCGCAGCGGTGCGAGTCGTGAAGTTCACCTATTTTCTTTCTGCGTTCTTCAGCGAACATCACGGCTCCGCATTGTTGTCTCAAGACAACGACTAGCGGTACAGCTAACCGTCGCATCGTTAGCCCTCATTCCAGCGCAGATCTCGAGGGATCATATTCTTAGTCATGATTATAATGAGCACAAGACTTTGCCCATTGTGTTAGAGGCTCAGTCGAGCGTATTATGACTGAACTCCTTCTAAAAAATCATTCATCGCGGCGTGTCATAGAGAGAAAATCATTGACTCGCGTAAATTTCGCTGAACGCGAATCGCGAGAATTTCCGACGCCCGATCCGCACAGCGCTCGTACATTTCTTCCTCTCAAGTCTGCCATGAGTGGATGGAGACAACGGAGTCAATGATGTGTGGGTCCATTACCAGGAGAATCAGAGATCGGAGTGAAATGATTTCAGTCAGCGAAGCTCAGCGGATCGTAGCCGATTCGAAACTCAGAGATAGTGGAATCGCAAGAAAATGTGAAGTTATGAACTGGAGCGGCGTTACTGAGCTGCGGGACGAGCGGGATCGCCAGAGCTGCGCCTAACTCCGCGTCCTGTCTCGACGATTTTCCAGAAATTTGAATAATGTTGAAGATTCCTTGTCAACACGAAGAGCTACATTCTCGTCTCCGAACGGTCACCTGAAACGTTGTGGCGTGAGCGCACCCGGGTGATGATAGATGATGGAAGCGAAAAACACGCCTCTGACCACTGCGGAGACGAGTTAACACGACGCGACGCGTAGCTTATCTGTTTCAGAATCCCTACGCCGCCGTAGCCATTTCAGAGGGGGAGTCCGATGAACGGCGGTGCCGCGCCTCACAATCAGTCCCAGATCCTTCCAGACTTGGATGAATGCAGAAATTTCGATGAACTAGATCTTTGCTTCAAGATTCGATCCCGGATCCCGAACAAGAAACTGAGGAGGACGATTATTTCTTCAGTGAAAATTCCAATCGATAGCTGACGAGCAAAGCTCGCGGTGTTTTGCTTCAAGTCGGTGTGAGTCACGGCATTTCCGACTCGGTCAGTTCGAGGGGCCCGAAGGACTCGGGCGGCGCTGAGTGTGCGACGCATGCTAAGGACATGGCAGGCAGAGACGGCTCTGTCCTGGGATGATATTCGAGCCAGGGACGCAGAGAGAAAAAAAACTTATAAAGGACACGGGTGTAAGGAGTGTAACTTTCCCGAACTCCAATCAACTCCGGCTTTCGAGGATTTTTTCATGAAGCAGCCGGCTGTGAGCATCGCTGGAAGCCTCCCATGCTGGGAGCAGAGCGCGAAAATTGAGCTTCGACTCGCCTTCTCTGAGCGCAGCTTTCATAACGATTTGATCCGGTGGTAATCGCGGCTGGGTTAGCTGTCCCGTCATATAGCGCTCCCAGATGATGTAATGAGCATGTCTCGCGGCGCTCAGTTCGACTCGAGATTAGCTAGATTACTCCGAATGATTCGCAGACTGTCAGAGCCTGAATCGATTTAATGATGAAATTTTGAACTCGGCAATCGCACTTGATGATGAGACCAATGTGCTCATGTGGATCTCTTGCGGATCCAACCCTGCGATGTCCTTGGTGATTTGGTGATTGTCGCGCTGCCCCTACCACTGGGCTTATGGGGACAAAAGGGTCATTCTTCGAAGTTTAATTATTGAAAAAATTTATTTCCTATAACGGTTTGTCTAGATATTTCATTTAGTATTTTGTTCGATCGTTCATTCGTTCTAACCGGAACAGTGGCGATAGTGATGGCGAGGTCGTCCATGACAATTGTAATAATGGCATTATTAGAGATGATGCTCGTTCTAGTCTTAATACCCAGAGAGTCCTCGTTATCGTAATTACAGGGTGTAAGCATCGAGCCCGCTAGCTAGCTCCAGCTCGAACACCACTCGGACTCACGAAGGAAACCATAGATTATTATTTCATTGAGCGTGAATCAGCCGCTTCACCAAAACTCTGGATCATCCAAGTGTTGGATACATTGAAAAAACAGTACAGAAGCATTCGACGTGGCCGTCAAACGTCCGACCGGCGAGTCTCATTTCGAAGAACTAGCAGCACCCTCCAAAAAACCTTTGGGATTTATCGGGACGTTCTCGTAGAGCGTTGACGTGCTTGGACCGGAACTGGATGCCGTCGGCGTTAGAGGCGGCGGAAGTGGAAGACTTTTTTGCTGAATGTGTCCCACAGGTTTCGGAGGCATCACGCCCTGGTCAAAGTACGGTCTCGATGTGACAGTATCGAAGCTCGGGGGCGGGATTCCGGGGGACGCAGGAGGGTACAGCGGGGTCATGGGAACCGACGGCGAGAGGGGGGGCGCTCCCGCGCTGTACTTTATGTTGGTGTAGTCACGACCTAGAACCGTATACTTGTGCTCGGCCATCAATCGCTGATGCATGATCTCGATGAATTGCTGCACGGCGAGGTAGACGAATTTATACTGGGCTTCCGTCTGGACCATGCCGGAGCGCTGGCGGCGTACCATTCGAATAGTCTTCATGATGTCGATTTCGCAGGCTAGCCCCCTGCGTTTGATCTCATCGACGATCATGTCGATCACAATGAACGTCCCAGTTCGGCCGATACCGGCGCTGCAGTGCACGACGATGGGCCCCGCGTCCGGACCCGAGGACTCTTGTTTGGAATTGACTTGTTCCAGGAAATTCAATGCACAGCCCGGGTCGCCGGGGACGCCGTGGTCGGGCCAGGCGGTGAAATGAAAATGATAGATGACGCGGAATTCGCTTGTTGGCACGTCGGTAAGTTCGAGCTCCCGGAGCGTGTAGTCGCCGGTCGTGGATTCGCCAACGTTCTTAATTTTGAAGTTGGAGTACTCGACTGTTTCGTTGCGTTCCTCGGGCCAGTACCGGCAGCATTTGGGCTTCCCTCGTTCCACCTCCCTGGTGGTCATCACAATGACACGACATTTCTCCTGCCAGACCATTTGCCAAAAATCTCCTATTGTATTCGCGAGAGGACCCTGTGTGGCGATGTAAACTTTGCATGCGGAAGGTTCCGTGTCGAAAAGGCCTTCTTCATCCACCCGGATAAAGTTCGCGTTGATATAGTCCGCGCCGTTGCCGTTGTCGACGGCGGTATTCTTGAGAACTACTCGCGTGTCGTCGAAGGGCAAAATATTTTTATATCGATTTTTCGGTTTGTTCTCGGCCTTCTGACCTTCTTTTCTGCTATAGAGATGCTTGCATTCCTGCTGTTGGATCTGCTCGAATTCCTCCCAGAAGCCGGCCTTGCTCCCGCTGGTGTTCTCCCGGGAGAGCTGCTTGACACGTTCGTCGATCGTTGACGCCTGTATTCTCGAGGCGTTCAGTGGCTGCTTCAGGTGCACAACGATTCCCGATGTTTCAACCATGGGATTCCGTCGATAGAAATCGATAAGGTCCGACAGAGAGGCGAATTTCTCGCCACCACCAGCATCGTAGTATCCGTCCAGGCAACGGATTATGAAATGGGTGACTTTGTCTTCCGTCCGGACCGACAGGACGTAGTCTCCGGGCTTTGACTGTGATTCTCGAACCAAAAAACTGCCGTTCCGCCCCTTGTTGAGCAAGAGACGCTCGGCGTCTTTGCCCATTAGCGGACCGTGGAACCACCTCTCTGTGGTCGGGTCGGCGCATATGAGCGGATACTTGAGTTCGATAATTTCTCCGTTGCGTTCCTTGAGATTTTCCTGCTTCTCCATGTAGTGCTGGACGAGTTCAGCGAGAGTGGCGAAGTTCTCGCCGCCGTAAAGGTCATAGTAATCACCGCTGTTCCGGATCTTGATGTGCGTTACCTTGCCGTTACGTCGAACCGACAGTGTGAAGTCCCCCTGTTTCGATTTCGATGGCCGGGCCAGGAACGATCCGTCCATGCCCTGATCCAGGAGAATCTTCTCGGCTTCGAAGCCCGAAATATTGGGGTGGAACCACCGACCATGTCCTCGGCTGGCCATTTCGCCGACTGATACCTATCGCTCGCGGCGTGAAGCAGCGGCAGAACAAAGTGCTCGGCAGCAGGTGTCGGTTTCCCCGATTTGATGGCCTTTCCGTCCTACGTTCTACCGAATCAATCTTCTCATATTTCGCTGTCTAGCTCATCAGTACACCGATGAGTGACTGATGCTGAGTGGATGCAGCACCTGCCAGATTCCGCGTTGTCGTCGTTGGGTACCCTCTGGCGACGTTCGAGGGTCCGTTGCCGGTGATTCAGTGGTGTCAGCCTCACGAGACCGCCCGCACCGTGCCTGTCACCTGGTCGCCAGTCAAGTGTTGGATGTTCCTCTTTATTGTCACTGTCAGTTCGTCCGACTTCACGTTCGTATCGGTGTACTGTCGGTCGGGATAACAGCTGATCGCTCGAATGAGAAAAGCGAAGGAGTATCGGGATTCCGGATTCCACTCTGATCGAAGTAGGCGCACTCTTAGTGGTGGTCACGCACTGCACTGGAGCGCTCCGATAGCGCTGGCACCATCGAATTAATGCTGACAGGCTCTCGAGCGAACAACTCGCTAGTCCGCTATACTTTATCACAAATTGTTGCCGAACACCGCCGCCTGACCGCACGCCACAAAGCGAGAAACCGTGGACGACCGTCACCAATACTAGACGTTGAGTTCGCCTTTCATCCGCGTATTATCGCACGACGTACTCATGTACGGCTGGACGTGTGATTCGGGAAGCGTACATTTGTTCGTACGGAACTCTGTGGGAAAATGCGTGTAGAAAGAACGCGGGGTAAAATTCTACAAAAATGGAATCTGTCGTCGACGGGAGAGTGAAGACAATGATGCCGATGATCTTTGCTGGATATTTAGGAAAGATCGGGCGGTCTCATCCCCACGCTCCGGTCTCAATATCAGGCCGAGACTGCTACGATACTGGCCACTTATGACAACGTTGGATCGAGGGGAATCATGCTCTCCTGGTTCTTGCTCGGGATCGATCGATTCGAGGCGCGACCGGACAATGCGGAATCAGGATGGTTCGTACTGGCTGACGTCGATTAAGCTCGGATCGGATGAGGTCAGATCTCGGTCAGGCTGGATAAGACAAGAAAACACGTCGTATCAAGAGAAGTCTGTCCTGTGTCTCTGCGGCGCATTTCCCGATGGAATGCTCTTCAGGAGTTCCGCTTCCCCCTTCCAATAAAGTCCCGAAGCTCGAGGAGTCGATCGATAGCTGGGGTCCAACGCGATCCTTCGCAGCGATCTTCTCGTTCACCGTGCATCTTCGGGAGAATTCCATACACGATACGTCGCAGAACAATCCTCAGCAGATTCCCGATCAGGGAGGGCAGAAGACGATCTCGCTCTTGGAAGATTTACTCTCGCTTCAGTCGGCGGCGTAACTCGATACCCGATTCAGCTACTTAAGCTTTGGACGAGCGCGGTTGTGCCTCCGAAATTCGCGACGTTATCAGTCGCCGGGGAGCTCTTGGGAAGCCTTTGTGGATTTTTCGTGCATTCCACCTGCACCCCCCCCCCCTAAATGTAGGCGGCAAAGTAAAAAGTACCACCCTTGGCTGGTTCCTCGCCAGAGCTGTCCCTCTCGTCGAGATCTCTGCAAGTGTGCAAAAAATATGGACTCGACCAGACTCTCCGCACAGGAGTCTTCACGATCCCTCGTCTCGACTCCAGGTTCCGACATGGTCACAAGCGAGGGCGTCAGCTTGATTTCGGACGTCATCAAGGATCTCCCCGATGTTCCTTGCAGTGTGCTCATAGGTGCGGGTCTGTCGAAGGAAGTAAGTCTCTCCTCGCCGAAAAAAAGCGTTCCGCTTTAAATTTTCCCCATACGAATAAAGTCGGACGTCTCCAAAAACGATCTTAGGCGAAGCGCGCAGAGAAGTTGCGTGGAGACTTTTTTGATGCTAATGAATGCTCGGAGTCGCTGCGCAGCTTGTCAGTGGAAACTTCCGCAGAGGTACGCTCGGAATCAAATGGATGGAGACCGGTGAAATCGAGAAATTGTTTCAAACTGAACCAGATTCCAGATAATCCGAGCCAGCAGGCAAGCAAATAGAGCATCGTACTCCCATAGATTGGAAGTTTCCCGTCGAACTCGGAACTCTTTCCTGAACACCCGTCATACAGGCGACACTCCCCACTACGCTAGCATCCCGAGCTCGGACGATGCTGCGACCATTGAAATTGGTGGTTCGTTGAAGGATGTCATCGTTTTCGGAGCCAGCTCCGCCGACGGTCTGGGAATTGGCGATAATACCAAGATATGCAAAATATGTACCCAATTCGTCTGGCGCTGAATGCGATAATTGACAATTTCGACGGGCGATTATTCTAGGAAGCCAAGCCGTGGACATGCTTTGAGACCTGTGGGATGGCTGATGTCGAGGCCAACTGTATAGGTGAGCTCGCGGAAGATGTAGGGTGGATAACCAAGAGCTTCCTCTAACCGGGAGTATCTACGGTGCGGTGTTTACCTCACGAAAAAATGTTGAGTGAACGTTGATTAGATTCTCTAGGTGGTCGCAACGTTTGAGTCTCGGAGGCCTATGTCAGGGTACGCGGTCAGAGAACCTTCACGGAAGGATAAGAAGAGATGGGGAAGGGGACGGAGGACTGAGGCTCTTCCGTCGATCTTGGAAACGAATGGCGTAACTCTATCGGGGACGGTATTCCTGCGATTCCTTTTACTGCTCTCGCCCTGCGTCGGCTCTATTCGGAGCCATTCGAGCCGGAATTCTTAGAGCTTGTCGTTTCTCCCAAGAGGGTTCCGCAGGACATTCCTGGGACTGCCCATGGCATAATAGTCCGACTATCCGGGCTTGATTCCAAAGAGGGGAAGATTCAGGCCTTGACTAGACTTCACGTGGATTAGATCGGAAACCGTCGAGTCTCGTTCTGAGAATTGAGGCTCTATGGGAGCCGCGATACCGCCTTCGCAGATCAGGCGGGGATTTAAGGCTCTTCGCACTGGTCTCTTCATGATCCCAGAAAGGTTTACGTGATCCCGCGGAGGGGTCCTGTGCTAGGATGCTTCACCCCGAGGTTGACCGACATGGGACGTCTCGGTCAGAGCTCCTCCATTGAGATGCCGGCATGCGTCTTGTTTCCGACTCTGACTAAAGGAGCCTCGAATTTTTGAGTCGCTTCTTTCGAGACCTGTCGCAGTCGTTCGACTCAACGAGATAAAGTACTGAGACGATTCGGAATCGATGTCCGAACATCGAATGTGCTCCATGCCTCATCACACGACCTTCATCTGGTCTCGAGAATCACTTCCCGTCGGCTCTGACACGGGAGTGGATCTACCGAGGCGAAATCTTGTACTCGGCCCGAAAGTTTGACACCCCCAAAGAAGAATGGAGATCTCGTCGAGAGCGGCCGCAAAGGAGGAGGCGAATCGTCGTCAGCGCGTCTCCGAGCGGCGGAAATTCTACGAACAAATCGAGGAAACCGAGGTGAGAGACGGACGGATCAACCGATGCGTTCTGGAGTATGACCTCGGAACCAAAGAACCCCTCGTCGAGGTAGAAGCAGCGCTCGTGCGCGACATGAAGCCGCATCAAGTCGAAGGTGTGAAGTTTCTCTACGATACGGTGATCGAGTCAATCGAGCAAGTTTCCCAGAATGCCCCAGGTAGTGGCGCAATCCTGGCGCATTGCATGGGCTTGGGTAAGACGTTCCAGGTGATCTCTTTTCTGCAAACGGTCATGACTCACGGTATCCTCAAAAGATACATCAGAAAAGTCATCGTGGTCTGTCCCTGCAATGTCGTATTGAACTGGGTGAGGGAGTTCGAGATGTGGATCGATGAGAACGAAGACGTCAAAGACGCGCTCAGAGTGTACGAGTGCAGTGGACCGAAAAACATCCACGAACGGCTGGAAATGCTCGAGGATTGGAGCAGGAACGGCGGTGTATTCATCTTGGGATACTCAATGTTCAGACTCATGTCTCGGAAAAACGCGGCGCCATGGGAAATCGAAGCCAAACTACCTCTCCTCCTCCACGACCCCGGAGCCGACCTCGTCGTGTGCGATGAAGGCCATCTCCTCAAGAATGGGAAGACTCAAATTTCGAAGGCCATGAACCTGATCAGGACCAAACGCCGAGTGATTCTGACAGGAACGCCGCTGCAGAATAACATGTCCGAGTACCATTGCATGCTGAGCTTCGTAAAACCGAATCTTCTCGGGACTCACAAGGAATTTAACAATCGCTTCCTGATCCCCATCACCTACGGTCAAGAACTTCACGCCACTGTCTACGCGGTGCGACGCATGAGGAAACGCGTGCATATATTAAACCAATTGCTAGCTGGATGCATCCATCGACGCGACTACAATCATCTGACACCCTATCTCCCCACGAAATTCGAGTACATAATATCGATCGAGTTATCGGATATGCAGAAGAATCTTTATCGTCAATACCTCGATTACATTGGTATCGGCGAGGATACTCCGCGCGAACGTCTCAAGAGACGCATGCTGTTGATGGACTACCAAGTTTTGAAAATGGTCTGGACGCATCCGAGTCTCGTGACAGAAAGCGAACATCGACGGGAGCAGATACGGCAAAGGAGGACCAGCAAACAGAAGCCGCTCAACCTCGATGACTCCATCGGAGCCTGGGACTCTCTTGTATTCGGTCAAATCGGCCAAGAGGAAATCTTGAAATTCTGCGGCCTCGACGAATTCCGCTTTGAGACTCAGAACGAGCAAGCAGGACCGGTGGATATCAGCGCAAAGGTTTGACCCAAAATCATCCCGTCTGACCCGAGATAGTTTCGCGAAATTTGGTGCGCGAGAAGAATATTCATCCATCATTGATTTTTTCCTATTCAGGGAGAGCCGGACAAATGGTGGAGCGATGTCCTCCCGAGCGGTGCCGAGGAGCTCGAAAGCTTAGCGCTTTCGTCAAAACTCTCGCTCGCATTCGAAATTCTCCGAGAGAGTGAGCTGGTTGGAGATAAGGTAATCTTATTCAGTACTAGTATACTGACATTGGATCTCGTTGAAAGGAATCTGCGGATCGAATATGACAGGGCTGTCGCAGAAAACCCCGAGAGCTCGGCCATTCGGAGTTGGCTTCCCGGCGTCGATTACTTCCGATTGGATGGGAAGACCGATATCAACGTCCGAAAAAGAGACATCGATCAGTTCAACGATCCCCGAAACAGAAGGGCGAGGCTTTTCCTCGTCAGCACGAAAGCTGGAGGGAACGGGACGAACATGGTGGGAGCGAATCGCGTTATCGTTCTTGACGCCTCGTGGAATCCGTCTGACGACAGTCAGGCCGTATTCCGAGTGTACCGTTTCGGCCAGACAAAGCCGGTCTTCGTATATCGCCTTGTGGCGCATGCGACCATGGAGGAAAAGATTTACGATCGACAAGTGAGCAAAATCTCGCTCGCCTGTCGAGTGGTGGACGAACAGAATCTCGAGCGTCATTTCAACGAAGCGGATCTCAGAGCTCTCTATGAGTTCAAGCCCGAGAAGGACGCGCGGAGAACTCCCTCCATTCCGAAAGATCCGCTCCTCGCGGAGCTGCTCCTCAGATGCAGAACACTAATCCGGGGTTACCACGAGCACGACTCGCTACTCCGTCAAGAACTCGAGGACGAACTAACTGAAGAAGAGCGGAAACAGGCCTGGAAGGAATATGAGGACGAACGCGACGGCAAGGCCCCGCCTCGTGCACCGACCTCGCTCTCGGAATCGGCCGCATCTGCGCCGGGCAAGCGAAGCCAGCCTGCTTCAACTGGCTGTCCGACTACACCGGCTCCCTTCGTTTACGATGTGAACCAAGATCCTTACTGGCAGCAGGTTGCTCCTCATGCCGAGGCTCAAGACTACGAGGAGCTCCACAAGCAGATGCTGGGCGATTTCATGACCGGTAAGTCAAAGTATCACGGCCTCCGCCTGGGGTCACCAATCCGAGTCGAATGCTGTTTTTCGGGGTTGTTCCTCGAAAATCTAAGGGGCGTCGAGTCTTACGCGCTCCTGCTTCTTACGGTTAGGTGCGTTGCCCTTGCCTGCGCAGAGCATTTCCCCGGTGGCACAGCAACAGTACGAGATTCCGCAATGGTTACTTGGTGGGGTCCCGAATGTCGCGTCGGCGCCCGACACAGGTACACCACGAAATTTTTGAAAGACTTTGGACGACTTTATCTGATTCCAACGCTTGGATTTCCCTGCCTTGTCACGAGCGCGAGTAACCTCATTCCTCGTCACTAGGAACGCCCGCCGACTTGGGGAAATTGTTGAATGAATCGATGCTGACCGCTTTCGGGGTCGACGATCCTTCGATGGGTCCGAAATAGATCCTCTTTGGAGTCCAGTCGCAGGTATGGAAGCTGCATCTGGAGATGCATTTCGTCGGTGATCAGTCCGGAAGCCCGCCCAGACCTCCCATGATATTTTGCCGAATACTGCTCTTTAGTACCCGAATTCCAATCCGTCAGCGCTGCTCAAACTCTTCAGGATCGAGGTGGCGGGAAGGAGGGATTTCTGCGGGACTCGCACGATTCAGACGAGGGAGTCCTGCGGAATGTACGCGAAACAAGGACAGTCGCCTCGAAATCTGAGTCGGCACATCAATTCTTCGATCAACTGCTGAGCGCCCCCGATCGTCGACTCCGCGGATGATGTGCCGAGTGAGAACCAGGGATAAGTCGAAACTCCCTTTGTCCCACGATCAGACCCACAGTCAGTCGGAATCCCTGATATCGATGCCCATCGAAACCTGGGACGAATCCCGGATCCCGTCGAAATGCCCAGTGCTCGATATAAAATTTTCAACAGAGGAAATCAAGGAACTGTTCTTTCGTATAAGTTAATATAAATGCTTTTATTTATTATTGAAAGATATCTAGAGTACATCCTGCAGACTCGCGGACGGTGAGATTCCCGTCTGTACTGTTCCCACAAAAGGTGTATAAATTCTTCACCAAAAGATTCAGAATCGTTTGAAGCAATAAGAAAAATACTCTGATATATCGAATGCGTAGACTAGACGTTCTTACATACAAGCGTCGTTTGTTCACATTGGATGACCTTCCGACGTTATGTCGGGTACTATCTATAAAATGCCTGCATCAATCGTGATCTCGCCGGTGACCTGAGCACCGAATGAGATTAAATACCGGGAATGGTTTGTAGTCTTCAAAAATATACCGTTCTCTCATTTCTGAGTCTAGTTTTGTACACAACTCAAGTAGATTTTTGGCAGTCGATATGTTGGACAAATACAGGGAGCGGTCAACGTCGCTCCCGCTCCGGCAGGCGCTTCCGGGAAGGCGTTGTAAGTATACAAAGATTCATAATGATAAACGTCATTGGTCGTCGAAAATTTGACTGAGAAAACTCGGTATTCGAAATCCGGTTCGACACCCGACCACGGTGCAGAGCTGAAAATATATTGTGACACCATTTCGTGACAACTATACTGACTTCTGAGACCACGATGTTAAAATGCCTCGACGAGCGCGAGTGTTGCAATAGCAATCGCTCGGAATAGCGATTGTCGACATTCTTCTCATAGCTTGGATATGTTTCTCTCTATATCAATCTCTCATGATATGTGGGGCTTGACAAGATTAGGAATAAGTGGCTAAACCTCCCTTTCCACGCACCGGAAAAGGGAGTTTCGAATTAAAGTTTCGGTCAGAGAAGAAGCTTCAGCACTCCTTCCTCCAACAGATAATTTCCACGAATACAATGGCTTGCTATCCTCTATCGGCACATGGCTGTTACCGGGATATATTCGTTGATGGGTGATCTTCGTGACTGTAGAGCTGCTTGCTCATACGGCGATATATGATGAACCGTCGTCAAAGTCCTGAGTGTACCGGGTTTCAAAGGATATGACGTGTAATCGTTCGTATACGAAGACATAGTGGTTATATGCGTAATGTAATAATATGTATGTATATATATGTGAGCTTCACCGGGCTATGAGACTAGAGGAGTTGCGTTAGAATAGAGTCTGAGCAAGTCTTTCTGGCAGTTTTCAAAAATAAATTATTTCGGAGATTGTCCGGTACTTTCTCGGATTTACCGAATCAGATCGTGTCGTTCAGATGAATCGACATGTGGACCAGCTCAGCTCCAGGCACCGACGAGCTGTAGTCGCACATTGAGCAGTTGAAGTCGATTCGCGGAACTCGTTCTCTTGGCAGTGATGAAGGGTCGTTGAGATAGTAGGGTTTTCCGACGTGGATGCGTCTTATGTGCCTCCTCCAGTTGGGTTTCTGAGAGCATCTGAAGTCGCAGTACGGACAGACGAATGGCCTCTCGCCCGTGTGCTTCCTCACGTGATCCGTGACCACGTTCTTATAACTGCTCGAACGACACCAGGGTTAAATCACGTCGTCGTCCTCTGCCTACTCGCGGACTGCCACAAGCGTGAAGCTACAGCATGAGGAGGAAGAATCGAAGGGGAGCGGACACTCACCGAGTCTCGTAACCGCAGAAGTCGCAGAGGTAAATTCGTTCTCCGTCGGATCGTTTAGTGACAATGTATAAAGGCTTGACAGCTTTCAAATCCATTCCGAAAACTTCGGGATTCACGTTTTCGAGACATCCATCGTAATCGCCGTCCACGCCGGAATCTGTCAGAAAAACGAAGTCTTAGTTTGCCTGATCGTTTGTCTATCACACAGTCTGATTCTTCCTCCGAGGCTGTTTGGATGTTTTGGAAAGGGTGGAGGCGGAGCGATTCCCGACTCCGCTCTCAGCGGGGTCGGGGGAGGGGAACATGGACCATGAGCCTCGCGTCATCGAAGCTCTTGGATCCAATGATCGACATGAAGTATAGATTAGTCGACGGGTCGATGAATAATGAAAGAGACGGGGTGAGCGAAAGTTTACTCGACGGAAAGATAGCAGAGCGGATTCGTTGGAGGAACGTTGGGTAGGAAAGTGTTAGTGGAGGAAGTGGTCAGATCGTTAGTGCAGTGCCATCTGAAAGAAGATGACTCATGTTAATAGATGTTCGGTTCCTTGTTTTTTCCCATAGCCTGCTCGCTGGTCCCCAATCAGGAGGTTCGCAGCTCAGGATCACAAGAGGGGTGTTGATCGAAGAACTCTCGATGGGCTCCAATGAAAGTTCCGAGAAGCTCGTCGAAGATAGATTCTTTATTTTAGGGTCTTCTGTCGGCTATAAAGATGCTTTGAACAAAGGCGCGGGAGAAGAATTTACAAGTCATCTCAGAGTACTTGAGAGTATTCACAACGAGGACATTTTCACATCAGACGACCACTCCGAAAGACGACCTTGCCAATTCGAGTGCTGATGTTCGACAGCGTCAATTCATCTGTACAAATCCAGCTTTGAACACATTCGGTAAATCACTTGGTCTCCGACACCGGGCACGGGATGGGAGCCGTGGAGACGGATCATCTCTAAAAACCTTAAAACATTTCTCGACTCGCTCACTCGATTTCCTCGATGATAGGTCCGCCTCGACGCGGGTTATCCCCATTCGATGCAGGCTGAAAGGGAGGCGGCGTGTTCTGATTTTTCCCCAACAGATCGATGAGTGCGGATCAGATCTGATCGAATTTACCCCAGAGAAACTCGGCCACCTACCTCGTCTAAGTCTATGACATGAGCTCTCGATGATCCCGCGGCTCTTGGATTCTGCTGCAGATCGATCTTCGCCTGGTGCATAGTCTGCGGTCGGGCAGTGATTTAATTAAAGAAGAGAGATATTCGGGGCTGCAGTCGTGTTCTGCGGTCGGACTCTACCGCACCGCGAACATGCAGAAGAAAACAAGACTGAAAGACTCACGGCTTGCAGTTTGATGACTAGCTGGTCCGAAAGTTTCAGTCCCGAATCGAATTCGCTGAACTGATCCAGGATTTGCTTCGGTGGTGAGACATTTTGACTCTTATAGTAGTCCAGTTGCTGCTTCGCTTTCATGAGCTTTACTGCGTACACTTCCTTCGTTGCCTTCAGAGCCTCTTTGAAATAATCAGCTATCGCCAGTTGGTCGGCTTGTGGATACTGCGGAAGGGCATAAGATATTGAGGTTCGACCGGACTCTCTGGGATGGCTCTGTATAGGGAGTCAATTCTATGCTCCTGCGAAGCTTCTCTCCTCCTGTCTACCTTTAATTTTATTTCATTCAGGATAAGCTGAGGATTGAAAGAGGGATGCGATATCTTGGTTGTGAAGAAAGGAGGACGTCTCAGAATCTCTTCCGGGGTTAGTTTTGGCGCTGAAAGAACGATTAGTACGCATTAGAATGCTCTGAAGGATTTCCGGAAGTCCGGCTCCGTACCGAGACCACAGAGGGACGCTTACCGTGAGGTCCTTGCCTCTGACCGTTGGGACCAGCACGGAATTGCTGCTGTTGCTGCCGCTGCTGCTGCTCCTGCTGTAGTTGTCGCAACCTTTCCTGCTGTTGACGCTGACGTTCTTGCTCTTGCTGTTGGAGTAGGTTTTGTCGCTGCTGCTGTTGCCGTCGCAATTGCTCGGAGAGCAAGTGGCTGTAAGCAGCACCTGCGGAACCGCGAGTAATCGGAGTTTTTAGAATATCTTCCCTGAATGATCGCCGATTCGGGGGACTGCGAGTCGAGCTAGGACTCTCGATTGGACGCTGAAAACTCACCGTACGATCCCGCATTCCTCAGCAGGTTCTGGCAATGAGCCGCGAACTGGCTTGCCATCTGGGGGTTCAATCCAGATGTCCCCGGCATTCCAAAGCCCGGCATCCTTGCGTAATTCAGGTTTGCGTAAGGATAGTTTGGCATGCCGCCAGCCATACCCGGGATTCCGCCAGCCATTCCTGGCATTCCGGCAGCCATTCCCGGCATCTGGTATGGCATTTGGGGAGGTGTTTTGCCGTCGCGCTCGTCTTCGTATTCCTTCCAAGCTTGTTTCCTTTCTTCTTCGGTCAATTCATCCTCGAGTTCCTTCTGGAGCAGTGAGTCGTGTTCGATGTAGCCCTGGATTAGAGTTTTCCGCTTCATCAGGAGGTCGGCGAGGAGATGATCCACCGGTACCTTCGGGGTTTTTCGAGCATTTTTTTCAGGTTTGAATTCGTAAAGAGCCTTGAGATCTGACTCGTTGAAATGCCGTTCGAGGTTCTGTTCGTCGACGACTCGAGAGGCGAGCGAGATTTTATTCACTTGACGATCATAGATCTTCTCCTCCATTGTGGCATGCGCCAACAGACGGTACACGTAAACCGGTTTCGTCTGGCCGTACCGGTACGCTCGGAATATAGCCTGCGTATCATCTGAGGGATTCCACGAGGCGTCGAGGAGGATGATACGATTCGCTCCGACCATGTTGGTTCCGATACCCCCGGCTCTGGTGCTAACGAGGAACAGCCGAGCCTGCATGTTGCTGAGATCATTGAATTGATCGATGTACTTCTTCCGCGTATCGACACTGGTGCTCCCGTCTAGCCTGAAGTAGTCGACGCCGTGCACCCACGTGTTGAAGTAGTCCCCATCGGACTTGTCTTTGGCTGCCTTTTCGGCTTCGACATGGAGACGGTTCTCGAAGAGGTTCAACGTCAGGAGACTCGTGCTGAACAAGATGACTTTGTCTCCTATCGGTTCACACTCCCGGAGGATTTCGAATGCTATAGAGAGTTTAGAAGAGAGCTCCAGGCTCGTGAATTCGTCCTCATCATCCGGGACGTGCGAGTTCCACCACGTTGAGTCGTATTTCTTCTGTGGGTAGAAAAGAATTATTCACTTTTGCTCACCTTACATGAATTTGCATGATTTATATTTCCCCGTGCTTTTCCCTCCGAGGACCACCGTTGTCACGGAACTCACCTTCGTGTTTTCCTCTTCTGGTTCGCTGTCGTCGCCAGGGTTCTCTTTACGGTTGCGTCGAGTTTTGTAGGTCTTCACAATTTCCTGATCGTCCCCACCAGCCTCGTCGTCGCTGGTCCCGCTGCCGCTTTGACTGGCTCCTGATTCTTCGTCGGAACCTTCGACCACGAAATCGTCCATTTGATTTTTGTAAGCTTCCTTCTGTCGCTTGTCTTCCTGGCGATCTTCGCTTTCCAGCAAGAGACGGGGATGCGACCAGATCATCTTAAGAACTTGATAATCCTTCAACAAGGAGCGTCCTCTCAGATCTTCGCGCGTCGTCTGTTCGGTGATGCCGATGTGCTTGAGGTATTCTCGATAGAGCGTCTTCTGAAGGTCCGATAATTCGATCGATATGATGTATTCGAACTTGGCGGGTAGATACGGTGTGAGGTGGCTGTAGTCGCAACGATGGACGCAGCCAGCCAAGAGCTTGTTCAATATGTGCGCCCGCTTTTTCATCAATCGGACCGCGAAATGATCGGAATTCGCCTGTTGTCCGAAGGTTATTGGGTTCATGAATCGGTTGTTGAATTCTTTCGGCGTTCCCAGCAGATTTGGTTTGACAAAGCTGACCATGCAATGGTATTCGGACATATTGTTCTGGAGCGGAGTTCCGGTCAGAATCAATCTCCGCTGGGTCCTAATCAGGTTCATTGCTTTAGAAATTTGAGCCTTGTCGCTCTTGAGGGTATGGCCTTCATCACAAACTACGAGGTCGGCTCCCGGATCGTGTAGGAGCTTTGGGATTCTGTCCTTGATTTTCCGTGACTTGCTCTTGTTCTGCGACATGAGTCTGAACATCGAATAGCCCATGATGAGAACACCGCCTTCCTTGTACCAATCTTCGAGCATATCCAAACGGTCGAAGGCGTTCTTTACTTTACTGAACTCGTAGATTGTCAACGAGTGTTTCACGTCAACGTTCTCGTCTATCCACATCTCGAATTCCGTCGCCCAGTTCAAAACTACATTGCACGGACACACGACGATCACTTTCCTGAAGTGCTTCCGCAGGAGCTCGTGGGTCATGAGCGTGTACAGGAAACAGATGGTTTGGAATGTCTTACCCAGACCCATGCAATGAGCCAGGATGGCCCCACCCCCCGGTTTGTTCTCGATCACTTGTGCGGTCGACTCGATCACTGTGTTGTAGAGGAACTTGACACCCTCAACTTGGTGAGGCTTCATGTGACGCACGAGCGCTTCTTCGACTTCCACCACGGGCTCCTTGGTCTCGGCGTTGTATTCCAAGACGCAGCGCGTGACCTTGTCTGTTTTACGCTCCTTCTGCATGGCGGCTTCGATTTCGTTGTACAATTTCTGCCGCTCGAGAACACGTTTACGCCGCTCGGCCTCTTCCTTGGCGGCCGCTCTTGACTCCTTTTCCACTTTGTCATCGGATATGATCTTTCGAATGAAGCTCTTTTTTTTCTGCAATTATCGTTAGCTTCAGACTCTGGGGTTTTAGTCACCATCTAATTTCCGGCGATTGCTGCGCCAATTACGAGAGACATCGGATCAACTACGAAGTGATTATATGTCATGAAGTCCATCGAGTCTGAACGGGAGATTGGTCCCTCGCCCCTGAACTATGAATGGGTGCTCACCTGCTTGCCATCTCCCTCTTCTTCCTGATCGCTGTCAGAGTCTCCGATCCTGGCTCTCTTGTTTTTCGATGTCCTTTTACGCTTCGGCTTCTCTGGCTCCTCGAGCTCAGAGCCCGAGTCGCTCACCAGAGGAGACAGCTCCAACGAATCTTCTTTCTTGCTGATTACATCTTCTTCGTCGCTGTCTATTATGCGGACCTTCCGCCGTTTGGCTTTCCTGTAGGGAATGAGAAATTACACGTCGTATGCGAATATTCGGACGGTCGGCAGCAGGCTCATGGCATGAGGGGAATACGGCTAATATACTCACGGTTTCGATGTTCCAGCATCTGGATCACAGTTAGATTTTTTTTCCGCTTCGATGTCGACATGCCGTCTTTGACCATCGGCGGTAGAGCTTTCCTCAGCAGGGGGGCCGGCTCCTCCTCCTCTTCCGGATCCTTGGCCCCGTCGACGCTGTCCTCCTTCTTGACCTCAGAGTCGGCTTCGTTTTTTTCTTTGCTCTTCTTCTTCCGAGAGGCTTTGATTTCGGCGATGACCTCGATTCCATTGTCCGAGTCGGAATCCGAAGAGATACTCGGCATGACCTCGTCTCCGTCTCTTGACAGCCTCGAATCACTATCGCGGGGTCTGGAAGAGCGGATCCCTATTCATCCAAGGCCACCGGTGGTGCATAGCATGCTCTTCATGTCTGGCCGACGTCTCAGCAACTGAACTCAACAGCCAATCCAACCTCACTTATTGCTCTATAATTTTACTCACGGCGACAGACCTAATCGGTCCTCTTCTGCTTCCGACGAGGAGAAGGCTAGCGACCTATCGTTGCAGTCGTCGTCCTCTGATTCGGAGTCCGAAGCTTTTCGTTTCTTCGGCTTTCTTGAAGCCGACGCTCTCAATTTTGGATCCTTTTTCTCGACAGCATCCCTGATCTCTCGCCGAAGTTTCCTCCGTCTCACTGGATCTTCCAACAATTTCAACAGCTCGAAATCGTCTTCGCTATCCGCTCCGCGTTCGTCCTCGGAGCTGCGCGTCTTCGGAGGTGCGGCGTGTTTCGGCTTGATTCGGAGCTCAAGAGGCCTCACCTTGATTTGCAGGTTTTTGCTCTTGAAATTCTCAGCTGTCAGATTATTCTGCGAAGGAGCGAATTCACACTGGTCACTTCAACGTAATTGAATTCAGCCATCGCTTCGTCCTAGGAAGGCACTGATCGGTAGCTTGACTGTAGCAGCGAGCGTTGGTGAACGATCAGATTTCCCGACGCCCGCGGACATCGTACGTCGTCGAGGAACAATCAATTGAGCTCCTCCCGGTTTCCGGGAACATTCAGAATTCCCTCATTTCGCCGCATAAAGAGCGGTTCCTGAGCATACCGAATGATGCTCCCGTCTCACACCGGGGCGAGCGCCGTTGGTAAAACGGGACGATTGTATAACGAGTACACGAGTTTCACCTCGATGCATTCCGACGGGGCGCAAATGATTCGGTTGACAACGATCAGTTGCCGTTCAACGGAAAGCGTCGGACCGAAGCCGACAACTTCGCCGACGCTGTACAAGTTCGTTGCACAGCTCTCGGAGAAGCATCACTTCGGGAGATTGAGGGACTCTTGAGACTCTGTTGTGACTCCATGAGGGGTCGACACGCGTACTGGATTCAGCCGCGGTCTGGGATAAGCGACCTCCACCCGAGGTGGCGGCGGGGTCCTTTTCGAAACCCCTACCCTACATAGAGGCTCTCTGAGGCTAGCTGGGGTAGGTATCGCTCATCGGAGGGGGACGCGTCACCCTGAACTAGCGGTCGCCCCATCCGAAAAATTCGAACGAAAAAATTCCCGCTGCTCGGAACCTAACAGAATCGAGCGATTTCGCTGTCAATGTAAAAACTACTTGCTCGGAATAAGAATAACGGAAGATTCAGATGCATGGATTAGACGATAGACCGACGAATCTCCAAATAAGCGGAAATCACCAAAATACGACGTGACAATAAATTTTGAAGCCTTCTGCCGACAATTTCGAGGAGAAAACTCGTTACGAAATCGCTCCTGATCAATTTTGACGCGTGAAATCTCAAGACAGCACCGCTATAGCGGTGAAAGAGGCTTCCCTCGCTAGCCAATCATCAATCATCACTTAGTCTCCATGAATTGATCTGCTCATTTATCACCGAATATTTTCATTATCATGAGCATTATATGATTAGACACGGATTCAGACATACGGATCGCGCACCGAAGAGAACATTGCCATTCTCTGATTAGCATGGATAGGGGCACTCGTCGCAATCGGGCTCGAGGTGCCATGGAGCTTCGCTGCATCGATCCGGCTCCTCTAAACCCGAACCGCGGGATCAGGGAACTTCCCTGCGCTTCTCGTGTATCGTATCGCCGACTACTAACAAACTGATAATTATTGCATCGGGAATCGAGAGCCACACCGGAGGCTGAACATCACCTTTTTCTACGGACAAAAACGTGATCCTGCCTGATTTCGGCATCCTGCGCTTCTCACTCATGGAGTTCCTCGCCACGCGGAATTGGAGGTCGATGTATTCCTCATCCAACATTCGCACATGCCATGTCCGTAGGAAACCATATCCATGTGTGACATCCGGAGCAAGTCCAAGTTCATATTCATCCGTAATTCCCGCGATTAGGGTCGAAGGCTTGGGATACCTCCAAGTGTGTCTACCGTACATGAGATCAGAGGGAAGCGAGACGGATCTGGATATGACTCTCATCCCTGAGTCCCGATGAAGATATGCGATAACACGTGGGCTCCGAAGCCGGTTCGATACAGAATAACAATTCGGGAACTTATCGCTTCGCCCGGGAGCCGGCATCCGCCGGGATCATTTTTGCAACCGATCCGACAAGGACCGCGGGGGGCTACCGGTGGTTTCGCAAACAGCTCAGGAGAGGAGCCCAACGCTCCCATATTCCAGTGAATCTCCGTCGATTGACACCCAGCACGGCCATCGACCGCTCGCTGAGGTGTCAAGTTCTGATCGGACACCATCATTCTCGCCGGCTCGGGACAGTAAATGAGCCCCGGCGAAGGGAGATCATTGATAGTACCGGTAGCGATAGCCATCCGTGAAATCAACTCGGAATCTACTGAACTCACATCGATCAACCAATAAGCAAGCGAGACCTATAATCATGATCCTCTGCCCATTTATGAGACTAGCCGCCACGGACTCCAATCCCAGTGAGTCCAATCAACAGAGTTGTCGCGATTCTTGCCCACCCTTTACCTTTCCAAGCCTCGGACACTGGAAGCTCGCGCCGATTGGCCACCGGAAAAGGTTCACGGAAGGAGTTTTCGATGAAGCCGAGTTTCACCCGAGGGCATCACTCTTCGGCTTCGAGGGTCTGAGTCTCCGGGGCTTTGTTGTCACTGCGTGGTAAGATATCGATACACGCGGGAAGTGGTGTCGCTATGGGACGACCCGTCCCAAGCGGGACGAGGGTAAGCCGACGCCGAAGGTTCTGACACATACTCCGCGAGCCTCGCGGGCAAAATGTTTCCTCGCCTCCGTGTGTTAGATCAAGTCAATACATCGGCCGGCTTTGCTCATCGAAGGAGAATCTCCGAAATATATGTCCGCCTGATCAGCTCCTGTGGCTGATGATGGACCGCGGACCCCTCAGCGACTGATTGAATGACGATCGATGAGGTTCTCCGAACCCAGGGCCGCGAAACGGATATGATTCCTTTCGGATGCCTTGGAGATCATCGACAGTGCGAATCGAGCTCTCTCAAGATCGATTATCCCGATGGGAACGTCCGCAAGAAGCGTTTCCGCGCGAGAAATCTCATTGGCATTGTGGGAATTTCATTTCTCCCACCAGAATATTGGCAGAGCCGAATGATCCGCTAACGGATGGGCCGCTCGGAATCTTCTGTCTATCGAAAAATCCTTCCGCTCGATGGTCCATCTCACTGCCGGTCCCAACCCTCTGAAAATCCCGAACCACCGCGCTATCGATCGATATCGGTTCTCCGGAACTTCGCTCTCCCAGTTATCATACGTTATTACATGCGGCATCTATGTGTGACTCCATAGGTTCGGAATGAATGAATGCCGGCACATCGAGCAGGCTCCGCGGTTTCCGGCTCTGCTGGGAGCAGGAGATTCGCGCTCATCTACTATCTGTACAGGGGAAAGCTCTGAAGCCGCCGATTGCATGTCCTCAGGACTGGAATGATGAATGACTTCGCGGGAGAGTGTCGGAGCCGAGAAGCGACTCTGAATGAACTTTTTCGATTTGGACATAACTGAATTAACTCTTGGAATGAGAACACTAGCTAGAACATAGGGCCCTCGAGTACTCTCTATACCTGTCACAAGCTATCGTCATTGAGAGAACGGGAGGGAGCGGCGTCAGAGAGAAAGTACTTACGGCAAGACTCTCGAGGTCTCCTTCGTCGGATTTGGGTTCAGAAAGATTATCTTGTATCTCCTCGGCCCCAGCCTCTTCTTCCACAGATTTCCTCTCTCCCTTTTTTCTTCGTCGATTCTTTTCGGTTGACTCCTCGTCAGGGTCAAGAGGTTCCTCTTTGATTCGCACCTCTCCCGGATTTCCTGGCAGGTCATCCGCACGTGAGACACCTAATGTCGTGCTGTCCAGTGATTCGCCTGATCCATCACAAGAATCTCGAAAGGGTGACTCTCGAGATACTTCCTCCTTCTTCTTTTTCACCGGCAAGCTATCGCCCCTGGTGACTGCGATCAACTTCCGAAGCGCTCGTCCGACTTCCCTGTCTACCGAGACCCGAGCATCTAAACTGTCGGCGGGAGAGTCGTCTCGTCCGTCAGATTCTCTCGAATCTGCTCCCTTCTTCGGGAAACGTTTCCTCCGTCGAGGGCCGTCGGAAAGCGAGCTGCTCTCGTCTGCAGCATTCTCCGAAGCTTCGGGATCACAGCTGGCTGCTGGAGAAGGTGCTTCGCCATCAGAACTGACGGCTGGAGAAGGAGCCTCGATAGCTGCCGCTCCGTCACAAGGGGACGAGACGCCGCTTCGTCGCGAGGAGACGGAGACGCCGCTTCGTCGCGAGGAGACGGGGACGCCGCTTCGTCACGAGGAGACGGAGACGCCGCTTCGTCACTAGAAGACGGAGACGCCGCTTCGTCACGAGGAGACGGAGACGCCGCTTCGTCACAAGGAGATTGAGACGCCGCTTCGTCGCGAGGAGGTTGAGACGCCGCTTCGTCGCGAGGAGATTGAGACGCCGCTCTAGACGCTTGGCTGTCGCGCGCAGGACGAAGCTCCAATGATGCCGACGTGGCAGGGAGCGCCAAACTGGCCGACGGATTCACGAGACTATCGACTAATCTGACAGCTCGATCGAGATCGTTCTTCTCCACCGCTTTCTCCACGGTCACAATTCTTTTCTTCATCTCGCCCAGGAGAATGTGGATCCTCGCCCGAACTTCCGCGTCTTTGGCTGTAAACAATGTAATTTTTGAGTTTCTTCCTCGAACAACGCTCGATTCCCGAAATCAGATGCTGGTGAAGTTGTTGCAGGAACCTACTGTCGAGCTGAGCGGCACGTATGGCCTTGCGCAAGTCGACGAAGGATGACCGAGTCGGAGATTCATCCTCACAACTGCTGGCAGCTGGTTTCTCTCTACGAGACACTGCCACAACTCCCTGTTTCGCTTTCAATTCTTCGTTGAAGCGGAATACCGTTTCCGTCCACTTCTGTATGTCCTGGAAATGATTATTTGATTATTACTCCATAAATAAATCATGGAACGAGGCGAAATCCATCCACTAAATTCGAAGTGTGGATCAGCATGTCGATCGCGAGCGTGAGCCGTACCTCTAACTTCTTCGGCTCACAAAGATAACAGCGCCAGTCATCGTCGTCCTCGACCTTATCCACCTCGGCAGAGCCGAAATTCCGTCTGATGCATTCGTTGCAGAAACCACTCAAACACTCGTCGTTACAGCATATGTACAAGTTGCCGCCCTGACCGCACCACCTGCAGTACTCGTCCTGACCGTTTTCGTCACATGACCACGAGCCTGACCCGTAGAAATCCAAACACTTCTGCAGAAAAAAAGAAAGGTCTCTCAAGTGAATTCCCTGACGCTCAGTCTCGGATACGGATCTTTCCGATGTTTTTGTCGAGGGGCATATCGAAGGGGATTAGAAAGCAAGGGGGATATCGTTCCACGACTCGTCATTTACCTTACAAACTAGAACGCGCAGAGCCGTATGACGGTATCCCGGGAAGCGTTTGTGGTGTATTGAACCATTGCATGCCGTGCACGGAACTGAGTTCAGGATCGCCAAATCTGGAAAAGAGGAAATTAACCGACAAAGAAACGCTTGGCCTCCTGCGAGAGTATGGGGATGAGACGAGCTTTCAATGGCCGCAATCATTTTCCACGATGGACGGTCCATCGCTTCGAGGTGGCCGATTTCGCATTCCGCAATCCCAAGCATCTGATGTTGCTGACCGCGACTATGGAAGTCTTCTTCGCCTCGCTTCCGACTCCTCCACCCCGGGTCGGCAGAACGATGACAAAGCCTTGGACCCCGCGAGTCGCGCGGCGGGACATGTTCAGCCGCTTTTCGTAGATAGAGGTCCGCTACTTGGGAAGTTCGCGTAGCGGTTGCTCGTCCGTTCGAGCGAGGATTCGACGGAAATGTTATTGAGCTGCAGCTGCTCTCCTCGTCCTAAACGAGGCCAGCGACGTTGACATTCCGATTCCAGAGTCTCCTGATAACTCTCTCCCCACGGAATCCCCGCAAATTCCTCTGTTGTCAAGCTTGAAGTACGTCGTCTTCCCCCTGTCACTCTGTGGCCTGTGGTTCCTCCTGAACGTAGGCGTGTACGATAGCGACGCCGGGGAGGTTCGCGCTTTTCCTGCGAAACGATCTCAGCCGCCTTATACGGAGCGTATCCGGGGGAGAAATCTGTTTTTCCCCTGTATATCATCAATGATTGATTCCCCCAACCCCATGGATGCTTTCGCACGGCGAGGAATTCGCTGACTACTGGACTAATGAATTCATCCGCGTATTCCATCGCTCATGACGTCAACCCACAAGTTTGGTTTCATCGTCCCGGGAAGATTATGAGATGAAGAGAAGCCCATCAAAATACTCGTGACGCATTCGTGCGTCGAGAGCGGCGGTTCAGCAAAGTTCGCGCCAATCGAGCGCTGCCCGATTTGCGTTCGAAAAGTGAGCCTGCCTCCAGACAGGAAGCATTCGCACTGAGACAGCTCACCTTTACAGTCTCGAAAATTCCGCGGCATATTGCGTCGGATCGACGAGACCTCTGGAAGAGGTTCGCAATTGTTTTCGCGAAATTCTCAGCGGATACACTTCATGAACACGGGACACACACCGCTGACGATCCCAGAAACAATATGGCGTTCAGCACAAAGAAAAATACTACTCCCGCTCAAAAACAAGCACTTGGAGGTCTTTAAACACGCCGGGAATCCTAAATTCATCCGTGAATTCTCCTTTAAATAAGGGGCAAGGCAGGACAGGAGCGATGACTTGCGATCGGCTCCTCGTCGACACATTCTTCGTTTCCTCCGGCGTTCGAGAAATCGCCGAAGGCGCCTTCCGAATGTCGAACCCTCTCACGCGGCGAGCTCGGGGAGAGTTTCGATCAGCTGTTCTGTCGAGCTCCGCTCGGCTACCGCATGGAAGTGGTGTCTATTCCGCGTACTTCGCGCTGATACTCGCCCCGATAAAGCAGCCTCATGTGTGCCATGAGAGTTCATCCGTAGTCCATTTTGACGGAGTTGTAGTGGAAGACAAGTGTCTAAGCGGTTCCAGAGTGCATCAGATGTGCGGACCTCAGTCGTCATGATCTTGTGAGCAGGCTCAGATATGCATATCGTCTCGTCGCTTTCTTTAGTTCTGTCGGCCTTCCCATACTGGAGTGGTTCCTCCGAGCTTCAGCTCTTGAGGGGAACGATCTGGCTCCGAGAACGAAGGGCTCGGTATTCTGAGATCCAATAACCGGGAGGAATCTCGAAGCTTAACATGTCGACGTAGCCTTAGGGAGAGGATCTCGTGAGGGTCGGTGCTAGGGCCGTCGCAGTTTCTCTCGGTTTCCTGGGAGAAGTTTGGAACGATGAGCTTCGTACTTTCCAGACTCATTCCCTTCCGATGATGAGTTGACCTGAGTGAGACAATTTTTTTTTCCAGGAAAGCAACCCTTCTCCGGTCAGCCAGGGTATGGCCTCTCAAAAGGAATCTCTCATCGGACTTGAAAGGCGTCGTAGGCCTAGAAGTCCATGTGCAGATCGCGTCAAAGAGCAAACTGTTCTCATCCGCTCCGACGGCCCCGGGACCTGCAAATTCGCAAGTGGCTCCTTTCGACGCAGCTATACCCGGAACACTCCCAGTCCTGAACCGTCAATGCGTCGAGGCTGCTGTGAAAACGGCGCTGGCATTGAATTGTAGAGAAATAAATCAGATCATGCGCTTCGATCGGAAGCACTACTTCTACGCAGATATGCCGGCCGGTTTTCAAATTACTCAGCAATTCCATCCCGTCGCGAGAAAAGGATTGCTCACTTGCCAGATTCAGAGACATCCAACAGCCAAGCCTGAAGCGATCCGGTGCAGAGTCCACCAGATCCAATTAGAACAGGACTCAGGGAAGAGCATCCACGACGAAAACGCCAACGTGAGCCTGATCGATCTGAATCGAGCGGGTGTTGGACTCCTGGAAATCGTGTTCAAGCCGGACCTGAGCTCCGGTGAGGACGCAGCAGCCCTCGTCAAGGAACTTGTCGCAATCGTGAGAGCGCTCGGAGTCAGTACGGGACGCATGGAGGAAGGTGCTGTACGAGTGGACGCAAACGTCTCGGTCCACAGACCCGGGACTCCGCTTGGCACGAGAACCGAAATAAAGAACATGAATTCTGTCAGATCGGTGAGACACGCGATCGATTATGAAATCAAACGTCAGATCCGCAGCGTCGAGTCGGGAATACCTGTCGCCAACGTCACGATGACTTTCGACACGGAATCGGACAAAACCGTCGTCATGCGCGACAAAGAGATAACTCAGGATTATCGCTTCTTCCCTGAGCCGAATATCCCATCGGTGGACGTGAAGCAGATGGGCATCAACGTGGACAGGCTGAGGAATACTCTCCCTCCGCTGCCGGGTGAGCAGCGGGAAGACCTCATGCAACGGCTCGGACTGAGTTTCAGAGCGGCGATGGTCATCACGAGCGAGGAAAATTTCTTCGAGTTCTTCAGCGAAGTTCTCTTGATCTTGGACTCGAAGCACGCTGGAGATGCAGAGTACGTGTTGACCTGCGACGTGTTGGGATATCTGAATGAGAAATCCCTCAGTTTGTACCAAACGGAAGTGACGGCGCAAAATTTCGCAAAGCTGATCCTGCTGAAAGCGACGCGTAAAGTTAATCGTCAGAGATGCTCAAATATAATACGATTGATGCTCGAGGATGGGACCGATCCTGAAGAAATTCTCGAGAAGAATAATTGGTCGCTCATCGCGGATACAACCTTAATCTCGAGACTCTGCGACGAAGCCATATCTCTGTATCCCAAAGAGGTAAGCCACTCAGTCGATGGAGATTCTCGGACGAAGAGGAATACGAGGTGGCAAGTAAGGCGTGGAACGGTTCCGCGGAGCGCTCTCGTGCGGGTAGATCCGGTCGTTTTTCTTGAACTTCAAAGATTTCTCTATTGCAGTGTAACAAACTACGCCAAGGAAAAGAGCGAGCTGCCAACAAAATGCTCGCACACGTGCGAAGAGCAACGGACAGTCGAGCCGATATGGTCCTCGTCAAGAAAATTCTTTTGGAAAGGATCCACGCGGCAAATGCTCTAAGGGATGAGATTCAGATAGGTAGATGAGCGGGAGACGGCACCCGGTCGAGACGCATGCATCGTCAGGGGTGGAAACCTGCTCACGAAGTACAGATGTGGTTTTGTTGACTATTGGATGTAGCACATTAGAGTTACATGAACTGCGTTTACAGTAATTTGTAAATAAATCGTTGTCCTGAAGGAGCGATGGCCACGTTTCGGACTCAATAGGGAGCTGGCGGATCCCGCAGCTGGCCGCATGGACCCCATGGGAGTCCTCGGATCCTCGGATTGACAAGATCCTCCTTGTTGATTGTCTGAAGGGGAGGAAAACACTGTGTTTCCCATCGCTCTTCAAAGAATATCGACAGAGCGGCGAAAATCTTAGAAATTGGGTGGAGAGAAGAGCCGTGATCCGTCTCTGATTGCTCGGACTTGAAGCTTTGGGGATAGTCTTGCTTTTCGAACATGAGCCCGAGATACACGTGAAAAGGTACAGCCTGATGAGCGCCGAAGAAATTTCTTTCCTCGGAGCCTCACCACCAGATTCGGTGGATAGACGGCTGTGGCTTGCCGGCTGACCGTTCGGGATCCCCACTGAGCGATAGAATCATGCAGAAAGCACCGGACTTCCCCCTACCTCATCTGACTTCAGTTAGACCTCCGTATCCCCAAGAGATACCCTGCCGGAAATCGAAACCTCAAGGTGGAATCATCACCCCCGTACATAATATGAAAAAGCCGGGTCGAGATGTCGAGACAACGAATCAATTTGGTTTCTTCCGAAATCTGCTTCGGCAAATCCTCATCGGAGAATACCTAAGAAGTTTCCAAAATGGTCCATGTTGACCCCTCGTAGGTCCATGGCGCTCCCAGGGTCCAACTGGTGGGCGTCGGGAGTCCCCAGGGGACCGCGAGACTAATGCTAAGGGTCAAAGGGGCGATGAAAGATGAGAACCTTTGGATAACGAGAAACATCCAGTCAGAAGACTCCCCATCTCGGAAGACCTTCCCCGCTGAAGCGTCGCGTCGCGAAGGTGAGCCCACGATGCATGATCGGTCAAGTCAGTCAGATCCCCTACGCTCATTCAGAGCTCACTTGGCAAAATCTGTGATCGGGGTTCAACGAAGAAGCTTTGATTCCGCTGCAAAGAGCACCTACTACGGCCTCGGGATCGCGTCCCGTGAGGTTGAGGCCCTCCGGCCGGATCTAGGGGGAACCCCCTCATCCACCCGCCCTCTATCTCGCTTAGAACGAACTCCAACAAGGAGTCCGACATGGCATCGTTCCCCAAACCCGAAGTCGTTCCGACAAGCCAGCAGTGTGAGGTACGAAACGTCGCGGTTCCCGACCAAGTTCGCCCAGACGACAGCAATATCGCTCGACTCACAGGAGAGCCTCTCTATGAAAGGGCTTGTCCTGGCAGACCGCCATCATGGAACGAGCACACGTGGTAGCGAGTCTCAGAATGATTACTCGGATTGAGAGTGGAGCTCCAACCCCGTCGCTGCGTCTTTCGACTGAAAGAAATGGAATGGCGCGCTAGGACTCAGATTGAGCGAGTTGAGTCGAGAATTCAGCTTTCTGTCTCCGTTTCATGTTCTCGGCAGTGCGCCTCACTCGCTAAAATAAATGTCAATTCTGATATAAACACATCCACACTGCGCCTCAACTCCTCTACCTCCCCGGATGAGCACAACTCCAAGAAACTACACATGAAGAACACGGAATTTCACGAACGAGATGAGCTTTTATTCCATTTAGTCGTTTTCGGCCGCATAATGTAGATCGATGGTGGTGGCGGATACGGGACGATGACTCGGATACTGCTTGAAGTTCTTCCGATGGCCGAAGAATCTGACTTTTCCTCTCGTTCACCTGCACCTAATGCTGCTTCCGACGGAACGAGCAACCATCAGTGAGTTTCGCCTTCCCTCCGGTGGGCTGGCACAGCATGGTCGTGCAGCCGGTGCACAAGACTACGGTTTGGGCATGCGAAAACACGGTGGTGATTCTGTAGCAGCCGGGGCACTTGACGTCCATGAAAAACGAGTTCGGCGACTGCACCAATCGCTTCAGCTTGCATTTGCGCTTCTCCTCGAGCGGACTCGGGTTCAGCAAATCCTTCGCGAGAGGCATTTTGCGTGATTTTTAGTAGCGGACTTGCGATCCCTACCAGCACACGTTGAAAAGGATCGTAATAACAACGCGGACGAGCGGTTCCGGTTTCGATTTCGCTTAAACGAATGCTCTCTCGCGGACTAGCTCCCCTATTAGGCGGGGCTTAGCCGAGCGCGCGCTTTTCGAATCGCTTACTCAACCACGACGGCCTATGTCCGGCGACCATGCGCTAATTCGACGAATAGTTTCCCGGTTCCCAGTTTCCGCCGGCTAAATCGCGGAGCTCTCTTGCTGATTCGAAGCGCGATTTTTTAGAGACACGACTTCAGCATCGCGAATTCTATTCAGGGTCCTGCCTTGGAGTGGTGTCATCGAAGGCATCAAACCAAAGTTCAAGTGCCATCGACTTTTTTTCGGGAGGCTTCTGACGAGGCTACATCTCTCACGAACGCCTTTCGCCGTCGATTGAGCTGATCGTGCGTATACTGTGATGCCTGCTCCGAGCGAAGAGCTCCATCGGGAACTTTCGATATGCGGGACGGTTCCTCTGGGCCGCGAGGAAATTCTCCATCCAAGCCGGATTTCCTGAAGAGCAACATGAGACGGTGTGCGAGGTTTCGCTTTCCAGGCAGGTATATTGTGGGTGCTCCGATGAAGCCAGGAGGACACGAGGATGGATCGAGGACCATGGGGAGACTTCTCATTCGACTGAATCGTTGCTGGGGCAATGTCCGCGCGGGAGTAGACGAATACAGCTCACGCGCAGAGAGGAGTGGAGCGGGATCCGAAGCGGAAAGTTTTCAACGAGGATCGAGAGGGTTTTTCTGACCGCTCCTTCCAGGCTGTGCTCCGGACGGTCCGACGCGCATTTGGTGCTCCCTTATGTTTAGCTCCTATGTTCCGGAAGGTTGAGTTTCCACCGTGAGTGTATAAGACGCATCTGAGAACTAATTGTAAGAAGCGCGAATCAACAAGGACAACTTCGCAAATCGAATTACGAAGGTTGTCCACGGAAACTTCGTGAGTATTAGAGAGGCGTACCCATATTGAAGCTACCGATCGGTGCAATTTACTCTGTTCTGCGCCAACTCGAAAGTGTGTCGATCTTATTCGCTCTCCGCCTCGCGTACGACCCCCTATCTCCTGGGGAAACGATGCACGGCACTCTCTCTCACGAGCAGCCGAGGATACAGCATCAGCTCGCCGATGGAAATACTTGACGAAGGTCGACGACTGCCCGAATCGTTCATTGAACTGTTTTGCCCGATTTGCGGTGCAAAAAGACTGGTCCTCACCTCGAGGCACGAGCTTTTCCGCGAAACATCATCTCTTCTAACCTGGACTGCCTACGCCACTTTGAACTGTGTCGTCCTGGTGAGTTGGGATTGAGGAAATTTTCGGCTGACTGAGTGAGAGCGAGAAAATATCGCTTCGCTCGTCGGACGTGAGAGAACGCGATGCTCGAGATATTGGTGACGCTCCTCGCCGTGCACTGGGGGCGGCGCGCCGCGGCGTTTCTCAGCCTGGGACGAGGACTTCGGGTTCGTTTCACGGGACTGTGGGAGACATTCGCAAGATGTGATTCTCTTCCAGCCCTACTTCTGTTTGTCGCTTCACAGACACACTTGGATAAACACGAGCAGAACTTCGGGCAGTTGGGCTCGACGACCCATGTCTCATGCTGCATGACTTCTTCCAGGCTCCTGCTGCTTTTCGATGACGCAGTAGAAGAGATCTCAAGCATGAAAAAAGGATCCGAAGGTTCAGGTTGAGACCCTTGCCTTGTTCGCGATCTCGTCTCGAAAGTCAAACTTTTTTAGCTGTGCCCTGAATATTCATCCACAAGGATCTTTTCGGGACGGTCATTTTTTGCCGACCCTTGTTCGGCCGAAAATCTTCGCCAAGTCCGATCGGCACCCTCACTGTTCAGTTCTGCCCGTTTTCTGTCAGATGGTGTCTCTTATCAGGAAATGCACAAAAACGATCAATTTATTCCTCGAAAACCATGTCCTCAAGCGAACTTTGAGCGACCGTTGCGACAGCCCAATCGAGGCGCATATTCCAGCAGTTTTCCGTCTACAGGGGAAGGGGGGGGTGGAATGTATTCACAATTGCCGCTTCCAGCATTGCTCTCGTATCGCAGAGAGGAGGTGCGTCCGAACAGGAAATGGTGGACATTGATCGAGGAACTCCATGCGTTGCTTCGTTCAAGGTTACAGAGCAGTTAAGGCGTCTCCATTCAGATCGAATCCTAGCCTTCTAGATTAATTATTTCGGCGTTATGTGGAGTCCTCCTTCGTCACTCGGACCCCTGCGTCGCTCGCAACTTGTTCAGAGTGAGCACCGATCGACCGAAATGAATCAGTTCGAGACTTCGAGTTCCCGTCGAGCCCAACCTGCGAGTAGAGTTCTTACCCAATTGAGCGAATGAGGGCTATGACAAGGCATGAATGCAATTCAGGTTTCAGACTCCCCACAGCTCGCCAGTCAGATCATCCGAGACGACTACGGCTGCATTGAACGACACAATACAGTAAAAGCTCCTTACTACGAACACGAAGGGACCGACGAAATTGGTTCGTTGTACCGAGTTTTCGCTGTAACGAATGTCGCTCAACACTATCCCTATGGCGAGCTAGCCAAAGCAGGAGAAATTCCGGTTCGAAATACCGAGAAATTCGTTGTAATGGGGGTCGTTATAACGAGCTTTTACTGTATCGTGATCTGCCACAGGACCCGTCACTTTTCGGCGAGACTATGCACAGATTCTCGAGCGACAGCGCTGACCTGGTTCCGGCGAATAGGTCGATGACTGGAAGAAAATCCTTAGTGATGAAGACGCTCTGGAATCCAAGGCGAGGAGACCCTGGCATACGAGGATTGTGCATGAACAGTGGGCGATTGATTTTCATTGGGTACATTGTATGCAGTATGATGATGCGAGCAGGGTCGCCGGATTGGATCGATTGAGATCACATCCACGTCCTGACGGAAAGATCAGCGTTCGAGCGCTGGATGATCGAAGTTTGTTGAAGGCCTTGCTCTTTGCCTGGGTATAGAGAGTACGCAATCATGTGACGTTCGAATGATGAGTTTTGATTCCGTCGAGAAGTCCCTTTGTATCGGGCCATCGGTCGAACATCTATAGAATATACGCTCTGACCTCGATGAAGCCTATGATGCAGCGAATCGAACATTCGATCGGCGAGAGGTCACTGAAAATGAAATTCACTTTTGTCATAGATTGAACGCAATTGATGAGCTAAGGATCATAAGAATTCCGATCTCTGAGACGGTCCTTTACCTCGTTGGTCAGCTTCTAGCGTTCGTCTAGCTTCGTCCGTTTGGAAACGGGAGTCAAAGTGGCTTCGAACGTTCGGGTCGATTCATCGGCGATGGTGGGAGGAGTTGGAACATCCAATCGATCAGGTAGCACAAGCCCCGGCGAGAAATCGCCTTCGAGGAGAAGCAAACCAGTCTCCGAAGTTTCCACGCTCGCTGCTCAATACCCTCGACTCAGAGACCACGATCTCTCGCAGCTGGCAGTCTACTTGTGCAACTCTTGAACCCTGCGGGACTTGAACGGAGCGCGAATATACGAAGATGCCGTTGCTGTTTCCGTCGAGAATCGGAACCAGGATTTTGACTGCAGCGGAAGAATTGTCCCCAAACATGCCCTCGCGGGTTGGTTTCCGACTTGTACTGTCGTGGTCCGCGTTCTCGAAAGCATTATACTTACTTATCTGGTCCTCAGCTGCCGTTCTCCACTGCGTCACGATTTTTGTTGTCATGCCTCGACGGGCGTCGCGGGGAGGAGGAGAACTCAGCGTGACTCTCTCAGTGAATTTGATCCACGCGGTAACATCCCTGCTCGCATCGATGTACTGGGGATTTACTTCATTTTGGAGGATGGACGACTTCAGATACGTTCTCCAGGAAAGAGGGCGGCGCTTCCGGGAGGTTGTGTCGATCTTTATGTGCTGTCCCGTCTATGTTACCTTACATGTCTATGAATTTTTCTCAAGAAACGGTTTGATCAACCGACTCAGCGTCTTCAGCATCGTGCATTATGACTTTTCGAGAATCATTTTCTTGGCGTTGTATAACGACGCTGTTGTGAAGATATCAAAGCTGCAGAATGAATTGAGATTCTCGATTACGGGAACAAGTGTTTCAGGCATCGACGACGAGTCGCTGTCGAAGAAATGGCTCATTCGCGACCTGATAAGGAGGGTTAATGAGCTGTTCGCCCTGCCCCTGACGGTGTTCTTTTCGCATTTGCTCCTATTGGTCATCCAGTGTCTCGGCGCATTGTTCGGACAAGACTACACTCGCGGAGAAGCCGTGGCACTAATCTCATTCTGTCTCTGCAGCGCCTTGCTCACGCTCTCCACCGTGGTAAAGTGCTCCACAGTCAAATCGAGCAACGTTCAATTGGAGAACATTGTGCTCAGACAGACTCTCACAGGGGTCGGCAATAAAATCTTCGACGTGGGAGTTCTCGCGATATTTCGTCTGCGGGAAGATTGTGACATTCTGAGAGTTGCCTCATTCCCCATCGACCTCCAGAGTTTCTCGAAATATTTGTCGTTCTGCGTGACCTTCGTCGCTATTGTCCTCCAATTCGACTACAGGATCTTACGATACCTAGGCTCGTTGGGCGCATCGAATCCATGAGAACACAAGGCCCTCCGGACAGAATCTGGAGAGGACATCCGGTCCATTGCAGATCGAGTATACCAGTCCGGCGAGGCTGTCGACCAGACAGTAGCGGCCAGTCGGGGAAGCAGAAGTGCTTTGAGTAAGTAGGTACTTCCTCGAGCTCGGCACGGCGGCTCCCCTTGCCGATACATTGCGTACGATCTCACTGTTTAGTTTGGCAAATAATTCTTTGGAGCAGAGGCTGTCACGGTCCCTCATGATCAGCGTGGAAACAAGGACTTCACGAAGTTCCCAATATTTGCCAGAATCGTTGTCAGACCTCCGCGAGAAAATAAAACCCTATTCTGCCATTCTATCATTTTAGTCCTTCTGAATGGAGGCCCATTCTGACTTCTACGCTATGCAGAAACAGGCATGATGGATTTGAGAACTGTACTGGGGAAAACCGAGGCGGCATCGAATCCAGGTTCCGGTTGGGGCAAGAGAGAGGCGTGTCCGCAGCAGCTGCAGAAAAGGGTAGTCTTCCCAGCCTGAAGACGATTTCTGCAGAATCGCGTATGAGGAGTTGCCCAGGACCGCGAGAACGACTTCAGAACCGGCTCCCTCTCAAAAATCGGGAAGTTTCGGACTCACCCATCTTTCGGAGAGATCACGGAAAAAAGTATCCTGCTTGAAATACACGAGATCATAGAATTCGGATCGCAGGACCTAGATGTCTATTGAGATCGTGCGCGTCTCGCAGACTTTCTCGAGGGAATAGTCTAGCGCGATCGGTCATTGATCATCTTTTATCACTAATTACTAATTGAATAGTCAACGAACAAATTCGCGATCTCGCCCCTATCCCGAGTTCTCCGTGCAGATCAGCATTCAATCGCTAAATGAGAAACTGTGCGGTGAAATTTCTCTCCGCTGTGTTCCGGATGCTGGAAGAGCGTGATCTTCTGAGAGTCGCAATTTTCGCCATCGACATCCGGAGTTTTCTGGGATATCTGACGATCTGCGTGACGCTTCGCGCCATCGTCCTACAGCTCGACTACGGAACCGTGCGATTCTCCTATTTTCTTGGCGTGCCGCTGTGAGCTTTCATCTCCGTTTGCCACCGAGCTCATCAGGAAGACGACACCGACTAAGGCTCGTCGTGAAGCTCGGGTGCGGAGCAATCACTGAGTGGTGCGCTCGTAGACAAACATGAGTGTGGAATCGAGGTAGTACCTATGACAATCATGCGATTCACACACTATGGGCTGCACGACGCCTCGAATCTGACATAAGTATGTTAAATATATTTTATTGATGTGTCACAAGCTTGCACGTTTATAAAAATAGAGCACCACTCTATAAATGCGGTGATCGGCGATTGCATATGTTTTCTTCGTCTTTGGGCTCGATTGAGAGAACATCGTTCCCAGAGGCTGAGCTCGAACCCCATGCGCTCGACGAGTTTGGTAGAGGGATATAGAGCTGGGAAGTCTATAATCGACAGCTCTGATCCGATCGGTGAATCAGTATTTCGGTGGAGATTTCCTCTCGCTTTCCGAAGAGACCTTGCGAATCATCTTCCGTCGACTCTTCTTAATGAAATTCTGGAACCAATTGGGGCCTCGTAGAATCGGGGATATTTTTCGATGGACAATTTTGAAACCCTAACAGTCTGTGAAATCAGATCGAATTGCTACACCATTTGAGACACTATCCTCGCTCACCAAAAGAGAAACACTCATGAAGTAAGGTTGATTGATTCCATCATGGAGACGAGTATCTTCACAGAAGCATAGAAAGAGAGTGTCGATCACCATCTGTGAAAGGAAAATATTCCGTTCCAGTACGAGCAAGCGTTTCCATATGACTTCAGGACCCCCAATCCGGGGACAATTTCACAGCGCTCCGCAACTGGGACCACGATGTACATATCCCTTGACGCTCGGAGCTCGCTTTTCCGGCACCAGCCACGGTCCCGACGGAGCGGCTCGAGCTTGATATTGACAGAGGGAGGGCACAAGCCTGCCGTCTCTCTGTGATCCCCGGGGCAGACTTCCTCGATTCCAAGGCCTGAGCTTGTCATCGGCTTCCCTGGTTTCCAGATACCTTTTTCTTCTAGCCTCATCGAGCACAAATCGCACGGAGATCGTCCCTTGCCGAATTTCAATGCATGATCCGGATCATACGAATCGAATCGACCTCAATCCTCTTCTACTATGTCTCTATCATGGGGTTTTCGGAGATCGTTATACCCTCACCTCATACACGGACAAGAAGCAGTCGGCTATGACATAGGCGAAAACGCCACCAAACGCCACCGGTACCCAATGGTACGACAACCCGCTCTCCTGAAGATCTTTGGCCTGCGCGAGAGCGTTCGGAAAAGATTATTTCTATATGCCGCAATATTTATCCCGTAGGCACTGAACGTTCGTCCCAACTTCGCTGAACGACCTCGATCAAATGACCGATGACATCGATATATATATTTGAGTAAGAGCGAGGAAGTTTGTTTGATTTGAACTGACCTGGAGAATTTCGATACCCGATACGACAGTTGCCGCGACTATCGCGACCTTGCCAAGGAAGAGGAGGAAATCTCCGACTGAGTTGATGGCTGACAGCCGAAGTATATTCGATGTCAACAAGCTGAAAGCCTCATGGGCCCCTTGACAGAAGGGATAGCCATGGATGGCTGGAAGAGAAAGGGAGGAGATTGCTAGAGCGACCATGACCAAACTAGCTCTGTCTTGATGTCAGCGCAGTGCTGCGGGATAGAAATCTCTGCTGATATCGACTCATCGTTATCAGAGCTCACCTATCAGTATGTACGCATTCCGATTGATGTACTTCAGAAAACGTTCGAATATCGCTAAGCAACAGCTGCAGCACACCGTACACGCGTGTGAGCAGCGGTCCTGAGCGGCGACACGATTCACGATTGCTAGGAGAATTCTAAGTAAACGTAGAAAAGCTGTTAGGAGAGATCCTAAGATGATTGAGCCCAGATGGTAGGCGACGAGGATCCCGGTCGCCCGCAAAATTGGGAGATGTAGCCTCTTCCGATTCCTGAAAAGAGAATGCCGGAAGAAAACTCCGTTGAAAACTCTGGTTCGAGATTGCGCTGTGAGTTTCAGGTGCAGGTTCACTATCGTGCCCTCACCTAGAGAAGTACCACGCAGCGACGGACCCTGCGATGACAAAGTGTTGACACGATAAGAAAAAGCGAGTCCACCAGAGGAATCCTAACATATGTAGCACCGGCCCACTCTGTGGAAGGAATATGAATCATACCGTCTCCCGAGCTCAAGATCGCATGACAATCCTCACTGCCGAGGATTACCGTCGGAGATTCGTCTCCAGATCGGGATATAATAAAAATGACAACAACAATTTTCAATTTTACCAGAAATATATTGGCAAGATGTTTGTCGAAGTTTTTGTCGCCGGTGTACACCATGGCTCCTTCGGTGGAATTATATCTCTCCTCTCGCCGGTGGACGTCTGCCGCCGCGGCCACCACGTACATGAAAGAATAGAGCCACAGCGCGAGAAACCCGACCGTGATCAGGAGAGTCTGCAAAGGGGTCATAGATTTCGAAACGATTGGAATCATTGGATTCTGCGAAGACATTTATCTCTAGCGACACATCGAGTCCGTGGCTAATTATTCCCCGGATCTTGCTCTCGCGGCAGCTTACCCAGATCGGTTGCAAGAATAGAAATGGAAGGGACGACAGCGCACGGCCGGCTTCGTGGAACAAGGTCGCCGTCTACGATCAGAAAACTAGTTTCAATTTTCCATAACGCGCTCCTCAAGCAATCGATAATATATCACGGAAAATTAGTTCGACTGACCAAATGTATGCGTTTCCGGAGAACCAGAAGAATGAGCAAATACATCGCCTAAGAAGGAATCGAGCTGTCAAGCATTTTGATTCGAGGTAGGCGAATCCCGTGAACGAGATACAAATGGGGGAGAGCGTCATGTATTCCTGCAGCGCCAGTTCATTATAGAAATAATAATTGACTCACCGTTCCGACAGTCGCAGCTATCGCTCCATAATAGAAGAGTCCCGTGGGCTTTCCCTGTTTGCGACTCAAATCGTATTGTAACCACAGGAACATTGTCGAGCCCAACGCCACGCCCGTTATAGTTATCAAGAAGAACCACACGATGAAACCCGTGAAGAACCTGTGAGTTCATGTTGAAGCAATAGGATCGATTTGAGCTCGAAATGCGATTATGACTCCTGGCTTCGGGGTTTCCGGCTCCCAATGAGTATCCTTGCACAACTTACCTCAATAGAATAATCACTAGAATGCTGCAGCCTAACGCAATCAGGCACATGTACAGCAATTCGAGTCGGCAGAGAGATATGTCCTGAACGACGTTCTCCAGGAAACCTTCAACTTGTCGGGCGTGCTTCTCAGGGAGGATCGAGAACCTGTATAGCGAATCACGACTCACGTTCATTGCTTCCCGGCTTGATTTTTCCAGAGCCGACACCGTTCCGGGTCGCTTCAGCGGTTTCTGCTGTGGTTTTGACTCCGGTTGCGAACATCGGTGCATGCGGGTGACTCTGCAGGCGATTTGGAATTAGTTGCCAGAACTCAGATCATTGGAGATCGAGAACCGAGAACTTTCCGGCTACCACAACTCACATTTGACCGGGAGGACAGTTGGCCACGCAGACCGCCGACTCCGAGTCGAGAAAAGGTCGATTGCTGAGATCTCGTCCGGACTTGAGGTTTTTCATTCCGCACACGTCGCCGTTCGCATCTGTCCCGTAAATATATCTCCATGGATTCGTGTATCGGACCGCCTCGACAGAAATAAACAACTGGAAATAGATAGTATGCCGATCATGATGCAGCGCAACAGCTCTTCGGAATTCTCGATTGTCGCATAGTCTGTTCAGTTCCTTGAGGTAAGGGCGAGCTAAGGCAGGAATCTCATACTTACCAGGAACGCAGTGTACAAAACTAAAACGATAATCCACAACATATTAGTGCAATTTCGGTCCCGTGAAAGTCCTTCCGACAGGAGGTCAGGACTCCCCCGCTCGGACTCGGCCGAGTGAACTCGGGTATCGCAACAGCCCATCTTTGGCGACTTCCAGATATCCTTCCGAGTCTCCTGCTCGCTCGTCTCCGCGCCACCATCTGAAAGGGGAACGGAGAGGTCTTTCCTGAGGTTTCCAACCATTTGATTTCCCCCACTCATCGATCCTGCGGGATTCCTAAATCCTCAGGACTGATGCGCCCTGGCGCGGTTCTCGCGATATCCACGACACCGCTCCGTGAGACCGGAGCTGCACCTCCGGAGCTGCGATCCTCACCCAGGAGAGAGTCCGCGAAGAAAAAAAATCACAAGAAGTTTCCACTTATCCACGGATAACTCGATTCGCCTTCCTCATCCTCAACAGGTAGCCGTGCCGTCACGTGCTTCGACGAATTCCGAGCACTAGGGCAGGAGAGTCGTGTCTGACTTCGAGCGTGCCAAGTTATTGTTATCGCTCGAGACCGGCAGACGAAGACGACGACAGCGACGAGGAAGACACCGACATCGAATCACAAAGGATTCGAGCATCGGCTTCCGAACTCACGACAAGCGGAAGTGAATCTCGAAAGATGGGGTGGAGACATATTCTTTCTACGATGGATCGCCAGCACGCCACCGACTCAGACGCGCGGGGCACAGGGGCGGGGTGGTTTTGAGGAGCGCACGCGAGCTTCAACAATCGCACTCGAGCACCCGCACTCCCTCCGGGAAGGGGGTTATCGATCAGTTGGCCGATTCAACTCTGATTGATGGGGATTTTAGTCTGATCACCTGCGGGTGAATCAGTGCCGATTCACGGATTCGGCCCCTCGGTCCTCCGCTCCGGTCATATGGAAATCCCTGACTTGGGGCCAGTGGAGATGCGGCGACGGATAGAGGCTCGAATCGAAATTCTATCGGCTTCTCTTGACGGCAAAGTGGGTGAGGCATCTGGCATTTGCCTGCCAAATCTATCGGTGATGGGAAAAACTTCAGGGAGAATCCATTTCGGGCTTAGCGAGCCATTCAGTCACTGATCGCTACAAATAGCCTAGCATATTTTTAAACATTACGTCAGCTGCGAGCAAGTTGACGATCGGAGGTCATCGACTGGCATCCGAACCCCTCTGGGAAACATAGGAGCCGTCAGATGGAGGATTGTTAAGCCCAATACTGATCTGGGCAGATTCGCTCCATTTCTTTCTTCTCCCCTAGTTTGTGAGGGCTTCCGAGGCGGGAAGTGGATTCACACGGAAGGACAGGATCCTCTGCTCGCCGAGACCTGCTTTTGATGAGACACAGTAGATCTCGAAGTTCATGTTCGTCTCCAGCCCGCGATCGATAGCAGCTGAGGCGTCAAGAGTGAGAGCGATCGAAGTCCCGGAAGTTATACGAAGATGTAATCATCTCGTAGCCACACACAAGACACGAATGCATTGTGACATCTGGGTCAGCCCCGCGCCAGCTGTTCGACGCTAAGAACTATCGGGGACTCTTCAAGTCTGAGGGCGGCTTCCGGATCTGACCATTGGTTTGCGACCGCTGTTGTCGACTCCAAGGCATATGATTCTCACGCTTGATTCCGCCTTCCCTCGGAGATCAGCGGCAACGGAAGGAAAAATAGGACTAGATATACGCGGATCGCGAGATCTTCTTGGAGCCCCCGAGCGACTCCCAACGGAATAGACGAAACTTGCTGCCGATGCGCAGAATCATAGATATGGAACCCCGTTCGCTCAACGCAAGTTTTCGTTGTTGGAGAAAGTGCTGTCTTGGTCCTGACCGTAACTTCGAATGTCTTGGAGTCCTTGCTGGCGACTACAGCTGGCACTGAGTGCTCGCTCTGTGTGTCGTGCGCGATTTGACGTTGGTCACGTAAGGGCTGAACCTGAGTGACCCGGTCCTCCAGGAGATTTTATCGCGGGACTTAGATTATCGACTATCAGTTATCGAGAGCAGGACGATGTTGCATTCACGGACGACGGGTACACGCGTGAACTTCAAAGGGCACGAAATTACTGCTCGAAGAACTGCGTTCTCAGGAAATGGCTGGGGCTACATGATGAGAAGATTCATCGACATGGCCTGGATCGTTAAGCGACATTCAGGATTCTGTTCGTAGAATCCAAGCGGGGGCTCGGGATGAAACTTCTCGAGGCGTCAAGTGGCCGAATCCGGACATTCGGTCGAAAACCTCGAGTGCACAGAACAATCCGACTAACTGGACGGCCGAAATTCCCGACGCGGCTCCGTATCACTTCCCGTTCATGCAAGTGGTAGCCATGAGCTCTGCCTCGATTCTCGAGTCGCAACAAGAGCCAGAATGCGACGACGCTCATTAATTTCCCGGGTCCCAATCGATTGATTCGTCGGCACGAATACGCGAGGAGCCTTCATGATTCCTGATGCTCCTCCGTCAAAGACTGGGATCGGCTTCTCACCGGGAAAATCGGATCCGAAGTCGTCGATCCTAGGCAAAGCGAACTATGTTCGACGCGACGACCATCTTTGGAAAAAAACAGAGTTGGGAAAGGCAGAATCATGGTCCGGGAATGGGCGCCAGTGATTTCTTAATAATCGATTTTCGAGACTAAACGTGCGGAAGGATCTCGATTCGCGAGACAGCCTTCGCATCAACATCGAAGCTTGTTGAATCGACTCAGAACAACTATGATTATAATTCAGCCTCGGGTCTTCAATAGATCCGTGTGTAATATGACTGTGAACGTCATCCATCGCGTCAGCGTGATACCTGATCCAGCCAAATCGAGAAATCAGATTCCTCGCTCGAGCTGAGCCTCGGAATCCCTCCAATTCGCGGAGTCCCCTTGATTCGAATCAGCCCATCGAGCACCTCTGACACGAATGTATGCCAAGGGACTCTGCCTATCTCGCGGGGACAAGTCCGGATACGATTCACGCTGACGGAATTCCTCAAGAATCTGCTCGAGGCATCTCCTAGTTCGTTCCTTGAGGTTCGAGAATCCAGCTGAGGAGCAAAGGTCCCGAGGTGTCGAGGGGTCCAATCAATCCGGCGTACATCACTTCAGAATGTATCGGAAGGCTCCGAGAAAATGGGAACTTGGCCCCCTTGAGAAAGCTTTACTCACACATTTTCTGCTCGAAAATCACCCATCAAGGAAGGAATCTCGCACTTCACAGCACCAGTGTTTCTTCCACGAGTCGTAGCCGAGAACTGACTGATGTTTACTCATCGATCAGATCGTGTGTATATTCGGCATCGTCCACACTCTGCACTCGCCAATAAGTTGTAACTGTGTCAAGGCTTTCGCCTGTTTCACGAGACTTATCCATCACGGCGCGAAACGATATCTTCTCTACTCGAAAATCTTCGGCAACGCTCGCTCTCCCCGATTGCCGATCGGTAAATCGAGTGAAGGGTTTTTTACGAGAACGAGGTTCTCGCCTGAGAGCAATTCAAGCCGAAACTCTGCAGAGAAGAGGGCTTCACGGGTCACGGAGTCTTAGACGATTTTCGGGGTTGAAGGACCTCTGTGATGTTTCGTTCTACCGACCCGCGGCACTTGATCGATTGATCGCGCACAGAAGGAACTTTCTTTTCGCCCCAGACACGCGGTTTCACGTTTTCGAGGAGAAGGAGCTTCGACGACGTTTCTGTCCGAGTCGAAACTGCTCTCCACGGGGCTAGAAAGAATCGAACTTGATGGGAGTCTGAGAACCCCTCATAGACTCAGACTATAACGAGAGAGTTCAGAACATAAGAGTTCCCCTGCGAGGAGATCCTCGAGTTCACGAACACGAGCTTTCTCTCAGCTGTTGGCGGCTTTCTCGCCGCTGACCTTTTGATCACATCACCGAGGCCTGTTCCCCAGTAGACGCGTCCTTGGCAAGCCGATAACATCTTGCGCGCGAAATTCCACTCGGAGTCCAGGGTCCTTATCCCCAAGGAATCCATGGTCGAGGTCAGTCGGGGTTTGATAAGATCAGTATTTTGATTGGTCGGAGTGTTTCTCGGCGTTGTTTCTGCCAAGTCGACGAGGAAGCGTGACCGAGTCAAATAGCCGATGCGGGTAACACTTCATTGGAGGCACGTCTCGGTCGACCCCATCGGGAGCGTAATCGCTCCCATCCGCCAATGTCGACTCGTCACGCCCATGCAGTAGCCCTTAATCGCACGATTATTGTACGCGCAGAACTCACCGTCTTTGTGGCTTGGGTCACTACTTATCGTCAGACGTTGGAACTCGTTCTAAAACTGATCCGACGCCGGGTCTGCGCGCACTTCAATCGAAGACATCTTGGGAGAGCTTCTCCACTCATGAATGCATACACTGCACCGTGAAATTTCGCAGCGACAGACCTCGCGGTATCCGGTGAGAGTCGACGACCGACGTTAAATCTCTAGTGCTCGAGCGGAATTTTCTTCGGTCTGGCTTCTCAATATACTGCGGGATCTCCTCACGACGAATACAATCAGAACGGAAGAGCATCATAAGAACAAGGAAATGGACAATCGGCTGGAGCACCGTAGATTCGAGCATTGGAAGTTCTCTTAAGAAAGTATTGGATGTTTGTTACGAGGTGGGAATTTCGCAGGTCCTGCGATTTCCCTCGTTACAAGATTTCACGACGAGGATTTTCGATGTTACGAGAGACCATTGCGTACGGCTACGAGCGGTGGAGTCTTTGAGTGACGAGAGACTTGAATTACCTTCGAGCAGAGATATGAGACCACCGCTATTCGACGCACCTCCGCCGACGCTCACACGGCACTGATTCCATAGCAATACAAACGGCAGACTTCACGGGCGTAGTTGACGAGTTTTGCAGAGTCTGCATTCGAAGACGGTCGATTCCTCTCCAAGGTCATTGCCGAGGCCGTGTTCGGGAGAGCTCTATTTTTTGCCGGTCTCGTCTTCAGGCCGAGAATGTCAAGCGGAAGCAACGCATGGTGTCGCGATAATGGATTTTCTTTTAGTCGATAACTATATCCGAATCGTGAATTACTTCCGAATCTGGTGCGGCACTAGATCAACGGCTCCGAACGGGTAGCGGCTGCTGGGCCGCGGACTCTCGAGAAGCGCGAAAGTTAGGCATGATCTCGGAAAGTCAGCTTTACAGAATTTACCCCTACGATCATGTTCTTCCAACGGCGTCGTCTCGAGAAGAATCTCCCATTTTCGCCACCAGACATTCATTCACCCAAATTCGCGCAACTGTTCGCTGCTCATGTCGATCTGAGTTCAGGAGAAGCAGATCTGATACGAGACACCGGATTCGACCAAAACCCTCTTGTGCGTGAAGCACGATGAAGGCCCAAACATGCGTCCAACTATCGAATGTCGATACCATTCTCTTCACTCGAGACGTCGGATCTTCACTTGAAGGGACGGTGGTATCGTCGATGCGATCCGGGGGCAGAGAGAAAAAATTCCGATCCATTCTCTCGGGGTTCCCGTCGTGGGTGACTCATTCCGAAATCTCGAATGTACGTCAGTTCAGAAGACGACATGTACACCGGGACTTGTTTGAGTCGAGACATTCTCCAGCCGTACGATTTTCAGTATTCGATCATCTACGGACCTGATCAGTCGAACGAATACACGAGAAATCGGGCTTGAGATCGTCCATCAACTCTTGGAGGGTCTCCGAACCTGATATCCAGAATTCCGTCTGTCGGATAATTTCTTTGACGGCGCTATATCCGAGACGTCAGGCTGCACCGATTCCAAGGAGTCTTCAAGACTCGACCGATCTCGAAAGCGAGAGCCTGACACGAGGATGTGTTCGGATCTACTTCGCAGATATTTTGGAGTCGGCCCGCGATTCGATCATAATTTATGACTCAAACCGCGATCGACTTCGATCGAAGCGGAAGTCAAAAAAGATCGCTGATATTGAGCTCAGAACATTTGTCACCGTCCGTCTATAAGTGTTGTCTCTCTGAGAAACCACTGACCCACTTGAGCCTCCTACACGGAAGTTGTGAGCTCTGCACGAGGGCTCCCCCTTACCAAATTAGTTCATGCCGATGAATTTGAAGTCAGGAAGGCGGAAGTCGTCGGAGTGCTGCTCTCATTCGATTTAAAATCATCATGCATCATAATTCTCAGAATTGCATCAAAGGCTGCAAGGCTCGAGATGACGCCCGAATGTTCCGAATCGAGTGCCCTGGGAGCAAGTCCGATCCCGTTGATGACGCAAAAACAATGTTAGATAATCAAAAACCATCATGTTATGAATTATTCGAAGACTATCAGGGGAACTTATAACCACACCGAGATAATATTTATGATCCGGGGAACCGCCGGCGGAATCGAAAGATTCTGGACCCGGTTAGGTCTGGTAGCGGCAGAACAGTTAACGAAAAAGGGTTCAATCGAGTTCTCATGGAAAAGTACCGGTCGCCTGTCTGAGACGGCTATATCTCATCCTGCCGCTACCCGTTGCTACCATCCAGATCACGACCGACGGAGTCGTCACAATGCACAGCTGATCGACGCACAGCTGGTCGAACTGGTTTGTTCGACTCTTTCTTCCTTCTACCAATGATCTATCCCAGGAGCTAATGAATACACATAGACGCGGGGAGGTACCGATAGCGGGGAAGCATTCTGTTGGATGTGGAAGCTTCACGGAGGGGCCGACGTCGCGGAGCGCCGATTTGCGCGGTCAGCCGGTTCACTGGCTGTTTAACCCGCCGGCATTTTCGTGCGGACGCTTCCTGACTCGTTAACGGCACAAATGATCGAATCAAAACTATGAGCATACTAGAATTCACCACTCGCGGGGAGGAAGTGTCAGTGAACAGAGCTGAGCGACCATTGCGGGAATCCTGATCTCGGTCAGATTTGAGCGAGAAAATTGACTCTCTCACAATATCTCGAGTTGCAAAAACCGTGATATAGATTGGACATCGCACTTCGAAAAGGAGTTTGAATTGGGGAGTTGACGAAGAATCATCGCGTACTCACATACAGGTGGCGTACCCTCCGAGCTGTCAAGGCTCCGGCAAACAAGGAAACCCCGGGGGTTTCCTCAGAAGAGTCCCAGGTGTCATTCCGTCTCCCGGGAGACCGAGAAACGGAAAGAAACCAATGATCGGGGGGAAAGGCCGGTAAACTTGAGTTTTGCCCGTGTTCTGCCCTCGACCGGGTCCTGATGGAGAGAGCTCCCCTCTGCGCATGCGCTTTCCTCGTCAACAGGTGTTCCGACGCAGGGAACTTCGTACTGAGGACCGTTTTCGAGGCGCATTCGGAGACGACCTATTATTAACATCCAATCACGAAAAGCAATGATGCCGGGTCTCGGGTCAATCCAGAATTCCAGGCCCCCCTTTCGACCAAGAGGAATCGCAGTGCGGAGGTACCGCGTAGGGTTGAATGGGCAGCCGATAAGTCAATGATGAGGGCGCAGAAAAAGTTTCCAAATCAGCTCTCACGTAATCTAGGACGTTCTCAGGAAGGGAGGAAGCCAGAAATACGAGTGCAGCGGGTTCTTCACCATATTTCCGATCTTTGATCGATTCAACTGCCTAATTGAGCTCAGCTGAGGAAATCAATCAAAGACTTTGATCATCCTTCCGATTACGTAATTCATCCACAAGAGAGACCCCCAGCTGTACGGTCTGCCTCGGCCGTGATATGCATCCTCATCTCCCGATCAGGGGATATGGAACGATCTGGAACCCAGCGCGATTCCGGGGAACTATAGATCCGGGGAACAAATGATTCATTTGGCCGAGCTGGAGATTCGGGGGCGGAGCTGGGAAAGCCCATCTGATCCCTGATCCGGACGCGGGAAACGATATCCCAATCGAAGTTGAAACGCAATGGAGGGAACCCGCTATCGGAAAAAACAGATATTCATGCGTGAGTCGCTGCAGAATCGCATTTTCTGTGCGGATAGCCTACCTGTTAGGAGATGGGTAAAAGTTCAAGAACTTTGGACTGATTTGGTCTGGCTGTCCGGAATCCAGTGGGGGCGTCTCTGGGAAGCCTCAATATCCCTGGAGTGCTTCTGATATGGTACTTCCTGGGCGGAAGACCCCTCCCCACAATTCCGAATAGCCCCTTGACTATCCATAAACTGCTGACTGATGTCGAGAGATACCATGGATTCGCTCTCGTTGAGCCTCCCCTCGACGCATTTCGATGATGGTTTGTGGTCTTGGAACCTTTCCCTTCTTCAGGCTTTTCCATCGAGGAAGTTTCGAAGAAGACCGGTCGTCAACGAAGAAATATTGGAATCGGCGATACTTCACGGGATTTTGACGCGAGCTGAATGAATAATCATCCGGCTGGATAAATTTTGGGGAGCTGGGTCAGGCGCGGGAGAATTTTTTCCTCACTAACCTTTCGGGACTCTCAATTGACTGCAAGCACTGATCCGGTGAAATCCATAGCGCTCCACACGAACTGTGACCAGAGAATGCTACCACGATTTTGGGGTCAGTGTACCTCGGACAGCTCCTGAGAGCATCCACCCCCACACAGGATCTATCTAGGTCAAATTCAGAGAGAGGGCCGATAATCACCCGTGGTGCTCTCTCCGGATTCGTTCACTGAGGACAGTTTGACGTCGTAATTCCAAGCAGTGGGCAGTCAATAGCTTCGTCGGAAAGACTATCCCGTCCTTTCCCGGACTCAGAAGTACTTCGAGCGAGGATCTCAATCTCGGGATTTCGCTCGTGTCAGGGGAGCTGCGAGCCGCGAGTTTATATTCAGCGCATGAATTCACGGCTTCCTCTACAGGGCGAAATTTCTCCGAGTCCGTCAGAATATTTCATTCGATCCCATACCCTTAAGCATGGAAGAATGCTGATATGAAAAGGCAGGAAGAATTATTTGGTAGAGAATTCCCCTCCTGGCATTTATCCACGGACTGCTTGAAGGCTTTGAACGGCGATCAAAAGGCTTTTCTCCTCGTTTCCATCCTCGGGGTAGCAGATTTCTGAACCATCAGATGCATCGCGAGGAATTGGAGCGACTCTCATGATTTTACGCATTCATACTGGTGCATCTCGGCCCTGAGCGTCGGCCGCCGAAGAGCCTAGTTGAGGTTTCTTACAGAATCGATGGCGCCTCACGCCTTCGCCTAGCGGAAGACGAGCTCGCCACTTTCTGGTAAGTTTTCGAGGCGGGACCGGATTTCCACGGTACGTGGACCCCTATCAGGACGCTCCGAGGTGATTTGGAACAATCACAGAGAGTCGCTCGAAAAACATATTCCGAAGCTCCTCCACAGGCGAAAGTACACGGTTCTACATATGAATCAAATTAGAATCATGGCGGAAGTCGGTGATGAGCCCTGGCGAGGCTCAAAGGGCTCGTCCTACGGTGATCCGGATGAAAACTTTTTGATTGAGATGGCCTGCCATCTCGATGGATTGACATGACCTGGTCCAAAAGTCTGACTGACGTATTCAGGTTGCCTGTTCGTCTCGGACGAATTGCTGCCTTGTGCTCCGATAGTCGCAGCGGATCACTCGAGAGCATGCATATGCAATACTTCCGCGTGCGATTACTAGTGTCTGAGCGATATTTAATTGTGATCGTCGAAAACCACTGGAAAAGCATCGACTTCGGTTAACACTCTGGTGAGAGTAATTTCGGCTTCTGTTTCGCGAGAGAGCTAGACGATCGCTTCGATTCTCCGTAGCCCCCCGAGAGATGTTACATCACAGAGAATGTCGTGCCTGGATGAAACCCGAATATTTTCGGATAACTCCGGAGAACGCCAATATTCTTCCAACAAGATACGGCGGAGGGATTGGGGGATTCCTTCGGGGCGACTAGAATTGACATCCCATCGGCCTAGGTCAGGCATCGGACCAGGTGCGATCGATTGCACGGATTCGGTCATTGAGAGCGAGGGTGGCTCAAAGCCGACTCCGTTGGCAGGATCGAGGACTTTACATATCAGGATCGCTCCCTCACCCTGATTGAGTCGACGAACTATCTCAGTACTGACGTGAGTGTAAATCGCTTCGCCGAGGGAATAGTCCAGAAAATCTTGACTTGCTAACGGAGTTTTGTTGGATTCCGGTCGCAGTCGTCGTACAGACGCTCGCATACAGACATCTTCACTTTATAGGTTGATGTCCGAACGCGTGAGCGCTCCTGTTCCGAAAACCCATCGGGAAGCGATCGCTGCACAAAAACCTGCTCCGCGTAATGCCGCCGTCACCTGGAAGGGATTTTCTGCTGAGCTCGACTTGCACCGGTTTCGCCAAGCCTTCGATTCATGCAGACAGCAGAGCAACACGCTGTAGTGGCTTTTCTGGAGCGGATCATGCGGCATGACAACCCTTTCCCCCGACCGTTCTCATATAAGTGACTCCGGCCGGGGCTCAAACCGTGTGTTTCAACATCTACGAGCCCTGAAAATGAAGTCTTTCGCTGTCGTCGCTCTCGGTAGGTACCTGGACTTGCGAACTCGGCTTCTCCGCCACGAACTCGGATTCCCCGATACGAGCTCGGAGTGTTGTTCTCTGCTCCACGAGATGCCACGGTGGGAACAGGAAAACGCTCTCAAGAGGAGTTGCCCGCTATATCGGGCGCATGTAATCGGATGTCTCAGTCTCTAACGTCGACGTTTGGAAATTTTCAGCTTCCGTGGCTCTTGCCGCTCCTAATTGCGATATTAGTACCATCGACAAATGTCTGAAGAAAGCGTTGCCATACTCGAATCGGACGAGCCTCGGCGTGACCCCTGAAGAGATCGAAAAAGAGTGCAAGTGAGTAAACCTCAGCGGGTATGATTATTCGAGTAATCCCTGGAGAGCTCCGGACCTGGACGGGGGTCGCGATCATGGAGGACCGGAGCCTGACTCGAGTTTTGTGATTTTCAGGTGCGACCGAGAGGCTATCGCTTGTCTCCTCGACTACGCCGAGTCCGGCTGCGTCAAGGGAGACACTGAACTCGCTTTGAGGATCACAATCCGCGGAGCTGCCGAAGAGAGCGCCCTCCGCTGTCAGAAGGGAACTGCGAGGAACGCCGATTATTTGAAATACGTTTCTTGCGTCAACAAGGCCGGTCCCAAACTGAACAAATGTTTCCGCGATACGACGAGCTACATTGAAACCGCCGGCCGCGGTGGAGTGGGAACTGGGCTTCCTCAGGGCTGCTGTGCCTTAGGACGCCTCTCCACCTGCATTGGCGGAGCCGCCGCTGCTGAATGTGGAGCCGATGCCGAAATGTATGTGAAGAACGTTTTCACAGGAATTCTCGGAAACTTCCTCGATAAGAGCTGTGGTGCCTACCAAGCAATGTCTGAGAAGTGCCAGTCTATTGAAATTCTCAAGACCGAGGGAGAGCCTAAATTCTTCACGCCGGTGGGCGCTTTCTTCGATATTGTGAAGAACGAGATGTGAGGTCGAGGTTGAGCACGGAGATTATTTAATAAATTATTCTGTGTGGATGGATGGAACTTGAATGCTCATCATTCTAGGGAAGATTCGTGAGGGTGCAGCTCTTGGGATAAGACCGATAGTTTCCGGCCGGGAGACAGAGTTCACTTCGCATGCACTATGCAGCATGGGAGTATTCACTGGGGAAATCACTCCTCATCATCGTCATCTGATCGGGAACGGCCGTGAGCCGTCTCTTCCCATTCCTCGATACATGCCCGTGACGGACTCATGTTCCGCAAGCGAGATGTTGAGTCGGCAGTGTCTCCTCCGACGATGATCGAAAGCCGCAAGGTCAGCGGAAGTGCTGGAAACCATCCCATAGTTCTGCCGAGGATAGTCTTGGGATATTTCTCCTCAGATCAACAGGCAGAGAGACATGCTGCTCTAAACGCAGATTTCCAGTGGTCACGATATTCTACTTCGATGGTAATGAGTTGCTAGTATTCGGCATCGATTACTCTAGGTTCCTAAGCTGGTGGTGGTGGATCTTTTCGATAATCTTAACGACCGACGAACGCCAAGGATACCTCTTCCTAGTCAAAGATGTGATCAGCCCAAAGCACTAGGATCTTCGGCCCGAGCTGGAAAATCTGCAAACTCTGAAATATGCAACGCTCCAAGACATCTAAGTGGGCTCTAAGACGAAACGGGCCGGAAAATTAATCAGGTCTCGATTCGTGTGATTCATACGATCGTCGGGCAGAGAGAATGCGGACCGAGCATTGGATTCTCCCGTTCCTCATCTCGCTGAGCTGCGGGGTTGTCCTCGTCGAAACAGCTAGGTTCAGACGTGATCGTGAGTCGAGAGAGCTTACATATGTATGCGTACGGGAACGCGGTCGGTGTGGTAGCAGGGCTTAGTTCGAGGCTCCAGCGAGAACTTTTGATATCGTGGCATCATGGAGGATTCGAGCGAGACTTTCGATGGAAATACAACTAATAAGGATCAATTTCCGCGGTTCCAGCAATAAGGAACTCGACGCCATTCTACACGAAGAGTCAGAGCCAGAAGTCGAGCTCCGATGGATGTGATACCAGTGGAGGTCTGGGCTTCTCCGCGGAAAGCTGCATAGAAGGTCATGCCGAGATTTTCAGACAAGTCTGCCTTGAATTCCACAGAGAATGGTGGACGAACTATACGAGAGTGATCCCCTGTGTGACACGCAGGGCGGTCTCCAGTATTCTGAGGTGAGTTTGTAGCTCACCGATTCTTCTGTCGAAGAATAAACGGATTGCTCCGTCGTTTGACCAGAATCTCCGTTACTCTTGTGGAAAATGGAATATTCAGACCCTTGAGCGAATCCACCCTCCGAGAGAAGGTCGACAGCCTGAATCTGAACCCGGGTTCTCCGAATCGCCGTTCCGTTTCATTTTCAGAGATTTCATTAGGATAGAGCATCCGTTGTATTATGCTTTCATCAACTTCCTGATAGGAATACCCGCCACCATTGATGAGGAAAGACCGCTTGCTGAGCTTGTGCACCACTCTTCGGAAGTCAGTCTCTCTCCTCACAGTTCGCGGGCTGTCAGGGATTCGGATGGCGGGCTGACGGACTGTGGGTTTAATGAACTTATCTGTTTTCAGGCCCTGGATGATATCCGCGACTTATTTAAGTATTTCAGAATGATGTATACTGCAGCCATTCGGGACCCGATCCGTTGCTTGCTCGTCAAAAAATCCGAGGAGAAGACACGATGCCAGAAGGAGAGAGAATCGCTGACGGGTCTCGGAGAAATTTTCGGAGGGAAAGGCTTCCGGGGAAACCATGAAGTCCAACAAGACTCCCCGTCAGGATCTCGCGCCTCGGGACATTTACTCACAGACAATCGAGATGAGTCTGCGGTGGTTGACTCTGAGGCATCAGCGGAGAACCACTTCTCCACGGCGCCTGAGGAGGCTGACGGCGTGAACTCTCACTCATGGGGGCCAGACACTGCGAACGGGGAGCCCAATCGGATCCAGAAAACCTGGACTAAGGAAGACGCTCTCGGAAATCTGATGGAAACACCCAGAGCCCGGACCAGAGGCGAACAAGCACCAATCGAAATCGATTTAGCTGAAGAAAACGTTTGGCCAAGAGACGGAAACGCTCACCAGATTGGAGTGAAAGCGTCAGACGTTGATGAGAATGAGCGCCGAGCTACGCCGGCAGAGAAAGGTTCGTCAGGCGGCCATCTCGAAGCCAGCATCGATGCTGAAGACCCACACGAGGTGCCGCGGTCGATGCCTAAAGTCCAGTCTTCAGACTCGCTCGCTTCCCGGGAGGTATCTTCGGAACATCTCTATGAAACTTCGACAGCTAGGGACACGGGGTCGGCTGACGATACATCGAAGAGCCCACACGGGATGTCCCCGATAGACCTTCTGTTGAAGAAGAAACAAGAGCAAGCCCGAAGGAAGAGAATGACGACAGAAACCCCGACGCAGACCTCGACGACTCAAGCCCCACAGACGACATCGACATCGACCACGACAGATGCCCCACAAACTTCTTGGACAGCCGACATTTCGGGGCCTGAACTAGGCAGCCCTATTCGTTTCGGGGCGATTCTGCCCACCCCCAGGCACTGGAAAACGCGTTCGAGAGTACGCATAACTCCCCATCACTGGTAAGGGGGAGAGAGGGAGGTGGTTTCTCCATGTCGATGCCTGCGGAAACCCTCCCTGGATGGTTGGGCGAGGGGAGGCAAGCTCTGACTCTTAGTCTGAGTCTACTGGGGCGAGGCTTTTGGACCTAGGAACGACGGGCGCTAGAGTTGCCTGATGAGAAAGAAATTCATCGGACTAGTTAGCGTGATATTCGATCTATCAATAAATACTGAGTCGATGCGAACATCATTAAATATTTATTCGAACCCTCACAATTCACAACGTGCCACATCATAACTATTATATATTCTACATACCAACAACGAGTCATTCACTTAGCACCATATCGTCTCCCATTCCACTGGAATTCTAACGCCACGCAGTTTTTTCTTGACGATTTCACTCACAAAGTCCTTCACAAGGTTCACCCAAAATAAAACCGTGCGTTTCCCCCTCGATGGCAAGGCTCTCATTCGCATCGCGGTCCGCTCATTGAGCAGCCGATCGATCGAATCTTCAATCAATTATTCGAGGGAATCAGGCCGAGCGGTTTAATGAATCAGACCCCATCGGTCAACAGCCTATCAGGTCATGTTGATTCAAATGCCGGAATTGGAGAGGATGCTCCAAACCGTCTATGTACAAACGTATTGAACAACAAGACGAGATCATCACAACCTTCTCCCTCTACTTTGGAAAGAGTCTCCGCTCGATCAGACGGACGGATGCAAGCATTCTCGGAAATTCCATCTACATTTATACCCGTGTTGATAATATTTCCTCATTTTCTTCCCAACTCTCTGCACCTTGACTTGTCGGAGGCACACTTGCTTTGGATGCACAGTAACGACTTAAAATTCTGACTAATATGAGTTTTCGTTACAACGACGACGTCTTGTGGATTGCGAGCATGTGACGCATGGTTTTGTTCTTTTGCGATGCCCGGTAGTTGCACAAAGGACACTTGTAGGGTTTTTCCCCGGTGTGTGTTCTCTCGTGAGCGACGAAATGTGAACTTTTGTTTGTACTATAGTCGCATATCGAGCATTGGAAACGGCACGAATTATACTCGAATGACTTGCGGCCGCTGGTTTGCATTGTCAGCAATTGGAGTAAATTGTCCTCGAACCACGACAGGATATCTGTAAAGACACAGGAAAGAGAACTCGATGAGATTCGCGCAACATCGTAGCGGAAAGTGAACTACCTACTCACTACATGCTGCCTTGTCGGGCAAAAGAAATATTCCATGCAAGTTATCGAGCTGTACGACAATGAAGGTGTGATAATTGAGATGGTGAGCGACGACTCCGGACATCTGGAAGATGAAAGAGCTTTCAAAGTCAAGAGAACTCAGTGGGATAACGGGACGGCATAACCGGAAGCCGAGCTGCTGGCTGGAAGAAATCTTTTCCGAACCAAAGTCCTCAACGAAGTTCTTATCTGTGTGGAGATTATCGAGCTCGCGGCGAGCAGCATCACCTCCCGCCACAAGAGCTCCTGGAACGAAAGATACGTATTGTCACTGAAGTATCTGACATGATTTTCTTCGTGGTTTTGTGGTTTTCTCCCGAAAACTCAGTTGCCCCGCTCATGCGAGCTGAATGTTCAACGGATATCGCTATGCACGAGTCGAGAGCCCGCGAGATTCTTCCTTAGCTCTCGAAGCATGGGCACGGGTTGTATCATCCAAGAGAGTGAGGATAGCATCGGAGACTTCGAATGCCCAGAATATCGAGGGAAATGAATCCCTCCCGATCATCTGTTGGGGAAGAATCGAGAGGTGAGACCAGTGGTCCCAGGACCACTCCTACCTCCACCTGGATAGAATAGTAGCAATTAGTAGTTACCAATTACAAAACTCAATAAAAACTTCTCCTCGGCTGATCAATTCCGGACGTTCCTAGAGTCGACGACTCGAAATGATGTAAGGCCCCGGGATATTATTCATAGCTCGCCAATCCCGCATGATTATAGAGTGGAGCGCACGATCAGAATCTCGGATCCCTGTGAATGAAAGTGTTGATCCTCCCAAGGGATTCGAATGTTTTCGAAATCAGCCGGTCGTAGACACCTGACGAATGAGCTGCATACGGCGGGGAGGCCTCGGACGATAACAGAATCCGACGGCAATCTTGACGTTCACGCACGGGGAAATGGATTGTGTCACGATATCATAATCGAAGAACTGAGGATACGAGAAGTCAGAATTTCCGGTACCAATTCGAACACGGAATGGCCCTATGTTTACTCACTGCGTATATTTTGTTGACAACAACGCAAGTTTTCACCGTGAGCGCTTTCTCCTGATTCCAGACTCATTCCTCATGCGATGAATCAATCACGGATCCCGACACCAGGATCTCAAGTTAAAAATGGGAATTGCCTTCTTAAACCTTTCAGAATAGGGCCCTTATAGTCAGCGGTCCCGTAGTTGAAAAACTGTCACAAGATGGAGGCGTAGGGCTACTGCCATGTCTTCCATGAATCTTTTCACGACGAAGAAGCAGCCAGCTCAGACCAAAGAGCTTCAGAGAGAGCTCGTGTCTCCTCCGGAGCCGATATCCTTATCCCGAGCTCATCGGTCATGAGATCTTCGGGTAGATGTCGGCTCAACAAGCATCAGGTGGGGTCCGTGGAAGTTCGTTCTTCACTTCCTGTATATTCGAATTTCGCGCGGCCTGAGTCCTGATATCCGTGATGCGATACTGCGGCAAAATTTTCTCTCCACAGGCGCGAAAACTGGTTTATGCTGCGATCGGTCGAACCAAGGTCTAGCGTTCTCTGTTCGGCGGGGAGCGTCAGGTTGTCACCGCTTAGGATTGAGAAGTCGGATACGGATGCTCCCGGTGTGACGGGATTTTCTCGATTCCCGGGCGGCCAGTCGCTCGCTCGGTAGTCGCGCTGCGAGAACCGGGCGAAGAAAGGCGACTTTTCGCAAGGAGTGCACAATAAGAACTTTATTAACTTTAATAGATGACTAAAAATATCTGGCTCCGAGTCGATGAGTCGTCTCGTGAGTCCCCGGGAGGAACAACTAGAGTTCCCGTTTCAGAAGTCGCTCTGATCTAATTCCACGAAAAGTTCCGTTATCCGCTTCCAGCGGTCGTCTGAGCAGAATTCGACATACACTGAAAACGCCGGGAAACCAGCTGCTCGCGCGATGTGACTCGCGCATGTTATCGCCAGAGTGACATTGTTGGTGAGCAGTGATTCACAATCTTGCGGCAGACCGCAGCTATTCCCTTCTTCGAAACAGTAGCGCTCGTTGATTTGGAAGAGCCCATAGTCGGAAGTCTGGTCCGGCAATCTATGGACGACAAAAATTCTTCGCGTCAACGAAGGTACGACCAGGTAGCAATCCACAATGTTTTTTGGGGAGACAGTCCTCGGATTCATCGCACGACGAATTACTCACTTTGTCACAACAGAGGTGTTGAAATGGCTTCCGATCTCGGCGATGCAGAGAAGTTGGCCTATATCCTCGACCTTGTCTCCAAGGTTCTCCCGCAAGCGAGCTATCAGCTCGCACTTGTCGATGACGCGGGGACCGACCTCGACCATGAGGCCGGAGACCATCCAGATTACGATAAGTTTGATTCCCATCAATAGATTGTGGAAAGTCTGCGGAAGATCGCGATGAGGTGGAGCCTGAAAAATGACGAGCTCCGGCAGATCGACGGGCGAAGCCTACCGATTTTTTCTCTTTTCTGAGAGAAGTATCGAACGCAAGCACAAGAGGAGAACCCGCGGGTAGACTATGGCTCCGCTGGCGGACAGGTTGGAGTGTTCGGTAGAAGGGGTTTCGGATCTTCCCCCGGGGATCGGAACCTTTGTGCTCTAGCAGGCTGACGGATTCCCTGAGCAGCTGTTCTACCTCGACTATCGAAAGACTGTTTACTTCTCTGAAGGTCCACGAACGTTGAGTTGCGTCGCCCACCACACCTCGCGTGCATCTGGACAGCGACGCTTCGAGGCAGGCGCTGGGGAGGAGCGACAGAACCTCACGCGGATTTCATCGTCATAACTCCGCGACTGTTCGTTTCGACCTGCGGTCTTGAGTTTGTGTCCGGTTTGTCTGCTTATCAGGGGCGTCTCCAGAATTTTGTTCGGGGGAAGTGGGGGAAGCCCGGTTTCAGGGAGGCAAGGGGCTAAAATTGGCAACCCGCTCCTATGCTCCAGCGTAACGGCCGGATTTTAGACCGCGCACAGCGAGCAAGATCCTCACCTGGACGTTCGTTTTGCTTTCGAGAACTCACAATTCTCTATATTGATTAAGGTTTGAGAATTTGTTCGACTCGTTCCGACGACTTCATTCCGGCTCAAATTGATTTTTCCAATGCTAACACGCCGGACCCTTGGATTTGGAATCATCGGAACCGGTCGTGAGCGGATCAACGTGACTTTCAGCGCTCGCTCGCACACTTTGTCCACACATCATTCTTAGGCCTTTTTTATTGCTCACAAAGCCATGGAAGTCTGGATGCGGATCGAGTCACCCCGTCCTTCTTGGGATCGGCCCTTGGGGGATTCTCGTCTATCGTGGCGATCTCATCTCCAATTGCGTCGCTGAAGACTTGACTCGAGCGTAAATCTCTGTCGTCAGCGATTCCCTCCTGGTCGCGCGCTCTCGATAATGCCGTACGTTTAGATGCCGATAACATGAGAATCCTTTTGCAGACGCGGGAGTGAGAATCATTGATACCGGTCGTAGGTCGCGGGGTCCATGGGCTCTGCCAAGTGAGTTGTTATGTTCCGACATGGCGAGCATGGAGTCGATAATTTGCCCCATCTCCCGAAAGTCCCGCGAGTAATCTGGGAGGCGGCACCTGGCATTTCTCCGAGAATGATCCAGATCGTGCTCTGTCGATGTGTCTCTGTTCTTGACGACCGAGAAATATTTATTATAAAGAGAAAATATACAGCGGTGTCTCCTCACTGACTCGGAGGGGGCGGGGGAGGGGGTGGCGGTGGGGCCATCATCCTCGGTGGTGCTGGCGGCATCTCCCATGCCGGTCTGCCGAACGGTAGCTGACCCATGGTGGGAGTTAGACCCGGGGGAGGGGCCATATTGGGTGGCATCGGGGGCGCCATTGCCATCATGTTCACCCCTCGCATCAGCGGTGGTGGCGGCGGAGGCATCATCCCGAACGGAGAAGCGCCCACTGGAAAAGTTTGACGGTCTAGGTGAATACTTCGATGCTCAAAACATAGTCAAGCCTCGATGAGATGACCTCAAGTATGTTCAACTTACTGCCTTGGAAGCTCGGTGGAGGAACCATCCGAGGCGGGGGAGGTGGCATCGGTGTCATGAAACCAGGAGGAGGTGGAGGTGGGGGTGGAGGAGCGGCGCTCGGGTTTCCATCCGAATCTGGAAACGATGTGTTAAAAGACTGAATAAGAATGCATGCTTATATCGCCGCGGATGGCGAGCGATTCCCTACGATCTGAGCGACGAGTGAGGAAGGTCAAATACAGACCCACGAATATGAAATATCTTGGGAAACCTATGATAACGGTTAGATCAGGTAGAGAGGTATCTGGAATCTCTCCGAATCTACGCATATGATTCCAATTCGCTCAATTATTTTGTGACGAGGGGGAATACGCTTTCAGATATGCTTACCGACTGGGGGAGCGTCTGCGAACAATTGATGAGGTCGATCGCCGATACTGAGCGGGTTCTGCGCCGCCAGGAGTCGTTCCGCCGCGGATCCATGCCTCTCGCCTTTCGAATCTTTCTTGAAGGCGTATGAAATGCTGATCGCTCTGTTACACAGGTACTGTCCGTTCATCGCGTCTATGGCGGCGTCAGAAGCTTCGAAAGAAGCAAAATTGACGAATGCGAAACCTTTGGAATTCCCGGTTTCCGGGTCTCTCATGATCTGAAAGCGGAGAAAATATCTTTAGCTGACGCCGTGCCTCGGTGGATGAGGAGGGATAGTGATGATCTAGTACCAGATATACGGGACTGGCGAATTACTCACCTTCGGTGTCTGCAAGATCACACCGAAAGCGCTGAATGTGTCGTAGAGCAGTTTTTCGTCTACTTCTGGATCGAGGTTCCCGATGAAGATATTCGCGCCAACATCGAGGTTCTTTTGGTGCGCAGATGCTTTGTTTACACGGACAGGTTTGCCGTAGAGTTTGATCATGTTCATGACTTTGATCGCGTAGTCGGCATCCTCTTCACCGAGAAATTCAACGAAGCCGTAACCTTGATGCAATCCAGTAATCCGATCCTTCGGCATGTGGACGGATACTGCAATGGAATTATGGGGTCCGTGAGAATCAGCTCCGGTCGCACGGGCACTTCGACATCGCAGCGGGAGGTCATATCGAGCTTCTGGATATCGCGGAGACTCCAAGACGATCCCCGGATCAAGTGTTCGGAATTGTGATCTCGGTTTGTAGAAGTGGATAGTGGATAAGCTTCAGTTAACTCACCGATCGGTCCGGCTTGTACGAAAAGCTCCCATAGCAGGTTGTCGCTGACTTTCTCGTCGAGGCCACCCACGTAGATGGTGGCATCTGGAAATAGTCATGCGATAAGACAATGGAACTATCGCCTGAAAGTTCCGAGAAACTTCCTGGAAAACGTTCGATGATCGCGAGGCGTTCGAAGTTCGAAAGAGCCGGCTTATTATGTCAACAAAACGAAATCGTAGCTCTGGGGAGCGGGAACCGTCGCCGAGTTCTCTCCAAGCGTTTCTGGGGGCAATCGTGAACCTGATCTCCCAACGCAGACGGGGTGTGAATATGATGAAAGCTTGAATTGCAATAGTTACCCTGATTTCGCTCAGCTATGGGTCCCGCAGCCATGGTATTGCCGGCCACAAGGTAGGATTCAAGATGGCGGCTGACGAGTTTGTCTCGGAGAAGAGAGCAGGCGGCACTTTCGGGCGGGTGATTTGAAACTCCCATTAGAAAACCCCGAACTGCTCACAAAAGCAAGTAGACAGGAGCTGGGAGCGTGATAGGCTGCAGCTCCCCTAATACCATCATCATTCACCATTGGGCAGTGGTGAGTACCTGGAGTACTGAAGAAATTCCATTCGACAAAGCCGACCGATCCTGGAAGGGAAGGAGTCGTGGCGACTCGGGCTATTCCTGTCCTGAGTCACAAAGGAGCCTTGCGCCGTCCACGATTCGTCGGCCCCGTGGAACGGTCCTGAGTCCTGACTCCCAATGCAGACGGCTGGAAGTCCCGCAGATCCTCTGCGCGGAGCATCGATCCCAGGTTCTAACCCGTTGAATGGAGTGACTACAGCGATCCGGGGTGTGAAGCTTTGTTGAGCCCACACCCTAGGGGAATACAGTGACAATCCCGCTCGTTGATAAACATCTCTCGAGAAGGAACTCTCCGGAGCTTTCGTCGAAGAAAAGATCTAGCGAATCTTCTGAGGCTGATAGTCTCGGAATTTTTCGTGGAGTCACTGGGAGCGCATCTGTTTCGTTGCGCCCGCAGGCTATTAAGCAGCAGGATTGCTGGAGAACCACCGAGCTCTCGACGGGGCTCTCACGAGGATTCGTGTCGAGACGGGAGGAGGGAAGAAGATAAAATGCAAAATCAAAAAGGCTCCATTCAGCTTCTCGATCACGGAGGAACTTCATCTATCATCACCGTGATTCTCTGGCTCGTTTTGCTCTCAGACAGAACCGATTTGAACCTGCGGCAATGCCCCTCCCCCACAACTTCACGCCGTGGAACACCTCACTCAGTTGTTCCCGCGTGCTATGAGTCAGAGTCGCCGTGATCGGGGCGGTCATGACAGACCGTAAGAAACTTTATTAGGTAGCAGCAAGCCATATCCAGTCCCCCTGAAAGTTCTTCCCTAATTTTGCGTCTTCTAGGTTTGTTTGAGTTGTGAGCACAGGTCGGCGCGTTCTCGGTCGCTGAATTTCATCCCGTGAAGGGGACGCAGATGCCGAGAACTCGATATCTCTGACGGACGGCTCTGCATTTATATTTGAGCTCTCATTCTCTGCTTGTACACGCAACAAGCTGCGGTCCGGAGAAGAATCTCATCCGAGATTGAAACTGCATCCGTCAGCACCACGGTTCATTTCGAGCATCAGGCTATGCCAACTCGATATGTGCCTCGGAATCCAGATTTAAACGTCTGCTTGAAAGTTTCTATTATGTATTTCTACTCCGAACTACTCTCTAGTTCGATATCCGCTTCGTCCGTATTCTAGGATTCGTGGCCAGCAACGACTCGAAAATAGATTGCGGCTTGTATTTCTAGAGCTAATTGTTGTACAATAGTTCCTCGATATCTCGCAATGTCTCTGTATCAGCACTCGGTAGGTATCGCGAAATGAGGAACTGTTCACCACAGAATGGGAATAATGGACGTTGACCGACTCGGACCGGAACGTGTAGCTGCGTGGATGCCCGGGAGTGAACACCAATAGTGATGGTCGATTCGATCATCTACGAGAAAAATACAAGAAATTCGTGGAATAACTTGCTGGGGTACGGGCTTGAGAGTCGGAGCTAAGGATGTTTTGGGGCTTCGATCCGCGCTTTGAAAGAGTTAGTTTCATCGAAGACGAGTTTTTTGAGGATTTCTTTTGGAAATTCATCGAGCTCCATCTCGACTCTGAATGGTTCTTCAGCAACGGGTTCATCGTCCGGATCGTAGTACTGCTCCAAATACGGGTGAGCTAAGGCGGCCTCGACCGTGATCCTATAAACCATGAAAAACATAATCTATAGATGCTTTTGTTGACGCTCCTCCGAGTACCTCCTCTCAGAGCGTCGATCACGCTCGTGCTCATAAGGATCCCTCGTCGACGAGACTCTTGAGATTTACCTTTTGCGGGGATTGAAGGTGAGGAGCCGGTCTAGTAGATCGAGAGCGTTGGGGTCGGCTTCAGGATAGAGCCTAGAATTAAAAAAATCAGGCACGCGACTTGAGAGGTTGGCCTGCGGCGATTCCGGGAAAGATGGCTCGTTCTACCATTAAGGGCGCTTGGATGATCTATCGATCTGTATTAGGGGCCGGAGGCTTCGCGAGGGTAAAAATGGAGCTTCGGAAGAGAAAATGAACCCACTTGTCCCAAGAAACCTTCGGCTTCGGTGGAAGGCTTTGGAGATAGGAACGAGCCTTATCGCTGAGAATGCATTTGAGATCGTCTTCGCTTGGTGAGCCGAGTACGTTGAGTATACGGTTCAGCTCGTCGAGGTAATCTTTCCCGGGAAAAATCGGCCGATTGGATAACATCTCGGCGAGTATGCAACCCACACTCCAGATATCGATCGATTTGGTATACCTGCGGGGGAAGGAAACGGTCTTCCTCAGAGCTCATATCCCTCGGGGAGCCGTCAGATCGGTAGAACATTCAGAGAAACGACCGACTCACCCCTTCGAGTCGACCATGATTTCAGGAGCACGATACCAACGTGTCGCCACATACTCCGTCAGAAAGCCCTGGTGGTCGTGGTCGGGGTCCGCGACGCGAGCCAGGCCGAAATCACAAATTTTCAGATCACAAGTTGTATTCAGCAGTAGGTTGCTAGGCTTTAGGTCGCGGTGGAGAACATTGGCCGAGTGGATGTACTTCAGTCCGCGCAGAATTTGATACAAGAAATAGCACACGTGATCGTTGGAGAGTTTTTGAGATCTCAACAGCTTATAGAGGTCCGTCTCCATCAGACACTGTGAAATATTACAATGAGCGCTCATTATTTACGATGCGACGCTGTCCATTAATCACATGAACGCTTGAGATGCGCACTCTCTCTCGAAGAGCGGAGTCCTAGCGGACCATCCCGGTTCAAACTCGGGGAAGGTATATCCGACTCGTAACGCCGCGGACAAGGTGATATCTCGGGGACGGATTTCGTTCAGTGTAAGGGGACGTCCAAACTGACCACCATTCGATAACGAGCGAGTGCAGAAGGGGGGCGGGAAGCGCACCAGCGGTTGGAGGGAGATCATTCGATGATTCCCCTCCATCCCCTCGGTCCAATCGCATCGAAAATACGTTTCCTAGCTACTACTGTAGCCTGCGGTGCAAAATGGGACATGTCATCCTTGCTCAGGACTCAGGAAGCCGGAGCACGAGCCGACGGAGCGGAACACTCCGCCCTCGGAATTGACGACATCGCAAACATGGTTTCGGGACACCACATCAAGAATATGAGCGCGGAAGCCTGACTTGGAGCATATTCAGATTCTTCGAAACCCTCACGAGCGAAGGAAGGAGCTCATGTCGGAGGAACAGGAGACTTTCCGCTGAATTTCTTCTCCTGACGTCCGCCGACGATGCCCGAGATCGAGCCGTAACAGGAATGAACAGAGTCTCATCGATAAAATAGCAATGACTCACTTGGACTATGTAAACGTCTTTCATTTGATCAACGGACGGGGCTCGGATTATGTCCCGGATATCGATGATGTTCTCGTGTCGGAAACGAGTGAGGATCTTGATCTCTCTCAAGGTACGCTGGCAGTAGGTTTTATGCTCGAATGGTGAAATTTTCTTGATCGCAACCTTCTCGTTCGATTCCGTGTCTCTCGCGGAACTGCAAGAGAAATTCGTGTGACGGCGAGATTCAGAGGTCAAAAGCGGACGCTCGTCCTCATTTCGGATGCGAACAGCTTGATCTCTCAGCGAGTGAGGCTCTCGAGAATTCCTCGCAAATGTGAGCTACTCGTACGAAAATAGCTACGAGCGTTCCGACTCATTTTCTGACGTGCTCTGTGGTCCGCGGTAGATCACCGAGAGCGAGGGTGCTTTTCGGGGCCCGGTGTTTCAGAAGCAGAAAAAATGGTTACTGCCTCCGATATCGCCGCACGCCGGAAACGCCGGCCGCGGCTCGACCAGGATTCCCCGATGTTATCGGTGATTCCACGAGAATCGCGGAAACGACTCGGTAGTTTTCTGTTGGAGCGTACTTTGGCGAGTCTCTCGCACGCAAAAACTTTCCGCTGCGCCTACTCCTCGCCCTCGCCGAGAGGTTTCCCTCATTTCAAGAACTAATCCATTGTACCGTCGCGGCGCGGCTCCGCATAAATAGCAATTATCGTCTGCGAACACAATCGCGCGAGCGAGAAATTTATTCCCCTCCATTCCCTGCTGAATACACGGGAACTCGCGATAATTTCCACAGGAACTCGTACCGCGGGCCAGACGTGTTCCGCATCGAAGTTCCCTGGAATGCGACAGAAACGACAGAAAACTGAACAAATGATTTACCCTCCAACTTACACGACCATTCCATAGGCGCCCTCGCCGATGTACGCGAGATCCTTGTACCGAGGTCCGACTTCGAAGTTCTGACCACGGATGATCTCGACGTCTCCCATCTTGATCGTTAATCGAAACGTGATTTTTCCGGTTGGAACTATCGAGAAGAGAAGAAATAGTTCCTCAACTATGCACCGTGCTTGATCCGAGCGTGAAAGTCGTGCATGTATTCGTTCCGGAGTACTCTGCAGATCGAAACTTTGTGCACGGATGATTATCCTCGTTTCGCGATTCTCAGACTTGCATCTGGCGTCCTCTCCTCTGAATAAGTTTCTAGATGATTGTCGGAAGGCGGTTGCACGAGAATGCGGACGACGGGAGCGCTCCTCAGAGCGAGGAGCGAATCACAGCTGTCTACTCGCTGGCTTGCAGCTGCATCAGTGAAGCGGCGGACTCGTCTCGCGGACCATTCCGCAGATGTTCACTGCGGTACGCCTGAGAATTCGAGAAGACACCCGCGACAGACGCGTTTCGCTCCTCAGCTCGTACGTGCACAGAGACGGCGCGTTCCTTTCCGCTTCCGTATCCTCTCTCGCTCAGGATTCCACTTTGCACGCGTGTCCTTCTGAAACCTGTTGACTCGATGTGCTCCAGAGAGTCCACCGTGCTTTCGCGCTCTGCTTGTGCTTTTTGGTGCGGACGAGCGAGCCTCAGCTTAAACGGCTCGATTGAGCCCGAAGGGACCCTTTCCTTCTGCGAGTGCGCGGATGGCGTGCGGATCTTACCAGGAGGAGGAAAGGCCGCCGAGGAGTGCGCGAGGAAAGGGCTCCCATCGTCAGCACGCACTCATGCCAAGGTATAGAGGTTGGGAGATGGAATGCCCGAGTGCCGACTCGCCGCGATTTGGCGCGGTGGGACCTGGCCCGGAGGTCTGCTCTCCTTCGCCGAGATCCGGCTCATGATGGATGATGGTCAGAGTCGCGATTGCAAGAATAGACTCCGTCGATCCTAAAGAACTAGGTGATCATGGATTTCGGGCTGCCGATCTCGGAGTCGAAGCCATGGAATATTTCAGAGTTCTAGAGGGAGAATTTGCATGATCCTTTGGGCATCTGCTATCGGAATTTCCGTCAAATATTTTCGGCTTCGTGCCCGGTTTCGGCGAGGAAAATGTGCGGTCGGGTCGCGTCTCTTCCATCATCATCATCAATGATTATAAATTGAGAACCACGAGGGAAGTCTCCAGAGGCGGGGATATTTGACGCAAACGACTTGATGGAGCCACTCATAAAGGCACGATATGATGGATGATTGAATGATAACTTCGAGTGAATTAGGTATGTCCGGAGAGGGCGTTCTAAACGAGGAACTCAAGAATCTCTTACAAGTCATGCCGCCAGAGGTCTCTCCCCAGGGTCAAACTCCATCCTTAGTAACTCCCCCAAAATCAGAAAAGGGCCCGCTCCTGACCTCCTGACGCTCCGGAGATGATGATCCGACCTCACATCCTCGAACTGAAGGGCATGCCCCGATGGCCAACCTGTTTTTGTTGAGCAACCTCCATTTCCGTGACGAGTTCCTCGCTCATCGAGAATGATACCAAGGGCCGGACTTCCGCTGCGCTCGCAACCGGATCTGTGAACGGGAACTTCATATCGGGGCGGTCCTCACGAAGGAGCCTATGGGAGCTGAGAATAAGTGGGTTTCCGAGCATTACCCCGTCACAAAATCCCGCTCGTCGATGGCATGTGAGAGCCCATTGGACATGCCTCAGAGCCCGGAGCGGAATGGATGGCCCAGGGTGGAATGTGAGAGGGACGAGAAGCCTCCGAGGACACTAAAAATCAATTGCTTGAGGGCTACAGGTCACGCTCGCCCCGTTTCCCCACCCCGGATTGCGCCAGATTGGTCCGCAAGGTACGTGTCAGCTCTTGCAATTATTCCCCCTGATCAGAGATTGGCTGGGGCTGGTGGAGCATGCGAACATCTTGCTTAGGCCTCAGCTTGTACCCGTGGTCCGACTCAAGAGAAACCGTCAGGTCAAACCACGACTCTCCGACAATGACTGTGCATATTGTCCGATTCTCCGTCGCATTACGCCGGGCACGTCCATTGACCGAGCAATAAAGCTACAGCGAGCTGAGACCGCGGATGCGGATCGTGCCCCCCGCCGCGTTCATCCAAGACCGTTTCTCCGCTCTGCAAGCACCCTCGGGCCGCCCAATCTCTGAGCCCACCCTTCGACCGATCCCTCGCTGTCTTGATCCCCCTTCTTCCAAACACTCCACCAGCTGAGTGTTCTCACCAAGAACTAAAGCACGCGCTCTCCGCAATCCGTGCGTGGAGGATCTAATATTCAGCATCAGGTATCCGCATGAAGAGAGAGCCTCGGTTTCCTCGAAACCGCAGACGTCTTTAACGCGGTGACCTTGTTGCTCGAGACCGCATTACTTTCGCTTTGCGAATCGTGACTGAGCACGATACGCCTAGACCGATTGAATTCCACGGCCGTCGGATTGGTTATTGGCAACAATCATTTTTGAGAATTATTTCCTCGTAGACTTTAAATGTGGTTGGAGGAGCCGCTCGATCAAAGAGAATAGTTCGATCGTCAGATAAGCTTTCGGAGAAGTGGGGCACTGAAGGAAGAACGGTCGGTCTTTCATGCTGAAGGAGGTGGAATGCGTCTCCGTGGAGTTCGTTCAATTCCTTCACTCTCCTCGAGCATACTCGAGCGCGAAATTTTCCGCTTCGGTGTGATCAGGATGAAAATCAGGCGAGGTATCCTGCGAGAATTTCCGCGAGAATATCGACTCTTGCTCCTTCGGCGATTCGGAAAAGCTAGGAAGGCGAGACACAGGACGATGATCCCATATCCTTTTTTTCCCGGCAGTGACCGAACGAGGTCATCATACGCATGTCCTACCGCGGAGAAAGGTTACGAAGGAAGTGATGCGGAGGACATATCCTCGGCTGTTCGGAGCTGGCCATCCGGTATGACCGGGACCGCTGGGGCCTCTGGCGCTCTCCGGGCCGTCGGGTCCCAAGTGACTCTTCCGAACACTTCCGGTTTTCTGAGGAGACGCTCGCTGATTGCGAGAGTGGTTCTGATGAAGCAAGCGAGTTCGAAGAACTTATATTCTTATCCCTCCTTGGTCCGGTAGGAAGTCCGATCTCGGAATGCGCATCTCGATTGATCGAGAATCGGGCTGTGATTCACAGCCTCCCCGCAGAAGTTCCTCCCCGTTCTGAGGTGTACCGTCAGCACCCATCGGTGCCAAGGTGTGGCCGCTCAGCCCCTCAAGCCGAGCGTGCGCTTCCCGATGAATTTGTCCAGGCTTCAACAGTCCAAAACGGAATAACTGATCAAAAGATCCAGTCAATTATTGGAAAGCTCACGTTCCGATCAGAAGATGCTGCTCAAATCAATATTTTATTTCTGCTAGAGGTATCGATGCCTGTGTTTCGGCACGAAGTCAACAAGACGACAAGATACAGCATAAAGGCTCAAAATCTTCCCTCAATCAACCTCTCGTAAATCGTCGTATAACGACAGGGAAACACGATGAACATGCGTAAGCACTTTGTAATGATGAGACATTATCTAAGCTTGTGCGGAAATCGTCATACATAGTCAGTCATCATATGTATCAAGCTCACCCACGGGATCACTTCGGCAGTCGAGAAGCACCGCCTGTCCAAACATAGACTTCGACGTTCGCTCAATCCATATCCGGAACATGCCCCAAGCGCGCCGGTGGGAGAGCGAACCACAATTCATCGGGGTCGCGGGGGAACAGCCCGCTCCCCACGACACCGTCGAAATACTTCATTCGCCATTCAGCCACTTTCCGGGAATTCATTCGGGTGCGACCGAAATTGGTCAAGTATTTCTCACAGTAAGAATGCATGTACTTCTCCAGAACTGTCGTGTCGTAGTGGATGTTGTAATAACCGGGCAGTAGAATGAAACTCTTCGCTCCATTGGGAACTTCGAAGTTGATCAAGTGCTCCGTACGACAGGCTTTCTCATTGAGACGGAATATATGCAGGCGGCCTTCGTGGGCCCAGAGAAAATGAAGTTGTTCTCGGATGAAGTACATTTCGATATTGAACGCAACAAGTTCGTTGCAACATGAGTTCCGCAGTCTGTTCAGGTCGACGGGGTAATCCGCAATCCACTTCTGCTCGCTCAAGCTGTACACCCTTATTTTATCGAAATGCGAGAACGGCTGACTGAAATCGTGAAGTTGTGGGGGACATTCACTGTAGTCGAAAACATAGAGCTTGTCCTTCTGTCGTGCCATCTGAATATATTTGGGCGTGCAATCATCAGGTGCGGGTAATAGCCGCAAGGTGTCCCCCCTGGCCGTGTAAACCGCTATTACAGAATCGATCGTCAGCACGCAGATGAAATCCGACGAGTAGATCATACGGCGCGCCCTTAGCATGGCGACGGAGCTCGCGAGAGGCATACGGAGAGTTATCAAATTGTCATTGGCATCGAACCTACATCGCAAGACTTCGCATCGGTGCGAATCCTGGTTTGATCGCTGGCTCAGGAAAAATACCTCCCCCAAGTAGTCGACCCCGATTACGCTTTGCGATTCGAGAACATCCCTGGGACCCTCAAAGACAGTCGCGACGGTCTTGACCTCCACCCCCGACTCCTTCACGGTGATCTTCTTTGCTGACAACGGGGGAGCTGTGCTGGAGAAGACATGATTAGCGTAAGCGACGTAGAAACCGGTGGGCTCCTTTATCTTGAGATCGTGCCGACTCTGATTGTTCCGATCACTCAGAGTTCGAACTCCTCCGTCAGCGTTCAGCGTCAAAGTTCTGATCGTCGCTACCATTTTGCCATCCGAGACGTGCGAAGATGCCTGGCTGTCACTCTGGAAATCGGTTCAAAGCATTAGGAGCGCATACGGACACCGCTTTCATTTGAAATGGAAAGATGGCATACATATTATATGATCCTCGACTGGACGGTCGCAACAGAGGCCCCGAAGGGAACAGCCGGGAACTTGGAAAACTCGGCTGACACAGATCTATCGAGGCCCCCTTTGACGCATACCGTTTTTTCCAGGAGCCAGAACATTGTTATGTTGGCCTCGTTCCCGGCTCTGCCACGCAGTTGCTCTTCGTCGATCTCGTCAATGAAGTCAATGTGGTCGGCGATCATTGAGAAGTGCTTTGTGTCCTTGAAGAAAGGAACGAAAAACGCAGCCTTGTCGAAAGCTCGTAATGTCAGACGAGGTTTTCGAATTGTATTCAGCAAGACGAGTCTCCGTTGGGTGTCGAGCTTCCAATGATTGCAGTAGTCCTGGACGAAACCTAGAACCTGGTCTTCGCATCTCGACTTCAGCTCATCTCGTCGGAGCTGCGCGGCGACCACGTCGAAAGTCAGGTCGAGCATGCGTTCGCTGATAAGGTGTTCGTCGATGAGCTGTTGACAGGTATCGGCCATCGGCGGGTAGATCCGACTCAGGAAGACCTCACTGATGTCTTTTTGATCGAGGTTTAGGAAGTCGGTCTCGAGGTAATTGCTCACAGCTTCTGTCAGCCACTGGCACTGGAAGCGGACTCCGAGCTGCACCAGCGAGAGAAAAGAATCCGAACCGACGATAACCTTGCCGGTACAGATGCAATTCAGGAACCTTTCCAGTGAAGTCGAATCGATGTCGGTGAACTCCACTGTGTTTTTCTGCTGCTCTGTCATTCCGGAGCCACACAGAGCGGCGAAGTAGTCACTCTGCGACACCAGAGCACTGGAATTCACCCGGAACTTGACCTTATCTGAGGATACGAGGGTCCAGTCATGGTGGCCCGGACGCTCCGCGACGAACGTGTGGAGCTCGGCGCCATTCGGGTTCTCGTATTCTCTACAGGGTTTCCCGATCGAAACCGTCGACATCTTACGCACTCAATCGTCCGAGTTCGCATCAGCGGCACTTTGAGACGTATTTGTGCGCGACGAAAAGAGAAACTTGCACTTGTTCCTCGCCGCTGCCAAATACGTCCCGCCTTTTCCCCAGCTGTGTCCAGGATTCGGTCTCTCCCGAAACGCACATGGAGAAGGATGATAGTAGTGATTTCTGTTTGTGTTCCTCGTCTCCCCAACTGGATTCTGGGAGAGGTTCAGATTATGCCCATGGAAGCGAGTCCCGAAGGTCCCTTCGCGAAGTCAGGCCCGGAAAAAGTATCGCCTCGGAGTCTCGCGCATGGGCTACGCGAACGATAAACGAATCGAAATGTCTCGATTTAGCTGCGAGGGACCGGGGAGTAGTAAACGTTTTCCTCCGACCTCGAGCGAACGGTCCTCTCCCCGAAGAGAACAGATCTGAATACTTCCTAATACATCCGGCGGCACCGTTTGTGTCCGAGTGCAATCGCTCCATCCAGAGTACCTCGATTCCGTGCGGATGTGGAAATATATGACCATATAGAAAATGGTTATACGGCGTATTCATCTCCCAGATCTCCATACCGGCATGAAATCGATCAGTGCTCCCCCGAAAAACGCTGCGTGCCCTGGAATAAAAAAATCCCGGAAATCGGAAATCTCTCGAATTCGTTTTTCTGACCTGGGGAAAACACCGCCAATCGAACAAATATTGTGGCTCTTGCATCCCATTATCCCGAGCGCTATTGCTACCATCATAGAGGAAGTGCGGCGGACGCACATATTGAATGGAATCGGAGCGCGTTCATCCCCTATGCCATCGAGTTGATAGCAGTCTTCAGGTTCGAGTGATCGACTTTGATCAGTGATCAGATTAAATCTGATCTTGGAATCGCGATACCTGGCCCGTCAAGATGGATGTCCGGTATGAGCGTTCCACATAGTGGCTGTTTTGATGCGCGCAGGGGACATGAGAATCGCAGCGGGGATGGTTCGGACTTTCGAAAAACACTGCAGCGGCACCTCTCAAAAAGATTCCAACAATTTACGGAATCTAAGGTATGAGATTACGATTGAACTGAACATCAGGACAAAAGGTTCAATATCCGTCTTCCGAGTAAATTTCGACAAAGAGCCGTCCGGGTCAATAGAAATCTCGAAATAAATCATATCTCGAGGCTTGATTGCAGCGCCGCTACCAGTTAGCTAGACGGAGTTCTGTGCTTTGGGCGACGACATGCAGTCAACTATACTTCTAAAGGCCCATGCGCTCGTTTTCCGATCCATTGGGTATCCTTTCTGCCTTGAATGGTGAATCGTGAATCGGGAACAGGCATTGGCCGCAATGCTGAGAATTTCTTTGACATGGTTGCTCATTACTCATCAACGCTATCAGGTCTTCAGCTCCAAGGGACTGGAAAAGTTCTCCATTTAGAGAATCCCAGCAGTCTTCGGCGCGCGAGGTTAGCGAACTTATTACAAGTTCGCTGTGTGAATGGCGTGGATTTACTCAGAGATTAGTCTACAACGAAAGTTTCGGGCTGGGATTGGCATACAACGTCCACGCTGCACCGCTCGAATAGAAACCAGAAGCTGTGAGCGGCTTTAACGACAAGGGCGGTTCTGAATGAGAATGCTTGGGAGCTTCGTTTCTTGCTTATATCACGCTCGGAGTTCTCAGGATGAGCGTATCAAACGTTGATGACGATTTCCCTGAGTACATCGGAGCGGAATCGTTGAGGCCCTGATCATCGACCGGGCCTACCGAACCGGCAGCGAGAACTCCACCGCCCTGCATGGTGGGCGATTGAATTTGTCTAATAATTCACTCATATGGCGAGATTTCCGGAATCCGCTATCAGCTAGTCCGACTCCCGACAACCCCGTGATTTCTCACCCTGTTCCCCCCCCCGAAATCCGGGAATCATGTTTTTAGAATATTCATCTTCTCTGCCGCGGATCCTCTCATTGTCAGAGCATGGAAATTTCTCCTCTCAGATGGTTTCTTGATCCGTCAATGAGATGGGTTCCCTGACTTCCCCGAGATGTTCTCGCTCGCGCCCGATCGATGGCCGTATCCCAGGGATTTGTCGCACAGTTCATTCTCCGAGACCGCAAGGTTATCCTCCGACACACGCGGTGAATCCATTCGAGAAATCAGTCACAGATATCCGTGGGGATTCCCACCGAGGAGTATCTCGTAATTTTCCTTAAAAAATCACGGAGACGATGCTTGACTCTCTCGATCGCCCCTCTAATTACGCTGGGGAAGGATATCACTAATGATTGACCGTCAGAATCCGAAATTCCCGTAGATCTGGGAGCTCGCCGGATGAGACCTTGGCTCGAGCTCAAGCCTTTGGCTCCGAAACGCCGTGAATTCTGACCGGTGCCCCGAGGGGTCATTATTATGAGGCATCGAGGAAATACCGTCTAACTGCGTTGACATTTCTCGAACTGGAGATGCACCGCTATCGGGGCACATGGGGTGGACTTCCCTGCGGAAGCGAACCGTGTCGCCGTATGTCACGGAGCGAAAATGGGCAAATGCGGAGCGATCCGAGCAACGAGGGCGAGGTACATACATTGTGAGATGTGATGCGTGAAACCCCTATTCATAACATCCCCCTCGGATCTACCAGCGCGTCAGTTTCTCTCTTCGATCCGTTCTTGTGAGTGAGTGAGAAACTCCCATCGAGAATGTCGTCCTTCTGAAGGCGAAACTGGTTATCGCACCTGTGACGCGCCTTCCAACCATCGCGCAGGGGCATCGTCCTCCGACACCGTCGTCGGCGCGGCCGAAGCGGAATAATCGCAGTCGCTTCGAACCGCGCCAAATTTTTGAAAACTCAGACCCTCTGCTAAGGAGACAGCAACATAATCTTCAGTGGAGACAACCGGCACGATAGGCGACCGAGCCGGAGTCGTCGCGAGGCTCTCCGTCCGTTCGAATTCGATTTCTTGTTCCGCCACCGGAGATTCCGGATGACACCCATCCCTGGGTCGATCCTGATTTCTGAGGATTCGGGAAAGCGACTCTCGAGGAGCCTCATCGCTCATTTCGTAGACGGCCCGAGTTGTCCGCATTGAGCGAGGTCTGCTATGTGACGCGGCTCCGTGTTCGTACGCGATTGGCTGAATGTGGACCAATCAGCTCCTTCCATGTCGATCCCCTGAAGCCGACAGCGCTGTCACAGAGTCAGCAGCAGACCGACACGGAGGGACACAGGCTGTGTGGTTAACCATCCCGTAGGACTTGTCCCCTGTTACGAAGTATGAAGTACTTCATCTTCGCCGCCCTCGTGGCGTTAGCGCTCGCCGACCCTTCGGTCTATTTCAAGGAAGAGTTTCTAGATGGAGGTAAGGAGAACTTTCTCATTAATTCGGGAAACTGTGGATGCGTGCTCCCTCCGCCTCCTTCGGCGATGCCGGCCCCACGCGCTGCTCGTTTAGGAAACTTTCTACGCTCAGTTCGTGGGGAAGCCCCGAAGTCTCCGCGTCGATGATTGCGTGCTGATAACGCTCGTAGTTTCGGATGGGTTTGAAGTCAACTCGAGCTCCGGAACAAATCGATTCCAAAACTCTTGGGCAGGCTTCGCACTCTCGAGACCGCTACCGTGGGCGTATGTTGTCACTGAAGCACACATGAATCAAGTCAGCTGTCTGGCTTCAATTCAATCTCGTTTTGTCGAGACATGAGCCCCATGAAGTTTCCCCAACATTGAATACGAGTTTCGTGACTGCGCAGATTGCGGGGGGAACCGCATCGTGTTCATGCGGTGGTCGAACATTCGCGAATCGTTGTCGACGTGGCGTCATGGACGCCCCCAACGAGAGTTTTGAGATTGATTCTTGACTGTATGCTCAGATGAACGGCATGCGAATGGTCAAGAACGCTCCTCAAGCCGACTTGGTCGTTCAATTTGAAAGCGCTGCTCTCACCAGCCTGAACATGGCGATGTTATTATCAACATTTCTAGTCCCTTGCTCGCTCGTCCGCACGTTCGTTCGCTTGCTTGCTGCGAGGACAATGACCTTTTTTGGCCTCCTGTTTTCATGAACTCTGATGGGACATGGCATGCCGTACGTGTGAATGATCGTGCTGTATAGTTTTCAAAACGATATCATTCTCGCGTGGGGGAAAACCAATTAGAAAAACTCCTGCTTGAGGGATTTGAGTAAAGAGCAGGCTTCGAGGGAACTCGACCGACTGCCGATCGATACGGATCGTCAACTCGGTGGTTCGGGGAGAAAGCAGTGCGCGGAAACCAGCACCGCAGTCAGGCGAAAGTCCCTGGTCAGACTTCTGCTGTCAAGTGAAATTATTGCGGTCGTTTTGAAGCGCGGTTAATCGAGAGACTGTCAAGCGCACGTTTGCTCCAGTCTAAACACGCCATCAGTGTCCCTCTGGAGCTCCCGCTCTCTGGAGAGGAAGTGGCAAGATCTCGAGCTAGCCGCGAAACATTCCCTAGAGGCCTATCTATCGATGCTTTATATGCTTGGCGATGAGCCTCCGGGTTTTTTGGGGGAATACCTCGGATCGGAGAATCGGGGCGTCATCCGCGAGCCGCGACTCACATCTGGAGGATCAGTCCAACGCTAACGTTCTCTCCTTGGCTCTCTTCTCTTCCGAAAATTTTGCGGCTTAAGCTGATCGCAGGTTTCCTTTCCAGCTGGCTGGGAGGACCGCTGGGTGCAGTCCACCTTCAAAGGCGACCTACAGGGAAAATTCGTCTTGAATGCTGGTAAATGGTACGGCGATGCGGAGAAGGACAAGGGACTACAAACGTCCGAGGACGCCAGGTTCTACGGGGCCTCGGCCAAGTTTGAAGCCTTCAGCAATAAGGACAAGCCTCTGGTCATTCAATTCACCGTCAAACACGAGCAGAACATCGACTGCGGCGGCGGTTACGTGAAGCTCTTCAACTGTGACCTCGACCAGGAGCAGATGCACGGCGATTCTCCTTACGCGATCATGTTCGGTCCCGACATCTGCGGACCTGGAACCAAGAAAGTACACGTCATCTTCAACTACAAGGGCAAGAACTTCCTGATCAACAAGGACATCCGATGCAAAGACGACGTCTTCACCCATCTGTACACGCTCATCGTGAATCCCGATCAGACGTACGAGGTTCGCATCGATAACGAGAAGGTCGAATCCGGCGAACTCGAGAAGGATTGGGATTTCCTCCCGCCGAAGACCATCAAGGACCCCGAAGCCAAGAAGCCCGCCGACTGGGACGATCAGGAGAAAATCGACGATCCCGAGGACACGAAACCCGACGGCTGGGACCAGCCCGAGTACATCCCCGATCCCGATGCGAAGAAACCCGAAGATTGGGACGACGAGATGGACGGTGAATGGGAACCCCCTCAGATCAACAATCCCGAGCACAAGGGAGAATGGTCTCCAAAGAAGATCGATAACCCCAACTACCAGGGAGTCTGGATTCATCCCGAGATCGAAAACCCTGAGTATCAACCCGATGATGAGATCTATCTCCAGAAAGAGATCTGCCACGTTGGTTTCGATTTGTGGCAAGTGAAGTCTGGATCCATCTTCGATAACATTCTCATTACCGACGATGCCGACTACGCTCGGGAGTACGGAGACGAAACCTGGGGCGTAACTAAAGACGCCGAGAAGCAGGCCAAGGACGCCTTCGACAGTGCCGAGAAGGCAAAGGAGGAGGAAGCCACCAAGAAGGAGAAGGAGGAGACAGAGAAGGACAACCAAGACGTCGATGATGACGACGACGCCGACGACAAGGAGCACGATGAATTGTAAAGAGTATCCTTCGAAGTCAAATTTTTGAAGGGCTTTTCAGAACAACATTGATGAACACTTACACATACACACACACACCCTCCGCGAACAGGGACGAACAGAAACATTCACACACATGTGAGAGAAGTCGTACAGGAGAATTGACTAGTTTCTTCGCGTACAAGAACATATTATTATTAAATTAATTAAAGTCAACAGCCCCCGGTTATTTTATGGGAATCGCGAAGCAAGAAGAGGATCAAGAATCGTCGCCGCATCGAAACGGGGCTGCTCGCGGAAATCTCTATAAATATAAATACGGTATATATATTGGACGAACAAAGCATGCAGAAAAACGGTGAAAATTCCAATCGGTTCTCCAGACTCAGCCCTTCCTCTGGGCTCGGTGAGAAAAGACCTTGCGACCTGCTCTCTTCGTAATGTCATAAATATTTCCAGTTGTAAATACATTTTAGGCAAATGAAAAACGAAACTACACTGCGAAACACGAGGAATCTGTTTTGGTAACATCTACGAGCGGAAGGAGTAAGAGCAATTTAAATAAACGGTGCTACCGTGTTTGGATGCGGAGTCTCATTACTCAGAATCTCTCAATTATCCTTCTCCTCCCTAAAAACTCTCGGGGAACTTCATCAGGTAGTGGATGACGGTTATCTCATAAATTACGATTTATCAAGGTCTTCAATATCGAGCGCGTCCCGAATGGCGGAACATTTGTTGATCCTGAGATTTACTCTCTATTCGATGCATTGAAGCAAAGCGGAATTCAGAACGCCAAACATATCCAGGTGGAAATCGATACTGATCGATGACTCGCTAGGTTCGCCGGACTCATTCGGAAGCTCGGCGCGACGTTCGAAACCGTTTTCGTCCGAGAGTCCAACCCGGTTCATGACTAGATTGATCAAGAGCCTGCCCGACAATGCGAGGATCCACGTGAGGCTCCGAACCCTTAAGTTTTCATGAGACCCCTATCGCAAATTTTGATTGTTGTCGCGGGATCAGGACCATATGATAACTGGATAAGTGGAGCGGAGTATACCGAGTGACAGACCGAACACGATCCCGTCCGATTCTGCCTCCGCTCAAATGGAATCAGAGTCGGAATGACGCTCCCGCAGCGGTGCCCATTCATTTTATCCTGCGACGCGCGTGAGATGAGCGGATCTCCCCCAATGAGCTCCATGACACCTTCCCGTCATGAGATTTGATGAATCGATGCTTCTCACGATGCCATCGGCAATCATTAGGAGGACGTTCCGCTCGGATCGGATCTCACTTGCACTCATTCGCCAGTGATTTGTCTCTATTTGAGCAGCTATATTCATCAAATCAACATTGATTGAGATCAGTCATTGGATCTCCACCAAGCCTACTCAGATGAGATCTTGAATCGCGCCTCGGGAAAGATGATAACTCAATTCCATGCGAGAGAACGCTGCCACTATCAGCCACATCGGTTCTTGGGGCTCATTAGGATGTTCGACCGATCGTCTTCTCCTCCGGAGTGACGGGTTTCAACATTCCAGCCTCAATAATAATTCATGGAAGTGGATAGCGCACTGACAGAGAACCTAAAATTTCAATCCCGTGATTCGTTCCGCGGGAATAACACCTGATTCAATTTCTCCATCTCCATGGTCATTCGGCACCACGCGTCTCTCCTTTCAACCTTGAGGTCATTAGCCTTGCCTCGGCCCCTGGAGTCGCTGGTCCACGGTGGATTCTGCCCGGAGCGGAAACACGAACCTCTACCTATTGTCGTCAGTTCCCCATAAAGTCATCGCTATTAGGTCCGAACACGGCCTCGCTAATCAGACGCAATGATCTTGAATCATGACGCTGGCGCAGACTGGACATCTCAGATTCGATCTTTCGTGAAAATCGAAATCAAGGTCTCTCTCCGAAAGTGATAAGGTCTGAGGTCTGCTATGGAATCATGCGAATCTTCTAGAGCGCCTGCATGTGGATCCATGAGTCAATACAGCCGCGAGCTTCTTGTGGCTCTTGACTGAGTGAGACTTTCGGCGCCGTTGCCTCGCATACCCTCGTGGTTCGAAACAAGAACTCAAGCTGGCCTTGGGTGTTAGCGAGTTTGTCCAGCTGGCGATAACATCGACGACTATGAGGAAACGAAGTCCATTAGATGGCTTCAGTCTTCGGGAAAGCTCCTGTGGAGAGTGCATAGTCTGGAGTGAGAAGCTGCTCGGAGGAAAGACCAGAAACTCAAAGGAGATAGTTTTCGGTGGCCGACCTCAGTCTGAATAATGTCTCCAGAGTGAAGACATCAGAGGGCGCGACGGAGTCTCCGAACGGAAGATGACAGCAGGAGGTGTTGCCTTCTCAGTTATTGTGACTTTGTTCCAATCGAGCAGTGAGTTGAGCCCGGAGGCTCGTGGTGCATTCTCGCATATCGCTGATCATTGAAAAACGAACCAAATCAGACCGCCCCCTTTTCCCTGTTCTTCTGACCACTCGATACCCTCCTCCTCAGTTTGTGCCAATTACAAGGGTCTCTTCTATGGAAGGGACTGGGGCTACGAGCAGAGTATCGCGCCGAGAGCCTGGCAGAGTAAGTTTCCTGCTTGCGCGGGTGCACGACAATCCCCGATCAACATTGATTTATCGCATGTTGTCGTGAACTCCTCTCTTGGACGGATACTTCTACACGGGTTTAAAGATAAACGTGTGTACAACGTCAAGAATATTGGATCGACAGTGCTCTTGTTGCCTATGATAGCCGACCCGCCGATCGGACTGGTGAACGGAGATGACAGGTATCGACACTAGCGAATATCGTTCGGCGACTACATTCGAGACTTTCAACTCCAAACTCCGTTCCGGAGAAGCCCTCCGCCTAAAATTCCGGTAAATCATATCGCCTCCCCGCAGATATCATTTGCACAGCGTTCATTTCCATTGGACCTCCGAGCATGCGATCAATGGGCAGTACTACTCACTTGAATGTCACATGTTGATGTTCAATGAAAAATACGCGGATCTTTACAAAGCCTTCGAGTACCCCGACGGTCTCGAGGTCGTTTCGACACTCTTTGCGGTAAGTCACCTCGGATGGAAGTCGGGGACTGTAGCTCCGCTCGACAGAGGTACCTTCCGTTCGCATACTTTCAGCTTCGAGTTCGACTGAACAATACGGAGAACACTTGTGTAGACTTCTTCCTCAACAGCTTTCGCCCTACTCGAACAATCCCAGGCTGGCAGTGCTCACCGACGCTGTTGCTCACATTCTGGAGCCTGAGTTCTCGATCAACGTCACAATGGCACTCGAGGATATATTGCCCAACCACATCTCGGCATATTTCCGCTACTACGGCTCATTGACGGTTCCCCCGTGTGACGAGGTCAGTGCAGGCGTGAGTTGCTGGAAAGCCCCTAAGAGTGATCGGGAATGACTCAGCCGACGCGACGGAGGTTCACTCAGATTTCGACTTCTCAGAATGAAGGAGCTTCACAAGCTCTATTCAGTCTCGTCGCTTCTTGTCGAGGGATTTTCTGTGAATATTTATATTTCGTCGACAGATCGTCACGTGGACCCTCTTCTATCCGCCCACTTTCATTGGTCCTAAGCAGCTGCGTCTTTTCCGCTATTTGCATCGATTGTCGCTTAACGATAAGCTTGATAGCTGGAAGAAACTCGATAACATTCGACCATTGCAGCCCTTGAATGACCGAGCAGTTCAGGTGGGGATAAGGTTTTCTTTCTCAAAGCTTGCCCTTGGACATCAGTGTGCCTTGGAATTAGGGGATGAAATTTTGCGGTATCAGGGAGGGATATCCTGGAGTTTCTCCAAGATGTAGTCCATCTCAGATATCATCTTTACCTCAGATGTACACTACGAGCAGCTACGCGCCGCTTTACGCCGCAGGCTGAAAGGAGATCCCTGTTGCTGCGTCGCGTCGTGAGTAGAGCACGGCCGCCCACAAGAGCCGGTCGGGCTCAGGTTTGTGCGCGAACGTGGAGGACATCGAGTATTGAGTATCGCGAACGGTCATGGCGTGAGTCGCTAAAAGTGCTGAGTAAATGGCCATGGGGTGTCGAGAATACCGGAAGCCATGCTTTATCCGGTGTAGAATAAGTATAATGATGTACTGCGTTGCATCATGATTCTCCAATGTCGGGAAGGCAATGCGACTCTTGAGAACCTCTCCACACACTCGGAACGAATCTGTAAATATCCGGGAAGCCTGCAAAACTCATTCTGTAAAATGATGATATCAGACCTGCGGTTATCATGTATAATCACAAAGTCATCTGATATAACCAAGAGATCTCAGTAAAAATCGTCCTCATCACAGGTTGACTAGTTCATACACTGCAGTCTAGAGAATTTTATTCGTGGAACGGAATCGATTTCTGAGAAGAGATTCCGAGTTTCGGAATCAGAGGGTTTCGATCTCAATGTTGAGCTCGATAGACCCTCAATCGGTCGAAAAAAAGGCGGAAATCACGGCTGATTGGATTCCGTAATACATGAAGTTCGCTGTACCCACACTTCATAATTCGATAATTGTGATGCTTACTCCGGGGACCAATCGAGCAGAAACTGACTTCATTCCTAGTTGGAGCTCAATCTGAGCTCCATGTTCCACCGAGAGTTCCCAGTCCAGATGAGACTTGCTCACAACATCCGATCAGCCAATCAGCCTCCTCACCCCTACTGGATGCGGGAGTCTCCGTGGGTGAGCGCGTCACTGCGTGGTCAGTTATGTATTTTATGTCAGCTCTCAGCCGAGGACTTCCGTGGGGGTCATTGCCCTCAGAATAGGGATTCGGCTCCTAGTTCTTGCTTTCTGATGAGGTATGCAATGCGCAGAACCTGCTCGTTCCCCACGATTGATTGAGGCACTCGTTTCACACTGCGCATGCGTCGCCGTAGCGTCAAAGAGGGAAAGACTACGTCGCGAGCAGCAAGGTTGAATCCATCCGATGGCTCGCGATGTGTCTCCAGTCGCCGCGTTCGAGAGTAGAATAACACATAGTTCAGGCACGATGTCAGGGGTGTTCAGCAAAATTAGCGCGATTTTCCGTAGGCGGCCGCTGCTTTCGAACGTGGCCGCCTACACGTCGATGATTTGCACGGCGGAGTTCACTCAACAGACTATCCTCAAACGATACGATCCAGAAAGAAAATACGACTTCTCCGTCGTAGCAAGGTGAGCTCTTCTGTCATTTACGGTGTCACCGGGATTCAATTCGGGCTGTCAGCTGCATTGCCGTATTAATCATCTGGCAATCTGCTCCGCGAAAGCGCGCAAGTTCTCCGCCTGGCCCACATTCCAACAGAACGAAGGATTATTGCATAGAATATCGCCTGCATTCGAGAAATCGAGTCGGATCCCGATTCTTACGTGGATTCGTTTGTCGACCTGAAGTTTCTTGGGAGCGACTCCCGAGGTCTCGGACACTTGATGCACGTATGCTTCCTTGACCCGACACTCGCGCTCGGGACCCCATCGGCGCGAGACGGCTCTTATTCTTACTCACCTATATTTTCTGCTTAATTGAACAAGAGGGGGTGGGCTCCTTGATGATAATCAGTGCATTGAGCAGCAGCCTCGATCATTATTGACATGCAAAAAAAAATCCAGATACGCGATCATCGGCACATGTATATATGGACCATCATTATTCTACTTCTACCGAGCCCTTGATAAAGCTTTGCCGGCGACTACAGTCGCCGTATCGCTCCAAAAAGCTCTAATCGACCAAGCTCTCTTGTCGTCCACAATGTTGGTCGCCTTCTACACAGGTAATAAACGATGATGATGATAACTGATGAATTTCCAGAATCGAATCGTGGAGATTATTTATTTTTGAACAAAAAAGTAGAAAAGCTGATCGGAATCTATTCCCCCATTCAAGCGATGAGCGTGCTGGAGGGGAAAGAGGATGTCTTCGCTGAAATGAAAGCGAAATGGTGGCCCACCTACAAAGTAAGGAGGGGGAAAGAATGCGAGATCTGACCCTATCTTGGAATGATAGTGTTCTGTTTTCGCGTAGGAGGATCGATGCCACGCTCTTGTCTCCCCATAGGACGGAGTAATCTCGTTAACTCATGTATTCGCATTCCAGCTCTCTTGTCTCTTCTGGATACCTGTGCAATGCTGCAATTTCCTCTTCATGCCTCCAGCAGCCCGGGTGGTCACGGTCGGAGCCTGTTCGTTCGTTTGGGTGAACATTCTGTGCGTCTGCAAGAGAAATGCAAGTTCATTGGAGACTCGTACTGCGCTACTCTATTTGCGCCTTTTCTGAGCCTCATCGCAGCCTGTGACGACCATCCGTATATATGTATATTTCGTGAGCGATTCTCGCCGACGATTTCCCCCGTCCTAGAACTCTGTTGTAGGGGAATCGTTCCCCCACACCTCTCTCTCAGTTCCGCCGCTGGTCCATAATCAATTTGAGCAAGAAGAGATCATTCGAAACCCGTAAATCACACTGAACGCCGAAACGCTTATTTCAGTCGAGTGTTCCTGGCGCCAAGGAGCACGCAGCGGCGATGGATGCGATTTCGCACACTGTTAAGGCCCCATAAGACAATATCGTATCCCTCGACTTTGGGAGACCATTTGCGGAGGGCAAACGCAGCCCCCATCCGATACTGGAGTGCGACTCCGGGATTACTTCGCACCGATCAAATTGATGCTCCTGCGTCCATGATTCGTTATGAGCGATTTCGGGACGTCGTTTTGTATGCCCCGATGAGAAGTGCTCAAGCAACAGGAAGCTCCGTGTACATACCCTCCTGTTCGCCTCATGCTCGGGGCAGTACACATCAGGGAGTTTACTCCTTCGTGGAATCCGCCCCATTCCCGTGGCTTTGCTACCGGATCTCCCTGTTATCTCCATTCGTACGAATAAACTGTGTCTTGACGAGTGCATGGGGGATTAATTGTCCTCCGGTGTCAGAAGTTCATGATCTGACGATTTTTCATCTAATGCAGCACTGACCATTCGAGTCGCTGCCCCCGTCGATGTCTGATATACCCCTCGCCAGAAAGGTCTGATTTCCGAAACGACGGCACACATTGTGGAGCGACGGCTGAGAAGAGAATGACGGCCCAAGAAAACGCGGAATACCTGCTCGAAGCTCCGGTCAGGTCCTGAAACTGTCACAAGTCGTAAAATCGTTCACGTTCTTCGCGAAGCGACAAGAGATTTCAGTCGTCTCGCGATAGGAGCACTTCATCGACTTCGATACTGACTAATTCCTTTGCTGAATAACAAGAAGACTTCTCACATAATTTGTTTCATCTTGGAAGAGCAGAGCAATTTCTCGTGTAGTTCCTGGAACGATTTGTAGTCAGTATTAATTATTAGAGAAAATCAGTCTAACCGCTTTCGCCAGAAGGCACTGTTCTTAGTTGGGTTTTGATTCGAGTGAATTCTGGCTTCCTGGACTCGTCGCCGGTAGCAAGACCTTATCACTCCGTAACCGATACAATGAGGGTGATCTTCTAATCAGATAAATCACTGAAGTGAGGTCAGGGAATTGTATTATACGACGAGGTTCGTCTTCGCTACCATTTAGAAGGATGAACTGTTTGGGAATTAAAAAAATTCTCGTCGTCAGTCAATTCCGCTTCATTTTTCCGGCTCCATCATGATCCTCAGGCAAGTGTGAGTCCACCACTCTCCTTGTGGGGTCACCATCGGCCCTCTGTTTGAATTTCCACAGCCTCCTTCCCCCATTCGTCAAACGAGGTGCGAAAAAGTTTGAAATGCAAGAGTGTGTTCGAAACTGCGGAACTCCGGTGTCAGGAAGGGGATAATCGCTCGAGGAGAAGACCCGTACCGGACCCTGCGGTCGACGTACACTACCCCGTACGATACGTCCGATCCTCATTAGCCGAATTTCGTCTTGCTGGTGACTTCGATTCTGTTGCTACCGGTGCCGAGCTCGCGTCAGGAGCCGGCGGTTGGTAAGTTTGGCGTCGAGCAAGCGAGCGAACGAGCTATGACAAAGTCGCTCTGGCGGTCGCGGCAAGGCGTCGGCGAGCGAGCGAGCGAGTGGAATAGCGAGGGTTGTGGAGCCGGGGTCTGTGCCGGGGCAGCGGCCGCCGCGGCAAGGGCCCGTTCAGTCAGTCCCGGTCGAAAGCGGTTAGCGGAAGCCACGCGGCTGCCGTGCAAGTGTGTGCTCAGTGTACCTCCTGTGCTGGTGTCAAACTGTCCGTGTTATAGAGCGTCTCCGTACTCCGTCTCTCTACTTCACCTCGTCGTGTAATTCTTGCGTTACGGACGCTTCGGTAGGTGTCTCGATTCATTTTTCCAGATTTGATCGCGAACGCGCTCCGCTCGCGGGGGTCAGTGCCTCCTGTCGGGCTGTGGTCCAGAAAGCCGCGAGAGGTTGTGGGCCGAGCGACCGCACTTCCAAGATCCGGAGAGTCCCTTGGAGAGCTTTTGCTTCAAAACAGGTTGTCGTGACGGCTCGGTGTGACCCGATCTCGGCCCGGGCTCCGAGAACCTCACGCGAGTCGACGTAGCCCCTTTTCCGGGTGGGGACGGTGAACAGTATTCTAGTTGGTTGAGATCTACGTCTACCCCGACGTACTTAAGTAGCATGAATCGGAAAACGGAACACAGGTGGGTGAATTCGAAGCAAATCCGCTCTGCTGTTACCAGGTCTGACGGCTGCGTGCGGCTGCTGAGCGACTGACGGCAACGTTGCCAGCAGTCAGTCAGTCAGTCAACCAGCCGGCCGGTCGGTCGGCTTCAAGAGCTTCGGGACGCTGACCCAGCATCGCTGCTCCCGGGACTCCAGAAACGAAGGAGCTTTCTTGTGTTAGGTGTGTGTGCGAAAGAGTGAGTGACGACCGACTGACTGTTCCTCTGTGACTTGTTGTCGGATCAATTGTTGCTCCGGAGAGCTCGCGTGCGTGCTCGCCGCGAATTTCCCCCGCGAGTGGGCGGAATCAACGGGTACTCGTAGTGTACTCTACGGGCTCCAAGATCGAGTTTTCCCGGGATCAATTGGCGGAATTCCACATTCGCATGCTCACCGAGCTGGGTCAATTGGTGTTTCGGAGCTCCTCGTTCCTTTCCTACTGGAAAGGAAAAATTTTCGGCTGCTCCGCCATACTCTCGAATCGAGAGACGCGGTAGGTCGCGAGTTGTCCCGCTACCGCGCACAGAATTGGGTCCAGCGACCTCCCGGACGCTCCATTTTGTTCGGCAGGTGGATATCACGCCTACGGCTGCGCCTACTCATCCGGAGTGGCCAGTCTGACTACACACCAATAACGCTCATTGTGGCAGCCAACAATGCTGGTTTCGATCTGACTTCATTCGGCGGTACCGGGCGCAAGAAGTCGGGCTCTAATGAGACTAGAACCCTCCGAGGAATGGGAGACTGAGAAATGGAGTGTCCGGGGAGTCACAGTCGACACCCCAAGAGTTCAAGGGTTGACATTGAAGTCCCCCGCGGGGAATTGATTCCTTGATATTGATATATTCCGTGATCGGCATCAAAGGCTTTGGTCGTCCTGAGACCGGTCACGTTCCGCGAAGAGGTCACCCATGTAGAATTGAAATCGTTGCACAATTGCCGATTCGACGCGGTCATTAGTGCAATTTCAAAATCGAAGCGCAAACTTTACCATTGAACAAAAGAGCGTCACAAGGATCGGAGCGAGCCTACGGAAGAACAATGCCAAAAGAACACGCCATGCCACGCGAGAACCGTCTCGAAATTGTGACCCACAGAAAAACCGGCCGTCAAGCAACACTGTCAGCTATCAGGAACTTTTCAGAAGTTACTGCACGCGTTTTCTGTGCTTGCTTTCCTTCCAGCGCCTCCCGCCCTCAAACTTGAGCGCTCATCGTTTCTGACCTGGCAGAAGAAGTCGTTTGCGGAAGGTTTTCGAAGCTTTTCGAAAAATTCGGAACTTCTGTTAGCTGAGAGCTGGGATGAAGTCGATGATGCTGAAGATCGCAAATTAAAGAAAACATCAGAGTGAGAAACACGCTGAATTGCTTTTCGAGCGGATGCAGAAGCGATGCGCTTAGCCTGGGAACTCTATGGACGAGAAAGGGTCTCTGACTGAGATTCTCATGTGGTCGATCAGTGAGGAAGGGGGGCTCACGAAACAAGCTCGCTCTCAGTCCGTGAGGACTCCGACGGGTCTTTGCGACAGACTGGCCGCTCTATGACTGCTGCAGTTCAGTGTGGCTCTCACTCAGTACTGGAGAGACCGGTTTTTGAGCCAGACCTTTGCATCATTGATCGAACGGTCTTTCTCCCGACGAATTTTCGGATTTTAGACACGAGAGCGCTTCTCAGCCCTGCCGATGGAGCCACAAAGCTCTATCGTGGGCCCTGAGAGGCTGGAGGGTCTTAACTCTATCGGAATCCCGGCCCGTACCTTCGCGGACTTGGGTGCTCGAAAGCGAATATCTCCAACCTTCGGATTTCTATTTTCGATTCCGGGATGGGAATTTATTTGCAGGAGGAGGCTCCCTAATAAGCTTTATCAAGCATCTATTTATGTGGAACGTCGAATGACCGGACCGAACGCGGTTAATTCGTGCAAGTCCGCCGGACTTCCCTTGGAATCTCGCTCCCGTGACCCCAAAGAAATTCTGTGGCATGGGGAGTCGTTCACCGATCTCGCGTCGAACCTCCCTGTTCACCGAGCGAGAATCCGTTGCCTTGGAAGACATTGATTCTATGCACCGTTTGTAGAGAAGATCGCGAGGAGTAAAATTCTTCCCTCTGTAGATCGAAGCGTTCAGTTCTCGGTGGAAACTTGTGAAAATTCCCACTTCTGACGATTCCGTGGCAAACGAGGAATTCTCTTGTCGATCCGACTGCGATGTGGACGTGAAGAGTGTCCTACTACGTCTTCTGATTTTGCACGGGCTTGCCTGACTCCATACGACGATCCCGGTGCTTGGACCGAGTGTCGTTTTTTGGGGCGATACGCGCAGCGTGTTCTCTCGACGCCAATTTTCATCGACAGCGGCCACACAATCATCATCATGGTCGTAGTTGTGGCAGTCGTCGAAGTGATTGGCTGTGGTGGCGGTGATGGCCTGGTTCGTCCTGTGCCAAGGGAGTCTTGGTGGTGCGCAATGCTCAGGCTGACTCGGCGTCAGCGCTCGAGGGAACGCCGTGACCCTGATTCGGTGTTCTGAAGGGCCACGCGTCGGTTCTGTGTGGTCTGTCTGGCGCATCTCTGCCGTCGAGCTGCTCTTGGCCGGAGCGACTCATGGCCCGCGTTTCGAACACTTTGGCAACGGGTCGCTCGGCAACGCTGCTACAAACTGGGTTGCCGAGAAGCGGACGTTGACGTTACCCCAACCAACTGCCTAACAGATGTTTCAAGAGCAGATAGAAGCAGCCGATTTCAGAGAGAAGCCCCGACAGCACCTGAAAGATAGATGACGGACGGACGGACGAGCGAACGAACTTGTCGACTAAGCGCTAGAAACCCACGGTGCACTGCAGCCGTGAATAGCTAAGAGCGTACCGGCGCCTGGGCTCGGCGGGGCACCTGCTCCGTCTCGCTCCTGATTCTCACAAAACTCGGGGCGCTGGATTGTTTTCCTGTCGAATACTGCGGAAGTCGAGTGACTGTCTCTCCCTCAGAGGTCCGAGCGAGGTCCGATGAGGTCGCCCCCCCCCCCTTCGTCGAGAGAAGAAAAATTCTGCCGACAGCTATGAAGAGCCCATGACCGGAGCGGTGGCGTTCGAAGTATTCCAAATGAATGAATGGAAGACGCGGATCACGCCGAAGACCGTAGAACATGCCAACAACGACAGCGCCAACGACAGCAGCAAAATTGACGGCCAGCTGAAACTGTTGTTGAGAGATGAAGTTCCTCGTGTTGGCAAACGCGGCCGTTCGATTCGCTCGTGATTGACCC